TTTAGAACAACGAGGAGAATTTCAAGAAAACCCCTTTTTAAAAAACATTTTAGTAGTACTTTTTTTCCCTTCTTCCAAAGTTTGGCAGCAGACTGATGTAATGCCACACGTAATTGGGTAAGAAAGACAAATTGGATATACTAATCAATTTGTCCGAGTTTTTTTTATCAATTGCCCATAGCTGGGATTATGTTATTTTAACATGTCTTATACAAAACTTGATTCATTGCTATATTGGGCCACTAACAATATTTATTTGTGATCTGATAAAGTTGCCTTTTCTTATTTTGTCTCTCTGCCAAGAGTAATCTAGCTTGCTACACGATATGTAGAATTACCGCTAACCTAAAACTTTGTCGTTGATAATTTAATACACAAATAACTAAATGAGGCTAGCTAGCTGCACGAGCTAATCAGTGGACTCATGAAGAAAATAACCAAGTAATCATGCATATCAAAAAAAGAGGGTTCACTTAACCTGGGTTAGGCCAAATTGACTGGTACAAGGACTTCATATTGTAGTTCATGGGATGATTATACAATGTGATTAATTGACGATGGTGATTTATGTCGTGTTTTCTCCTTAATTTAGCAAGCTCTTTTTTTGTTTTTGTTTTCTTTTTATTTGGGTAGGTTCAATTATGAGTTATGACAGCCGGCCTCGATCTCGTACATCTAGTACTTCGAAAATGACATGCAAACTTGCCAAATTTATTGCTGCTGCCTAAAAGTAAAACTAGCACAACCTTGGTGGATGGGATTGTAGTAAATTATATTCAGGCAAAATGTTCAGAGACATATCACAGACGTAGGGGATTTGGGTAATCTGACAAAACCGGGATATGATCTGTCCGTTTTTGACGTACATTAATATTAATTAACTAGTACTACAACTACTGAAGTGCGAAATTTTTAAGGATCGACTGTCTGATCTGAACCCCGGCGTTTGGATTTGTGTGCATGTGTTAGGTTGACTCTGCCCTCTCCTTTGATTTACTTAACCATGAAAATTAATCTGCCGTAAAACGCAGCAGTGCTCTGTTACAGTTTTACTCCAACTATGTTTGTAGTGTAGTGTACTATAGTTACATATTTGGTGTTCGAAATTATTGTTATAATTAGTTAATGTTTCGTTAATCCAACTGTTTTCTAGTATGAGCAAGAGTTCAAAAACAAAAATCATAAAAATCTAGCCATAAATCATAAATGTGATATGATCCCATTTTATCAGAATTGAACGTAAGATAATCTTAACTGCATTTTATATGATTGGGACAATTGAAGGCTCCTCCTTTGGTACATTGTCCTTCATAATTACTAGTAGTAAAATAGAATTCAATTCCGTCGGTGAAGAAAAGCCCTGCTTTGCCCGATCCATGTTCATTATCGGGCCCTCCGGTCCCTATCCGGTACTAATTAATTTCAGGTAAAAGCAATTTCAAACAATATCATTTTTTTTTTTAAAAAAAAATGGAAACTTGTCACATCGCAATATTCAATGGTTGTGGGTGGAAATGTATTATATTTATGAATCTTTGATCCACCCACCCAACAAATGAACAAAACAGAATTGCCTCATCGAATACAACCAAAAAATAAAAATAAAAATACACATAATTGCCTCATAGTTGTATTAGAGAGTATCATCGAATACACAATTAGCTGTTTATTCTTAATTCTGTTAGCCTGATTTGGCTTTTGCTTCTTGGGAGTGACTCGCACATGGTTGCCAGTTGCAAATTTAAGTTTGAAGATAACCACGAAGCTGACTAAGACTAGCCAATATACTACATAGTTTGTATCTCTGTGTGTTTGTGTGTGTGTGTGTTATTTTTATTTATTTATTTTTAATAAAAGAAATGTATACATACTAAGCACTTAGCTAGAGAGATCACATTGGTTCGTCGGTAATTGTCCCCAGCCCGACATTCATTCGTACTAGATACCAAGATCATCAAGATTCCTGATCGCTTGGATTTTATGAAGCCAATTTTAATTTATTGATTTCAAGTTTGACCCTTTTTGTCTCACACTCCAAGTTTGCACATGCATGCAGTTTTTGTAACACTGCCTCCTGAATTACACTGTTATTTAAACAAAATGATGATCCGCCTTGATAAAAAAGGACAAAGTTATAATGTCTTCAAACTGGCTTTGATGTCCTCCTCTCATGAACATTTCTGCACATGTATCATGATGAGATATGATATGATGGCTTCCTTATAATATCTTTGAAGCCGGCCTGATCGATAAATATGGATTCCCGGGTGCTCCAACACTGGACCCAGATTTAATCAACATCCAAAAAGCATGCACGAAAAGGGTGGATCCATCCACATGAATGTAGTGCTAATTCATTAACTTGACATTAACACATTTTGTTCGTGTTAAGGTATTATTATCCCCATAAAGTTTGCAACAATAATAATACTAAAGCTAAATAATGAGTTGATCTTTTCACAAATAACCAAAGTCTACTAGTTAGTCATGGCATCAATGTCTGGCAAATTAATAGGAGTAAATTAGTGGCTGGTTATATTATTTTCCAGTGTAAAGATGCATATATAGCATTGCATGTGGATGGTTTCATCATTGACTATTCAATATCCCAAGTAAAGACAGAGTTTCAAACAGACACAAAGAGTACAAAGTAATCTGTTACATTTCTTAATCAAAAATTACCATAAAAATGAAAGCAAATCATTAATTTTCAAATTTCAATTCGGGATGCATCTTCTTTTCTTCGTACTCAAAGTAAATGCACTTCATAAGAGAATAAGCACATGCATATGCTGCTCTTCTCCGAACCCACTAAAAAATGTTCTCCATTCATCAAACTTACGGACCAGTAATAAAGCAGTAAGTACTCTCATTTTCTCTTTTTTCTTGAGGTGGGGGCAAAAGGAGGTAGGATTTTACTATTAAATTTGAAGCATACTTCATCGTGGAAAATGAAAAAAAAAAAACTGAAAATTAAATCAATTAGTGAAAGCAAAAAGAGACGGTGGGTACATTTTGTACTAATACCAATCTTTTTTTAGCAAGAAAGAAGCATTAAGATCTTCGATGTGGGATCCAACGTGAAAGCATGAACAATGGAGAAAAAATACCCTTTTACATGCAAAGGAAACATCTTCAACTATCTCATAATTGCCTGGCTAATTGATGGTGGCCTCTATCGTCTAGTACAATAATTGAGTAAAGTTTGGAGGTGATGGTAGCAATTGTATCAATTAATGGAAAAAAAATATCCAGAGAGCCCGCCACAATTCAGTAGGTTAATGTTTTCCCATAAATGCTAACCAATTTTACACACATCTAACTTAAAATTATTGGAAAAAGCCTTTCTGGAATAAAATATAATATTGCCTCTATTATTATGTTTGTTATACGATAAATAAAAGAAATTATTTCAATGAGGAATTACACGAGATTTGATCATAATTTTAGAAATGCCAACAAAAAGTCAAGGTATCATGATAATTGGTCAGTGCTACCAAGTTCTTTATATCAATAAGAACCGGTTGATTTCCAACGAATTTAAACATTTACTTTTCAAGAAAAAAAAATTATTTTGAAATGTGGGAGTAAAACAGTATGTGTTTCGAGTTCCAACTTAATTTCTGTAAGTTTTGCTGAAATTGCTGGTCTTAGTTTGTGATTATCCTTTCTTTGCCATTTTGGGCGATTATTATTCCTATGTTATTGCGTCTGCATGACGTAACGATTGACATCACAATTATATGTTTCGTTATCTAATTATTATTTTTATTATTACTATTATTATTATTATTTTTTTGGGAGGGGTTGGATAACATTTATTTGTCACTTTTGCCAGTTTGTTATTTGTTTATCCTTTTTGAACATGCATGAACTGCCCCGGTGGGCCCTTTAGATATTATTGTGATGTGGCTTCAAGTTGTGAAGCATTTTGCCACTCACCATCAAACCAAGGAGCCAATATCCCACCAAGATAACATACATAATAAGCATCATTTTCCCCAAAAAAAAAGGAAAAGTAAAGCACCTCTAAAATCTTTATCGACTGCGATAGAGTTTATCAATAATGAGATTCAAACTTCCAGTTATAAGTACCTCTAAAGTACGAGTAATGATAACTTTAATGAGGAATCTTGAAGAAAAGTTATAAGTAAAGACGCAATTAAATACTCTCTCTGTCCCATAATTATTATCCAATTTAGGTTTTTATTTCTAGTTTAAATTATACTAAAAGTGAAATATGAAATTGGACAATAATTTTGGGACAGAGTGAGCAAAAATTTTAAGAGAATCAAACCCGAATGAAGAAGTGTAAACATGATTCACTGTAATTCCATCCAAGATTGGCTGAAAGTGTGTGTAAACTTGAAACCTTTACCACAAATTCGACTCCGTTTGCATGGAATAGACACGGTTTGAAAAAATTCTCAAATTTCCGGCAATCAGATCAAAGCTAACAAAGTTGGTGCAAAATAAAGTCTATAAACTGGGCCGAGCTCTCATTAATGCCCACGGTTATCATGGGCCACTAGCATGCAAGATCTTACTCCTCAAAATGCAGTTTGTTTATTGCTATTAATGGGCCTGGCTAACTAGACTGTTGGCCTAAAAAAAAAAAACACAAACTTGACTCGTTGAATTTTTAATCCCCATTATTTCAAAGTTTCCCCCCTCCTTTTCGGTGAAGTAGCGATCATTTTGTAATTACGCTAGCTCGGCCTCCGTGGATAATGTTTTTCACATTTTTTAGCTAGTCCTTGCGCTGCTACTTGTGCCATTTTAATGGTCTAGTTACTCACATCTTCCAGTATAAGAGACATTTGTTTGTCAAAATATGAGAATGAAAGAAATGACTAGCGAAAAATCTGCTACAAAGAGGTCAGCTTAATTCAATACTATGCAGGGCACGGGCCAGAAGTAATGTGCTGCATAAAGGCCCAACAATATCTGCATCAAGTTAAGATAAAATGTGTACTTGTCGAAAGCTTGACTAGCTTGGGCCCATTTAGACAAACCATGGATTGATGAACGCTTAAGCTTTGTAAGAAGATTACGCTTTTTGGTGGAAATTACTGAAAAGCGTAGGAATTGTGCGCCTTCTCGATACTTGGATGGGTTTTAAGCGATAAGCCTAATTCTGTCCAACCTGAGAATCAGTCTTCAGTCTTCACCTCAACACCCGACTCCGGATCTAAAATTCGTCGCTTTCCTCTGCAAGAATCAGGTGATTGATTTGTCTCTGTTCCTCCTGTCTTTGTTTCCGTTATCTTCTTTATTTACCTTTCATTACTGTTGAATTGTTGTTCATTCTATCCATAAAGCTGAATAACGTACATCAGAGAAAGATCAGGTTATAACATAGGGAAAATCATTTTCATACGATTGCTCTCAGGCTTTATGGGTCGATTTCTAAAATGGATTTGATTAATTCCAGCTAAAAGTTGCTTCTTTTGGAGTATGGGGTCAAAATTCCGGCACCAAAAGTTTGCCCATCTTTTTTTTTTTTTTTCTGATTTATGGTGTCTGCCTCTGCTAATTTTTATTTTATTGCACGATTGATTTGTTTGCATGCGTCAGAGAGCTTAATCAGGGTTCCGGAAGAGGGGCCAAAGGGCGAATTATTTTTGTAAAAATTCGTGCTTAGGTATTGATGTTTTCTTTGTAGGAATGGCTGAGCAAAAGAAAAAACCAGCTGTTTTCACAAAGGTTGAGCAGCTCCGCCCCATGGCAACTGGGCTCAATCTCACCGTTAAGGTGGTCAATTCAAAAACGATTGTGCAACGAGGTCCTCAGTCTCGCCAGATGCGGCTTGCTGAGTGCTTGGTCGGTGATGAGACTGGAATGATCATCTTCACGGCCAGGAATGATCAAGGTTAATTCCTATGTGATATTGCTGTTCAGTGTTTAGCATGAATGCTATCTATGCAAAGGTTGTGTTAGGTTTTGTACTTAGTAGTTGTGAATTATAACTTTTTTAAGTTACAAAGGTTTTCATGAAGCTCTTTTTAACAATCTGTTGGACAAAGATGGAGTTATGTTGTACTTCCTTAAAATTGTCTTTTAACGGTGCGATGAATTAGCCTGTTTGTGTCTGATCTTTCAAACAAAGAAAAGATCAGATAAAAACATAATGGGATGTAACTGAATTGTGAAGGTGGAATTTTGTTCGGTAGTTTGAAGGGTAAGAGGTGTGCTAGTTTTCTATTATAGAGGTTTGATGTCTTATGCGGGCTTCGTGTTAGTTTGTGAAGAAGGCATGATGGCACCAATCCCCATCATTGATTTTGGAAAGAAAGTGCATAATGATAACTATGGTTGATAGTTCCAGTGGCAGCTTTTTTTATGTAGTTGTAGAATTTTTGTGAAGTCTTGCCACCTTACTTTCTGACTGATATGGCAAGGTATAGCCATCACGTTTATATGAGACTATTTTTGTTTGTTTTTTTTTTCCTGTAAAGAAAGCTATATAACTTTTCGGAGGCATACTCATTACGGTTATATTAATATTGAGATAAAACTTATATTTTGTTCCTTTTTTAGGTAATTTCATTTTGGCTTTTAACATAATTCCAGAATATACTGTTTATTATAATCTGTTGATGGTGCTTTAAATGTAAAGGGAGGCATTTAAGAGAACTAAGATTTGCATTATCTATGTTTCTATCTATTGGCGAAGTATAAGCCGCAAGGCCTAAGTACGTGCATTGTTTTCTCTGCTGCATGAATTTTGGGAAAACGGAAAAACGATAGTCTTTGTATGGTCAATTTCAGTTTTCCTTCCTTTTGCTATTCCATTCAGTAGTGGCTCAGTGATTCGAGGAACAACAGCCCTTTTACTGACGCTTCTGCATGTTAGACGTGTTCTTCTGATCCACTTGTTGCTTCACATGAATCTTCTTTTGAAGGATTTAGAGTATTGGCGAAGGGGATAGTTGAGTCGTGGTGTGACCTGATCAGAATACTCTGTTTTAGATTTGTATTTTTCTTAATTTTTTCGTTATGCCAACTATTGTCAGGGGATTATCTGAACCAATTTTCGAGTGTCTCAGGTCTATGACTGCATTAGGTTCCTCAACATTATGATTTTGATATCACATTTGGTCTGGGAATTTTATTTTATCAATTGAATGTCCTTTACCTTTAGAGGGAGAGAAAAGGTAAGTTTACCTTGTATCATGTTATGAACACTAGTTGATCACATCTGTATTTATGCCTTCTTGAAATTTGTGGTCTCTATCTGCTGTTGTACTTACGCCTTATTTTGTATGTTGAGATGCTTAGTGGCTCCACTTTGTTTATTGGCCATAGTTATTCCTCTAACATTCTCGTGTCTGTTGTTTAGTGGATTTGATGAAGGAGGGCGCTACTGTGATTCTGAGAAATGCGAAAATTGACATGTTCAAAGGATCAATGAGGCTTGCAGTGGACAAATGGGGGAGAGTTGAAGTTACTGAACCAGCTAGTTTTTCTGTGAAAGAAGACAGCAACCTTTCTCTCATTGAGTTTGAACTGGTGAATGTTGTGCAAAACTGAAGTTTTACGGGTGGCAGCTTAAGCAACCAGGTTAAAAAAGCAAACGATAGCATCTCTTTGCTTACGTCGTCTGCAACATCTTCATATGTTCAAAGAAAAATTCTCAATACATGTACTCAGAAAAAGCTGGGCTTTTCAGCTGAACATATATGTAGTCGAGATTGCTAGCTTTTTCAGCTAAACATGCTCCCCGGCTTAGAATCTGGGTTTAGAATGTGAGTTGTGTGGGTAGACTTAGTTGCCTAATCTTCTCTAAGTTTTACATTTCATCTCCTTTATTATGATCAAATATATACCAAAAATGTTGTTTAAATTCAACATCCTTCATGCTTTGTGGTTAACTTGCAATACCCGTGTTCATGTCTATTTTGCTTTTTTCGGTTTTGTGCACCTTACCACTTCTGTGCAAAAGGAGTGTCGATATGTTGATGGGGCATTTAGGAAGGCTAAAGGTGTAAATTTCCTATCAAAAAGTGGACATTATTTTCTATAAAGTAGTCTAGCAAGACGTAGTGATTTAAGAGTGGACTTGCTGTCTTGGACCATTAGGGCCCTAACAACCTGCTTGCTTAGGCCATGTAAAGATAGAATAGCAGTTCTGACTGAACGTGGAATTGTAGCTGTATTAATGCGGGCAATTTTGGTGAGGCCTGGGTATAGGCTTTGTACAAGACATCACTATTGATAAGTATGATCCACCACTTGACCAACTGAGGCATGGGAATCTAGTGAAAGTGGTAACCGTGCCATCGTGTTCTAGTTTTGGCCATCAAACAATAATAACAACTTGGGGTGTTTTTATTCTTTTCTTAGAATCTCGATCGACCACACTGGCACATGGGTTTATAAACTTCGAAAGCCAGAAAAGCCATTCGAATCAACCAACCTAGAAATAGACGTATATTATGGGTGCTGAATTCATGTGTGTAAATATTGTATTAGTGATTTATTTGCCCATATCCGCTGGAAAGTGGACAGTGGAAAGAAGAGCAACGAAGTGGTGATGACTTGTGAGTTGGGTTCTTTCTTATTAGATTGAAGTGCCCATATCCTACAAAAAAAGATCAGATGCCAGCGGCTAAACTGTTATGATGGATGTGCTTGACATGAATAATGCCCCAAAAAGAAAAGGAAGTGACTAAAAATAGTCCAGGAATGGGGGAGTGATCATAAGTATGAATATGTGATTTCTGAAATCTGATTTTAGGTTAATATCAGATTTCAAAAATCCGATTTTCATTCACGTCCAAAGTTAAAATCGGATTTCGAAAATCCAATATTCATACTTTTGACCACTTCCCTATCCCTGAACTATTTTTGGTCACTTCTATTAACCTTTATTATTTTTTTGGTAAAAAACTCTATAAGTTATTCCGTTGGTTTTCTTATTTTATTAATCCGTTTTGATGTACTGTTCTATCGATTTCGCACGCCTTTTTGAAAGCCATTACAGAGGGTGGATTATTGGAGGACGATAGGAAGAATAGGTTGACATTTTACGTGGGGAAGATTCAAGATTTACATATTTCGTTCTTCATCATTAAATTAATACTCTTTCTTTCTTCAACCCTCCAAAAGGGACAAAAACAACTAGGGATGGTATGATTTGTGACCTCATGTAGTTCAAACTTCAAAGCGGATCCTTAACCAGTTTTCCACATACCAATATGTAATGTCTCTTCAATACGTCGGATTACTGATTTTGGGTTAAGCAAAATATGAAATGGCCCTTTTGGTTGGCCTTTTGGGGATTTCGTTGACCTTTTCTTTGAAGAGGGCACGTTAATTCAATCTTCTACTAACAAATAATTACCCAAATAACGTAAAGAAACTTATCCAGAGCAGACTCCACCTCCACAACTTAAAACACCCCCAAAAAAAAAAAAAAAGAAAAAGAAAGAGAGAGCATTGTTGACTCTTTTCTCTATCGAGAAGCAAATTATCTATTTTGATGTGTTACGACTCTTTACTAAGGCCGTATTTTTATTTTTATTTTTATTTTTTGTTTTGGGTATAATATAGGAGGCTGAAACCCCTAAAAAGTAAATGTTAATTACTCCTTCCATCCTAAATTATTGTCTAATTTAACTTTTCACTTTTAATTTAATTTGTATTAAAACTGAAAATTTAAATTAAATAGTATAAATGGAAAGAGAAACTTTTTGAACGGTATGTAAACCCTATTGTAATATTTTCAGTTGAGAATCCCTTTAAAACTCCCATCCTCTCTCAAAAAATAATACACATTTTTATTACAAAATACTAAGAGTTAAAAATTCAAGCAAGACGAGCGCACAGAGTATCACTTTTTCTGAGACTTCAAAAGTAATGCGGTGTGAAATGTTTCTGTCACATTCAATAGATGAGCGTGTGATTAGAGACGTCACAACGCACAGTACTAATTTCTTTTTCTTTTTTGGGTTATTAAATTAGTGCTAATTTAATTTCCAATCACATGGATCTACTAAGGTTCTTAGCAAAATGATACATCTATTCAAACTACTTTTTGAAATATTATCTAAAAAATGAAAGGAAAAAAGTTTTTATCATCCATGAACTAACTAATCAATGTAAATAAAAGATAATTTATTCCATAAACATAATTCATATTATAAATTAAAAACTATTCGATTCAATATAATTTTTAAATTTATATTACAAACTATTTTAATACAATAAAAGGAGTACATACCAGTGAAGTTTTATTTTATACACTAGTAGATCGAATTTCCACCACCACCGTCTATGAATAGTTATCAACTAACATGACCATTGCCTTAAATGTCTCCTTTTTTTCTTTTTCTTTTTTTTGAAAAGAAATGTCTCCCTTTTTAATTGGCCTGGACTTCCTAATATTATTAACTAGTAGTATTATTATTACTACATATTGGATGGAGTAAAGAAAATGAAAAGATGCCAGTACTACTAATTTTGGCAAACCGGAGTGAGTTTTTGTAAGCCAATGATGGCAACCATGGTTAGCTAAACCACCCTATAAATGCAAGACTTTTAAGCTGATCATCACATTTTAAATAGTAAGACTACGACAACAAGTAAGAAAAGAGAAGAAGAAGAAACCCGTGTGTGCTCTCTTTCCTCTCCTTCCTTTCTGTCTGTATCCCTTCTTTGGCAAAGGATTCCTCTCTCTTTGTCTGATCCCCCTTTTCACTTCGTCTCTCTAAACCCATTATTTCCCCCAAAAATTAAGAGGTAATTAACAGTTTAATTCGAATAATTCGTACCATTTTTTAATTAATTTACGTTATTCATTTCTCAATCATGTTCTTTTTCTTTCGAATTTCTTTGTATATTTTTGTTACTACTACTTACTAACCAATTATCTACCCAGTCTTCATTCATTTGTACTGCTCCTTCTTTTTTTTGGTTTTCCGATTTGGATTCATGCATGTTTACTGTGGGGAGAAAGGAATTATATTCCTTGATAACTTTTAGTGGATAAGTTTGGGGGAATCAGATTGTAATATTTATGTGATTGATCATCACGGAGATCAGATCGTCATTAATATGAATTTTGTTGATCATGCAATTTCCGTTTCTTGTATTTCTTTTTCCCCCAAAACGGCGTTTCATATTTCCGCGTGGCCGAATTCGGCAATTTTAAGGTTTTTGTTAAGAGCTCCTACTATTATGTAGTAATTGGTGTCCTAATTAAAGCGTCTGTCTGACGCTCCGCAGGAAGGAAGGAAAGAAATTCGGAATATGGCGAAAGACAATTTCGAGGAAGCCATTGAAGGACTAAAGAAGCTTCTCAGGTACTCACTCACTTTCGCTGTCCTTAAACCTTTCCATTTCTGATCACCGTTGGGATCGTGAGCGTAAAAGGCACCCTTTCTGGCAAACCTTCAACGTAAATTTCAACCAAAAGCTGTCCTGAGCTGTCATCTACACATCCACTTAAACTCCAGTTTCCGACAAGGCTAGCCGGCATTTTTTGAGGCCGCGATTCTTGTGTTATTCTTTCTCTCTCTATCTCTCTCTTACATGGGACCCTCTAATGGAAAGAAAATTAGGAGAAGTGTTTCGGTCAGTTATATTGTCATAACACGGTAGAATGGGTCCCACTCTGTCCGGAAACTCTGAGAGTCCGTTTCCATTGCCGTTTCCGTTATCTTGATGTCCGTGTTTCTCTTTTCCCCTTTTAATTTGAGCAGTGAGAAAGACCAGCTGGGTGACGTGGCAGCTGCCAAAATCAAGCAATTGACGGCCGAGTTGGAAGCTAAGCCAGATTTTGACCCGGTTGATAGGATCAAAACCGGGTTCGCCCATTTCAAGAAAGAGAATTACGAGTAAGTTATAAAAGTGTTTTTTTTTTTTTTACCAACTTTGTAAATGGTACTAGTACTACTTGAAGGAATGGGATGTGTGTGTACTTGTTTTAAAAAGTTCATGATCTCAATGCAACATGGACAGCTTGGGGAGAAGAGATTCTCGAATATGCTAATTTTTTTTTTGGGGGGGGATTTATTTTACTGTTGAAATCCTTCCGTTTATTAGCAAGTTCGTTGGTCACTTGGTTGTCATTGTCTACACTATTTAGGAAATCAATTCCGCGGTGGATTCCACAAGGCTAATACTACTACTTTATATGTTGATTTTTCCTTTTTCTACCTTTTATCCCAAACTTATTGCAATGATGCTGTTAACCAATCACCATAAGATAAATAATACTCTTTCCGTCCCAAAATTTATTGTGCAGTTTAGATTTTTATTTTTAGTTCAAATTATAATAAAAGTGAAAATTCAAACTGCGACAATAATTTTAGGACAAAAGAAGTAGGAATTTAGTCTTTTACATGTACATATGCTCCAGAAGAATTATGAATTCCATCTGTTTGCTTAAGTCGTATGCCCTTGATTACATTGGATATTTACCAGTTCAGTGATAACCTGATGATGGTATTTGATTTGCAGGAAGAACCCCGAGTTGTTTGGAGAACTGGCCAAAGGACAGAGTCCAAAGGTTTGTAATTTGTAATATAACTGGGGACGGCAAAGTTCTAATAATTAATAATAATTCTTCTTCCTTTTCAATGAAGGATGATGAAGATAAATATACTCCATAATCTAATGACTAATATAAATGTAACTATCGGGTGCTAAATCATGGCAGTTCCTGGTGTTTGCGTGCGTTGACTCCAGAGTTTGCCCGTCACACATCCTTAACTTCCAACCAGGGGAGGCATTTGTGGTCCGAAACATTGCTAACATGGTCCCTCCATATGACCGGGTAAGTACATTACTGCCCTACTTATTTTTTTTCAGGTCCTCAATATAGTTTGCACCGCTCATTGCGGGTCAATTGCCCATCCACACTGGTAGAGAATTCATGGGTCACATGATGATGTCTGGAATTTTGTCAATCTACCACATTATTTGCCGTATGCTTTAATTAGTTATTAAACATGACTAGTGTTAGTGATCTGTTAATTATTGTTGTATAGTTTGGGTTTACTTAGGATTAGATGATGTTTTTGTACAGGTGTTTACAATCTTTTTTTATTTAAGATGATAATCCTAATCTTAGGAGTAGTTAAAACTGTAGCCAAAAAACTAAAAAATTATATTGATTTCAAAGTAAGGTTTCGTTAGACTTTGATTAATTTCTATTATCAAAAAACTAAAGTGGATTTCAACCTAATTCATGGAATGTGGAGCTCATTTGGATGCGTTCAAAGTTGGGAAGTTGGTAAAGATTACAATGCTTCCAAAATTCTTACCATGAACAAACTTTTCTTCTTCTTTTTTTTTTTTTTTTTAAATGTCAGACAGAAGTATTATATTGATTTCAATGAATATGCTTTGAATAAGTTCCATCTCGAGAAGCTTCCTTCTCCTAATAATCTATTTGACTTGCGCCATTTTTATTTTATTTGTCTAGTTAAATATATTAATTCTGGTGATGGTGTTGTCCACAGAAAAAATATTCTGGTGCTGGTGCGGCCATCGAATATGCAGTCATACATCTGAAGGTGAATTTGCTTTTTTACCTTTTCTTTTTCTTCCCTGTTAGCTTCCAACTGTACCATCTGTACCACCCCTGATTGATTTAGTCAGTACATGGCATAAAGAATGATTAAATGATTTAAGATCCCTTATCCGCGGCAACCACGAAAGATTTGTGTTAAAAAATTCAGATGAAACCAACTAATTAACTAATTAAGATCCTGAATCCTTAATATTGTAGCTGACCTTTTTGCACCCCACAAAGTTGCTTTAATGCACATAATATTTTTAATGCTCTGCATTATCATCCACTTTTCCACTTTGTCGAGAAAGCGGATGCCATCTTATCTGTTCACTAAATGATTGATGAAAAGATCGTCTACTTATTCCAGAGTCAATTTGATGCAGAATCTCCATACGCTTCAAGTTTCAAAACGAGAGAAGGCATACTCCCCCTGTCTCATAATTATTGTCCAGTTTAAGTTTTCATTTCTAGTTCAAATTGTACTAAAAGTGAAATCTCAAACTAGACAATAATTTTGTGACGGAGGAAAAGAGTATTTGTTAAACTAAAGTAATACACTTTTTATCAAAAATAATAATAATACACCAAAAACGGCACGCACTTAGTTACTTCGGGTGGGAATATATCTAAAACTTGGGTTTATCAGGTGAATGTCTAGAAATGGAAAATTCATATTGTTTGTTGATCTATGTATATCAGGTGGAGAACATTTTGGTTATTGGACATAGCTGCTGTGGTGGTATTAAAGGACTCATGTCCATCCCTGACGATGGAACAACTTCCAGGTATAGCTTAAGACTTACAATTTTACAAACACTGTGAAAATGTAATGGTGAAAACTAAAACCTTGAAAACTAGCTATAGCTTAATTCCACTCTCTAATGCCATATTTGGATGCATCACAGTGATTTTATTGAGGACTGGGTCAAAATCTGCTTGCCTGCCAAGGCCAAGATTCAAGCAGCATGCAGTGGCATGGATATCACTGAACAATGCGCTAACTTGGAGAAGGTGATTTAATGAACCTAACCAGCTATATTAATTGAGTTTTCTTTTCCAATTATTCTGATTTTATTTTTTGCCTCTTTTTTACTCCACATTTTTATTTTCAATTTCTGGTGACAAAAAACAGGAGGCAGTGAACTTGTCACTTGGGAACTTACTGACATATCCATTCGTAAGAGAAGCAGTTTCCAAGAAAACGCTGTCGTTGAAGGGCGGACACTACGATTTCGTCAAGGGAGCATTTGAGCTCTGGGATCTTGATTTCAGCCTCTTTCCCTCTATTACACTACAATGAGTGCTCTCTTCGAAGACTGGCAATCGTATAGAAACAAAAAGACGTTTCCTTCGGTTTTTTGTATATTCAGTTTGTGCTTTCATTTTGATCAAACTGTTTCTTTAAGTGGATTTTCGTACATCATTTGGATGTATTTTACTGTAACGACCAGGTGAAAAGAAAGAAACTAAAATGTGTGAAGTGATCGAAGTACTCAAGGAGCAAGTTAACCCGTGAATAATGTTAGACATCAAAATGCTGCAAACATTGTCAAATTTCTCGTACAATTTCATACATAACAATTTGCGTTTTGCAAAGTACATTGATCTCAGCAGATTGAACTAGTTTTTATTCCGCTTTTAGCTCTTGTGGTCTTAATTTGTTCAGGTTTCTCGAGCATAACAAACTACCATGATGACTGATGCAAGATACAGCTAGTTCTGCGAAATAGTTACATAAAATAATTTCTGTGTTACTGTGAAAATATTTTTGATCCTCAACAGATGAAGAACAACATGGATGAGCCATTCTGCATTTGGAGGGTTTTTTTTTTCATGGAATCGGATGGATAACTACCTTTCCTGTAGCCCGGTTAGTCTCAAGATAAGAGAAAGCTTCAGTGACCTGAGAAAATGGGAATGGCCCTTTGGGATCAATAACTGGCTTCACTTTTCCACTCTCTAGGAATGGATTCAGTTTCGTGAGAGCTTCGCCGGTGGATGTGACCACAAATCTGAAACCAGGGGGTTCGACAGCGCCCGTTAGGACCACCACACTTCCGCCTTCCTTCACTGCTTTCACCGCCTTATCTCCCTGCCCTGTATAACTCAATGGAGAAACAGTGAAATGTAGGTATCAATTGTGTATATACAGTCTCAAGGAGAAAGATGCATTTTCTAATGGTGATAATACTCTTATTTCATCTACTTTAATAAACAACATGAGACGGCGAAAATACAATTAGCAACGTAAATTTTCTGGGAATGAAATTCAGGGAATGAATAGTTCATATGGCACTCACCAACGGTATCATAAACTACATCAAATTTCTCTGGAAGATCTTCGAAATTCTCCTTTGTATAGTCAATTGCTAAATCAGCACCAAGGCTTTTCAGCAATTCCAATTTCCCAGTGCTGGAAGTAGCTGCTATTTTAGAAGCCCCAAATACGTGTTTTGCAAGCTGCATCACACCATTGACAAAACAAATAAAACCAAATTACATCTCTCTATTCAATCAGATTCCACAGAAATTGAATTATTTGGTTGCATGACTCAATTTGGTAGACAGTTGATGATACCCATCAATTGTCACATTTGGCATTTCATAATCAATCAAACAATTATAACGGAGTAGCAAAGTGATGCACTCAATTGAATGTTCTAAAGTTAAATGATCAAACAGAATTGATTACCTGTATAACGAGTGATCCAACACCCCCAGCACCACCGAGAACAAGAATGGATTTGCCAGCAGAAAATCCAGCTCTTTCAAGACCTTCATTGGCAGTCTCAATTGCCAGAGGAAGAGATGCAGCTTGAGCAAAATCAATATTCTTGGGTTTCAGAGCCAACAATTTCTCCTCAACAGCAGTATATTCGGCTAGGGATCCAAACTGCTTTGGCCCATCCAGTGCTTTCTCACTGATATCACCATATACTTCATCTCCTTCTTTAAGGTTCTTTACTTGGCTACCAACTTTAACCACCACACCGGCAACATCATAACCTGGCACGGTCTAATTGACATGTAGCCCAAACAGCACAAAGTCGAATGTCAATATGTTATACTCATAGTTTTTCTTTGTGTGTCAAAAGTGATAATCATTATTAAAAACCAAACGGGACAGATGTACGAACGGATATGAACTATAACAATCAGCCTTTAATGCCTTATCTAGCAACATATGAATTACAAATACCATATCCTTATGTTCACTAGCTAAGAAGTCTGCTGCTGCAAAATGTTGACAAAAATTTAGCATGATTTGGTAACATATAATCATGTCTGGGATTAACGAGTCACGCAGCAGCATAATATTTGCTAAAGTATAATTTTTGAAGTTAAATTCCATTTGATCCCTACAAGACTTGTTTTCAAGTTTTGGAACAATATCAGAAATGTGTCATAATCTACCAGGTAAATCATTATAATTTCTACCCATTGTCGTGCCTTTTGGTATGAAATTTTAATATACCGTAATACAAACACTGTTCTTGTATTCTTGAACCTTCTAACTGGATCCTGAGACCAGCATTTACCAAGTTATGTAGTTTCTACAGTCCTATCTTGGCCAAGTTGAAGCTAATAAAAGAAATTATTGATACAGAAACATGAAAATTGAAGGCTTGGAAGTTAAATGACAATGTATAAGAAAATTTACCGGAAGAGGTGAATCGGTGGCCTTGAATTTGCCAAGTCTCCTCTTGAAATCAACAGGGTTAAGAGCAGCAGCAACAACCTTAACCAAGACCTGATCATCACTAATTTCAGGAACAGCAACACTCTCATCAAACTTCAAAACCTCAACACCTCCATATTCACTGTAAATCCAAGCCTTCATTGTGGATGGTATGGAGGAAGAACTGGTAGAAACTTCAGCAGGGGCAGACTGGGAAGCAGCAAAAACTTTAAAACAGTTCTTATTGCAGCGGTTTAGAACACCAAAACAAGGTTTGCTACTGAATTGTACCCTTGAAAATGCAGGGGAATTGAAATGTGATGTTTTGGGAAAGAGGGAAGTTTGAGGATTCCTGAGTTGGAGAGTTGTGGAGGAGATGAGAGTTTCCATGAGGGCACAAGTTTGTTGGTGTTCTTTCTGCTCTGTTCTATTATCTCTTTGCAGAACAATGTGAAGTTTTGGTTTGTTATTTGGGAGCTGCCTGACACATGTCACCTTACTGAAGTGCTTCCACTTGGTGGCCATCAAATTTTGTTTTTCTTTTTGCCCAAAAAATAAATAAAAATAAAAAAATGTCTTTTCAGAAGATGAGTATGCATCTTCCTCATTTGCTTAGCTAGGTTCTTTGGAGCAGTATCCATAGGTTTTTAATTCTCATGTTAAGCTTAATTTTGTAATGATGAAATTAATAGCCAAAAAAAATAAAATAAAATAGAAACTAGCTTATTAGATATTTTAAAATATATAAAGTAGTGATAAAAATGTTTTATTATGTCACAACATAGAATAGGAACAAAATTTTCATGCAAGACCTGAGCCGCTCTTGAAGCCTATAAATTCAGTACCTTAAAACCAGAAGTATGCTGTATACTCTATACAGTGAGATCAATTTCCACAAACTTTTGCAAGCACATTGTTCTCTACTAAAAAGCAATAATATGCAGCCAAATATTATAATGTTATACATTAGGCATGACATGGAGGAAGGATTTACAAGCATAAATATTTTGATACATATTTCATAATGGAAAAAAGCTATGGACAGAGCACTGATGATACATTATCCACAGAGTCAGACCCCGTTATAATGGGGATATATAACAGCTTGGTTCTTGGCATCTTTGTTGTTCTATAATGAAAAAAGCTTTACAAATTGGACTACATTCTTCAAATAAATCGAGACTGTTAAACCATACCGAACAAAGAGACTGCTGCTCAGCGTCTTTTATTACGATGCTCAGCATTCCTTCTTCTCAATGCCCATCTTTCTTTAATGTCATGACATGATGATATGTCTTCATCAAAACATTGTTGGGACATTGCATTCCTTCTACTCAAGTCCCATCTTTTTTTAATGTAGTAAGAAGATTTGGCTTCATGAATACATTTCCCGGAAGATCTAGCTAGGGTTTTGGCTTCAACGCTGGAGGATCCCCTAATTCTGGCGGTTTCAGCAAGCAAGTCATTTATTATCATCTCCGTTGTCCGGGTTGTAATTCCTCTAAGATACCAGGAAATGGGGGGAGGAGGGACCACAGCTGGTTGTATAAGCTGCTCTAAGCTCACTCTCGACGCAATCCTTCCTTTGCCTTTAGTGCACTGGTCATACTCCTCCACATTTTTAGGTCTGATGGGGTGGCAGAGTTGTTCATCCAGCAATATCGGTTCTACTCTCCAGCAGCCTTCGAATCTTTTCATGAACCCCGTTTTGATTTGCTTGAACTTCATCTAATGAGATGAGGAAAAAATAAGAAAGGGATTTCATCATTAACCAGTAACCCAGAAACTTTATTTGTAATATAATATAATGACAACTTCAGTGACGCCTGATCACGATGCCAAAATCTCAACTAGTACTGTATTGCACAGATTGCACAGGTTTATAGTAGATTGGTTAAGTTGCTTCAACTTGACTAACAATTGGCATAACATGACAAAAGAGATACTTAGTGATGATTTGAGTACTTACCGAGTGATCCCTTCTGTCCTGATCCACCAGAACATGAACAGAAATGGTTCCTGACCACCAGAGGAACCTCCATATTGCAGCTTGATCCAATTCAACGACCTGCCTTGAACCTTCATCAACTAATACATTTCTTGATATGACTTCCTGATACAGAACCAGAAACATATATAACAAAATTCAGAAGCCAAAAAGACTGATACCAAAAAGTTAAATCCCCACTTCCAAGACCTCAAATTCAGTACTTTCGATGTACAACAAAATAGAATATAAGTTGGCTGGAGAAACTGAACCCACCTTAATGTTCTTGAATACCCTTTTATTATCTGGATCAATTACAATGTTATACACAGCATCTGGAGGCAAGCCAACATCCACTTTCACACTCAAGTTGCAAAGAGAGCCTTTAGGAACAGTGACCTGTAATGCATGCATTTGATTAGACAATTTGTAATTCCACAGACTTCATCAAATTATAAATCAGGTTTCTAACAAAATGGTTAGCATTAAGGAAAACAAAGTGATTGCCGATATACATCTATTTATTAAAGCCTAAAAGAGTGCATGGAGCCTCCACGGATAAAAAGTCCAATATCAGTTTCCTAAAAATTATGCTTTAAGGGAAGAAAGTAATTAAAGGAATATAAAACCACTGAACATAACTCTTCCTTACCTTGATCTCTGGGGAAGAATCCGTCCAATTTCGATTCTCTTTCCAAGCCTGCAGCTGCTTCTCCAAATTGACTGTCAAGGCGCTAGCAGATGAATCTTTCTTAGAACCATCAATGGCAGCAGAACCAGTGCTAGTATAATCTTTCTTTGACGCCTTGAAATCCAACTGTAGCATACACAGAGAGGTTAATTTAGAACATGTATTGGTGCATAATTGGTGACTTGAAGGCTACAGAGAACTAACCTTTAAGTACTTCTGGACTTGTTTCGGGAAGCTCAAAATAAAGGCATGAAATGGTGAACCAGCCACGGGTACACCAGCAGCCTTCGGGGTATCAGTACTTGGATTAGTCATTTGCACTTCACCAACACCTATGTAGCAACATTGATCTGCAAATGTATAACGAAGTGAATTTTTAGATATTGAGTAGATTTCATTGAAAAAAAAAAAAAAAGACCCTACTGAACTTGCTCACTGACACTCAAAAGGTCAAAATTGGCCAATGCTCGTTAACGGAATGTCAACTATCAGAGGTTAAATTTTGGAGTGAATTAATGAAAATACCAATAATCTCATATCAAGAAGTTATACCCAAAACACAAATCTCACATAGCCTTAACAAGTTAGAAGGCTAGTGATTAAAACAACAAATTATTTTTATCAATAAAGATATCACCAATTTTCATCTAGTAAAGAAGTCCTCATAAAAAGTTCTCTAGGTACAGAAGTTAGACTTGGTACAAAATGGCAAGAGAGGAATGTCTACACAGGTTTACCAAAGGAAAAATTACCAAGGTAATCACTCTAAATCATAAACTTCATAAAGAGGCCAATTTCAGAAACTGATCACTTCAGGCTTAAAACTTAACAGAATTTAGCACAATGTTAGAGATAGCCATGGATAAAATGATCTAAAGTGACAACCTTTAAACAAGGATAAGATAATTTTACAAAGTTTTGACGAGGGATCTATTGAGCAACAAAGTTCTACCACCAAAACTGGTAATATGTACACAGTAAAAGTTTAAGAATATTTTCTTCTTCATCTTCTTTTAACACTGTCGACTTCTTTCTTGTTAAAAACCAGAAGAACTATGAAAAGTCCAACTATAAGCCCAGCAGGCAGAGCCCTAAAACACCGTCATAGATTTATTAAATTTGTAACAACCCAGTGGATTACATTAACAGAAAAGATCAACCCAGGTTATTCAACAATCGTGTGCGTAAATTAGCTTAACTGGATGATTGGCAGCTTGGCATTTCAGTTCCTAATTACAAAACCAAAAAAGAACAAACTGGGCTTCCTTAGAGCAACGCGATGACCCATCACAGAAAATGAGAGATTCAGAAATTCAAGCGCAAATGTTGCAGCAGAAGCTAATTATCCCAAGGGATTGCCTTTTTTGCAACTAAAAACATATAACTCGAAACCAAAAGAGTAACGAAAGCTTAACTTACAGATGCAGTTTGCGGAGGAGAAATGTTGTAGCAATCCCAGAAATTTGGGGGAAATAAGGATTTCTAATGGAGCAAATGGTGGTGATGAGTTGGGCTTCACACTTTTGCCATTGTCGGGATTGTGGACTGTTTGGTGATTTGTGAAGTTCTTCTTGGTCTTCTTCTCTTCTTCTTTTTCATAGGGTACTAATTTTATTCTTCGGGCTTTTTGGAATTTAACAACCCAAAACACGTGTGCTAAAGTCTCATACACATTCAGTTGTCCACTTGTTTCTGCGGTGTCTTCTTATTTTCCCACTGGATTTTCGAACTTCCTCTTCCAGAGCTCTAGATTTGATTATTTGGATAAATAAACAACACAAATATTAGTACCATATCAAAAACCATATCAGAAAGTTTAGCCCTTTTGTCATAAAGGTGTACTTTTGATTTCGTATTTGCTTCCCCTTTGTTATCCTTTTGTCATAAACGCATTTAAAAGAGGCTTGAACTAAGCTTTGAGCATAACAAGAGAAGAAAATTTGATTTATTTATGAAAGGTCCATGAACATCAGGGAAGTATTTTGCTTATAATACATAATAATCTCTTCTTCCCAAGTTTATCTTCATTAGTAACATCCATCAGAAGACGACAGCCACACCAAAACATTCAACTCAAACCGAGTTAAATGTCAGAAAAATAAAACGCTGTGACCTATCTCTTGCTGGATGCATTTGTCAAATTGTCATGCTTTACGGCACACATCTCCATCACATACATATCCATCTTTACTGTGTTTCTCAGGTTTCCATATTTCCTTCTTCAGAGCACATTTCGGATGAAGATCGAGGTTACAGTCATCACATGAGTATGACCATCCATATCCCATGTCTTGGCATCCATCACACTTGTATCCTGAGCGTCGTGTCAGGATCAAGTTATGCTTATGATCGAGTTCATGCTTCACTTTCTTCGGCCACCCTTTCGCCATTTCTTCAACTTTTTCCTCTAGCTGCTTTACACGGTCTGTGTTGAAGGGGTAAGCTTCCGCTCCATAAGCTTGTATAAGCTGCCTGACGTGAGTATTCACTGTCCTGCCATCAGGCCCAATTGCTACAACTGCAGGGATGCCTTTGATCCTGAAACTGCGGTGTAGAAACGCCTTCCTCTCATCATTAAAAGGAAGGGCTAACCAAGGCATGGCGTAGAAGTAGTCATCAAAAGATAATTGATTGCGATCACTGGAGATGTAAATCACTTCAAATGCGTCATCCTTTGCCTTGATTTCTTCGTAAACTGATATAAATTTAGGTAGGAAATCCCGACAAGGAGGACACCATTCGGCAGAAAAGTACAAGAGGATCGTCTTTCCAACAAGTTCAGTAACTTTAACCTAAAAACCGTAAAGCAAACATAGTAAGAAAACTTCCGACTTCATATTAGACACGATAGTTGTTCACAAAACAAAGCTAATACCTTTGATCCATCTTTGGCAATGACAAAGTCCTTATCTTCATGAACCAGGATGGATTCCAATGTCTGTGATTCGGCTTTTGCCTTTCCTAACTTAGCACACTCTTCGGGCATAAAAGGATATGCCTCATCCCCATGTTCTTCAATCGATTCAACTGCATTTGGGTGCTGAGTCTTCCCATCTGGACCCATTACAACTAATGCCGGAAGGTCCCTGATTTGGAAGTACCTCGACAGTTTCTCACAGTTCTGGTCCTTGAAAGGCAAAGATAACCATGGCATGGTTCCAAAATTGGCTCTAAAATCTTGTTCTTCTTCATCTAAAGACACGAGCACAACTTCGAAATTTTCTCCTCTGTCTCTGAGCTTCTTATATACTTCAATGAGCACCTTGGTAAATTCAAGGCATCCTTTATGGGAATTTTCTGAAAAATACAGTCCTACCGTTTTCCCTTCAAGCTCATTCACAGGAACCTAATTAACATTGAGAACAATGATACATTTGCAGCAATTTATTAGCTTACTTACTAGCAATGAGAATCGAAAACAAAGATTACCGCTTAGAACTTGAACAATTTAATACACAGAGATATTTGTCTCTCACCTTATTTGCATCATTTGAAAGCAGATAGTCACGGGGAACATTAACCAGTAGGGACATCAAAGATTGTTCTCTTTTGGTTTTCTCTGTTTCCTCCTTTAATTGATCTAGTCTTTCAGAAGTAAAAGGGTACCCTTCAGCACCATAATCAGAGATTATTTCAACACCGGCATCATTAGAAACACCATCCTTGCCAAGGATCACGAGAAAAGGGATCACCCTCAGTTTAAATAATCTCTCAAGCCGCTTCCTTGTCCCCAAATCGGAGAAAGGAAGAGCAAGCCACGGCATCTTTCCAAAATAACCACTAAATGCCTCCTCATCTTTATCAAAAGAGATGAACACCACTTCAAAGTCAGATTTTTCAGAAAGTTCTTGGTAAGCTTGCACTAACTTTGGGGTGAAACGGCGACAAGGACCACACCAAGCTGCAGAGAAATAAATTCCCACTGTCTTTCCAATCAAAGAACTGATCTTTACCTATAAAACAATCACCATTCTATATTCTCTCAAACAGAACAAGCTGTGAGGTGTACGTAATCTAATAAGTATGTCAAAATTAAACTGATTTTACCTATGACAGAAAATGGAAAGATAATCAATCTTTTGTATAGAACCCAGAAGTCAAAACGGCATTCAACTCAAAGCAAGTAAAAGACATTAGGCCCGGATTTCCGTGAAGAAAGTTAAACTTAATTAACAGGACCTTCAGCAATGCCATTAATCAATCTCTCAGTTGATTCTGATAAACATAACAAATTGGCTTCAAAATCCATAAGGATGAAAAATGCAAAAGTACCTGATCATTGTTTTGCCGTATAAGAAAATCTCTTTCATCCGAACCAAGGAGAGAATTGAGATCATGGGAAGAAGTCTTTTCATCGTTGGTCATCGTGGCCATCTAGACTTTGATCTTGATTAGGTGCAACTATGGAATTTGTAATGGTTCTATTTATTTCGTTGGTTTTGATATTATCAAAGGGAGAGGAAGAATTTTATGATGCTGACCGATGGATATACTTTTATGGGTGATTCATAAACTTTAAGGAACGAAGAAGGGAGGAGGAAACTTCTATGTACTAGAAGGTGTGTTTTCAAGTAATTGAATGCTGCTGGCTGACACTAATACCCCCACTACTTTGAATTAGCGTGGAGTATTATGCTAATAATTCATGTGATTACTACGTTTCACCTTTTTTCTGACCATTTGTAAGCAATTGATTTGCATCATTTATCTGTCTATAATATAGTCCCTTCGGTCTTTAATATAAGGCATTTTGATTAAAAATATATACTAGATGAATGTTTTTAAATTTTGTTATCAATTGAAAATGAGTACTAGGTGAAATTTAGGACAAATCAAAATGTCTTATTCCACCCAGTCCTTAATAAAAGAAATTTTAATTTGTTATAAGTTTTATCATTAAGCATTTTTAATTAATAAAAAACCTTTAAAATATATTTTCATATTCACCGTATACTGTTAATCATTATTAAATATTTTAAAATTTTTTTCAATTAAAAATATGTACCAAGTGAAACCTAACACTTAAAATGCCTTATATATAAGGATTGGAGCGAGTATGATTAAGAATTGGAGGGGATATAAAGGGAGAGTTCGACCGACCAAGGGCCTGTTTAGATCCGATGCCCGGTCATACTCCCCACCATGTGGACACACTCCTCTTGTTTCTTTTCCTTTCATCTTGTTTCTGTCTTCGCTGCTGTAGCAATAGAAAATCGCCATTAGCATAGCCTTTTGTCTTCTTCTTTTCCCCCTTTCGCTCAGGTTACATTGTGGTAGTCAAGGAAAGCAGACACCACAGCTGTGTTGGAAATCAGGTTTGTTTTGGTTCCTTTATCCGCTGATTCTCTACTAATAATCAGATTGGTTTTTTGTCGCTCTGTTCCCAGTATAGATGAGATAGTTCTTTTCCCAGAATTCGTATTTGAGTTGTATGTAAGGTGTTTGTAAAATTTCCCCTAAGAACGTAGTAGAACATTTCTACTTTTAATATGAAATTTTTAAATGCTTTGTTTGCTTTAAATTTTATCGGCTGCTGCTATTGGCCCTGCATTTTAAGTCTTTTACTTTCATTCTCTTTGATTATGTGCTAAAAAGGTTTTAACTTTATCATCCCTTTGATTTAGAATCTTGTTGCAGATTTTTTGCTTACTTTATATTTCTAAAGTTTACATGGACTGAACTTCTGTATTCTGTTATACAAAATTGCATATTAGTCTCTGCTTATTTTAGATTCCGTAAGCTAAACATATGTTGGTTTTGGAATTGTATATGGGATCTCTCGTATTTTCCCCTCTGGCTCTTTGCATGCTGTGGATTTTTAATAACTTCAGTTTTCCTTTGGGTTCTTAAAAAGGAAGGGTTCCACCATATGTTTTGCACATACGCTCCAAATTATGATGCTCAACCTGTAAGTTAAGTGTTTGATATTTCCCCTCTAAGGTTCTCAATGGCTATCAGATGAAGATCATGTTTTCTTTTTGATATACCACGTGTCTCTGTTTACTACATTATCTTGCCATTGATATATTAAGAAGAAAAAAAAAGCCTATATTTGATTTGCTTTTTAACAATACAAGCACCTACTTTGTTTCGTTTCAATAATCTATTTTATTGTTTTCTGTGTCTCAAAAAAATAATTCATAATTGAGTTTTCAAACTTGTATTAGTTTTAGTACAAATCTTAAAACTCAATGTGGATTAATTTTTTGGAATGGAAATAATAATAATGTTTTAGTTTGATAGGAAATGAAATAGTCAAATGGGACGAAAGGACTAGTATATTTCATTTTTCTTGCTACAAATACTCGAATTTGCTACAAATATTCGGAGTGTGGCTTTTCATGTGTCACAATTTTGATAACTTTTGTCAGATTTTTCTATCTCCAGGATTGCTCTTGTTATTAGTATATTAACTCTGGTGTGATGATTCTTTTTCAATAGGAAAAATTAGCCATTGTGTTGGCTAGTTGCAAACGTCAAGTTCATGTGAACTCGTCAAAATGGCTATAGTAACTCGCCACCTGCTCCGCCGTTCACCGGCCTCCTCACTACCGTTCCTAAACCCTCACATCCATTGCCGGAGCTACTCTTCCACCTCCGGTGCCACTAGCCACATCGATCACCAACGTAATCACGAATTCCTTTCTCCGAACGATTACATTGGGTCATGGAAACCTCCGAAGGATCCCAAAGAAGCTCAGTCGCAGCTCGCGCATCTTCGCCGTGAGTATGCGCTGAAGGTTAAAGCAGCTCGCAAGGAATACATCCGCGAAGTGGAGTTTCTGAAGCTCGAGAAGCAAAAGAAGGATTTAGCTAGAAAGGAAGCCCTGAGGATTGCAAATGAAGAGCGGAAAGCGGCTAAAGATGCCGAGAAGGCGGCCAAAGCCAAGGAAAGAGAAGTGGCTGCAGAGGAATTCCGACAAACCCTTGTAAGTTTTTTGCGATTAATTTTTTTCCCCCCATTTCTTGGCTATACTCATTTGGTCGGTAGTTGCATATTGCAGTAATGTTATTACAATTATTGTTCTTCATTTTGATTTTGAGGGAAACGAGAATGTGTTGTGGAATTTATCATCAATGGCGTTTCAGCCTGATTATTTCTTTGTGGCGCGGGTATTTTGTGATAAAAAGGATGCATTTGTTTAAAATTGAAACTTGCATTGTGCCTTTAGTTGGCTAATTTCCTTTAGATTTCTGTTCCCGTTTTTGTTTGTCTTCTATTGTATAGGGATTTTTTTGCAATATTACTTTAGTTCGAACACCTATTCCAATTCTAGTTACCAGAGGTAAGAACTTGAGGACTTACTTTTAGAAGTGAGGTAATAAGTAGGACAGATGTATGGAAAAATGGATTACTAGTGACATCTGGATCTTTGATGACTGATGTGCTTCCTTAGGAGCTTTTAGGCTAAGATTATTTCTCTTCAGAGAAGCTTTTATATGGAAAGGACAAGTTTTCTGCGGTCAACCATGTGTGATAGTGTTTCTTGTTCTTGAGCTTTATGGCTACTTTTTACCGAGTTTTCTTCAGTTTTGTTGTATCCGATTGACTGATTTAGTTGTGATATATCATCCTTAAATAGGCTACAGCTGAGGGGGAGGGTTGGGGAAGGATGGGGATCGTAGGCTATAGGTCCCAATCGGAATTGTGGAAGGGTGGGTATAGTTTGTTGCAATGTTACATACATTATCTCCATCGCAAAGTTTTCTTAATTTTCTCCTTGATGTCCATTATTGTATTTAGAGCTTCTCCTTGATTTTAAAGTAGTTTCCCTCTACCAGTCAAGGCATATATGCTTGAGTCTGGCTCTGCCTCTTTAATCTTTGTGGATGCTGCAGAGTATGTCATAATATAATTCCATCATGTGAATCCTAGTTTACTGTGCTATCTTGAGAAACTAATGCCATATTTAAATGTATTTGACACATCAGATTGTGTATCAAAGCTTGTTTAGTTAGATGGTTTTCGGCGATCTTGTGACTGATGAATTTTATACCAATGTTACAGTTAAAAGAAAGAGCTGAGAAACTTGAACACTGGAGGATGAGAACTCAAAAGTTCGAGGAGAAGAAAAAGCAGAAGAAGGAGCTTTTGCACCGTCAGAGTTCTTTGTGGGTCAGTGAATCTGAATTGGAGAAAAAAGCCTTGGAAGCAATCGTTGATAGTACACCTCTTTAATTTTTTTAAGTCGGCTAGTCATACGTTTATCTTTGTTTGCTGGCGGGTCTACTGATGCTCGGCCGAAACTATGCTACAGCCCCCTAGTTATTGACAACTCTCTAAGACCATTTAGTGTCAGAGATTCGAATTGGCAGATAAATGCAATTGGATGCTATTAGAAAACTGATTTTGATTGAAGTATTTATATACACGTAATCGAGTCAACAAATCTCATAGCAAAACCAAGTAGTCTTCCACCAATGTGACATGAAAATGATGAGCGCGTTTTCATGCCGAAGGAAACACGAGAATGAACAGGGCAACATTTCCAGTTGACACATTTTAATTTACGAGTTAAATAACCTTGTCTCATAATGGCAAAAACACTGCACAGTAGCAATGCCATACTAAAACATACATTACCCATGATGATATCAGATACCAATAGCTTCTCTCTTCTTGTGCCATAATCACAACCATTTATGAAATACACACGCCACTAAAGAAAAATCACACCCACATATTTGTAACAAAGGCACAATTTTGCAGGTCTAGTAACAGGTCTCTCAAGCTTTACGGCAGACGTCTCCATCGCATACCCATCCTTCTTTCTTCTCTTCATCGGCAGTTCCTGCCTCGGCGTCGGGTTTCTTCTCCTCCTTTTCTTCCAAGGCACATTTTGGGTGGAGATCAAAGTCACACTGTTCGCAATAGAAAGACCAGACTTGTCCCCCTTCTTTACAGCTATCACAGACGTAAGATTGGCGCTTACTCAGTACGAGTTCGTGTTCCTCGTGTAACGCATGCTTCAGCTTCTCAGGCCACCCCTTTGCCATCTCCTCATACTCCATTTCAATCTCCTTCAGTCGCTCATTGGTGAAGGGAAAGGCGCTGGCACCATGCTCCATGATGAGCTCTCTGGTTTCAGTGGTGATAGTCTTGCCAGTTGGTCCAAGAGCAACTAACATCGGTATGCCTCTAACCTTAAACAAATGACTAAGGGACTTCTTCCTTTCATCGCCAAAGGGAAGTGCCAGCCAAGGCATACTTGCAAAATACTCATCAAACGCATTTTGGTCCCTGTCGCTTGATATGAAGATAATTTCAAATGCTTCAACTTTACTTTTGATCTCCTTATATACTTCAACAAGCTTTGGGGTAAAAGCACGACAAGGAGGGCACCAGTGAGCAGAGAAGTAAAGGAGTACGTGTTTCCCAACCAGATCAGAAACTGGAACCTTCAAATAAAAACACAGTTCCATTAGAGTGCTTGGTTATAAGAAAAATAATCCAAAGAAAAATTTTGTTGACACGACTTGAAGTTCATGATGAACTTACAACTACAAGAATACCAGAAACAACCACTTCAGAAATATCAATACTATGCATGTTTAAATAGTCCCAACATATAAGTGGAGAAGTATCAGAAAAGGTCACATTGTAAATTCCATACCTTTTTTCCTTCTTTGCCAATCACAAAATCGTGATCTCCTGAAACAAGAACAGACTCAAGTGTCTGTGCTTCCAGCTTAGCCTTTTCTATCTCCTCAAGCTCAGCAAATTTCTCTGGTGTGAAAGGATATGCTTGAGAGCCATGTTCTTCTATCGCTTCAGCAGCATTAGAATGTAATGTTTTCCCATCAGGTCCGAGGATGACAACTGTAGGCAAGGTGAAGAGCTCAAAATACCGTACTAACTTCTCACAGTTTTTGTCTCCTACGGGCAAGGAAAACCCCGGAATGTTTTTGAATGCATCCTTAAATGCTTCTTCGTCATCATCAAGGGGTATTGTCACAATCTCAAAATTCTCTCCCTTTTCTTTTACTTTGTCATAGAGTTCAATGAGTTTAGGAGTAAATGCAATGCATGCACCAAAAGAGGATAATGCGAAATACAAGCCCACTGTCTTCCCCTCCAGTTCGGTGACAGAAACCTTGACAAAGCAGAAATCATTGTAAGGATCACACCAACTAGAGTTCCAAACAAGATTGCAATGACAGGCATTCACTTGAAAATCAAAACAAATTGTACTACCTTATTTCCATCATGATCAAGGACATAGTCACGTGAGTGAGAAAGCAGGACAGACTTTAAAGGCTGTTCCCTCCTGGCCACTGCTTCCTGCTCTTTGATTTCTTTGATCTTTTCCTCAGTAAAAGGATATGCTTCCGCCCCATACTCTCCGATGATTTCAACTCCACTATCTGTGGAAACCTTTCCACTTTCATTGAGGATCACAAGATGAGGAATTCCCCGGACACTAAACACCTCATCCAACTGATCACGTGTTTCGGAATCAGAATAGGGTATCGCTAACCAAGGCATCTTAGCAAAATACTCTTTAAAGGCCTCATCATCTTCATCCCCAGAGACAAATACAATCTCAAAGTCACCTTTTGGGGTGAGTTCATTGTAAGCCTCTATAAGCTTCGGGGTAAAACGTTGACACGGACCACACCATGATGCTGAGAAGTATAATCCTACTTTTTTCCCCTTCAGAGTCTCTACTTTAACCTGCAAAAGCTACAAGTTTAACGACATATTCGATAACAGTCTAGGGATGTTAAAAACTATATTAGTACTAACAAATCGAGAAGATAGCAAACAATGCCAAGAAGAAAGCCAAAATTTGACTGACACAAACAAAAGTCGTTTATAGTGTGGCTATACAATTGTTGAATCATTAACCACTTTCTTTTCACTCTTCCAAGTATACTTGAGGAATGGACAGACTAATTTACAGACAACTCATTTCCACAATTATGTAATTTATCAAAGCATTTTCTTAAACGCACAACCCAGGGTAATTAAGTTCTGAAACCCTTTCTGCACCACCCAAATTTATCATCAAAGCATACTGTCCGCACCACCCAAATTCACCATCAAAGTATACAATGGTAAACTAAGGGACAAAAATCAACACCCCATAAAACCCTTAAACGGTTAAACCCCATGTCTCGAAGCAGCCAAATATCAAACAGAAACCAAACCCTCCAAAATTTGCCCTGCTCAACCATCAACAACTAAAACTGACCCGTTTAAAAAATTAACAGATACAAAATTCCAGCAACAGAAACCTGCTTCTTCGGGAAAACATAACGACGTAATCAATCCCGATTGGATTCATTAGAAAAAAGAAGAAGAAAGAAGTCGGCGAAATTACCTCTTCCCCGTTGTTGCGAACAAGGAAGTTACGGACTGAAGAGCAAAGAACAGTGTTAAGATCATGAACTTGATTCCCTTCCTCTGCCATGGCAACTGACGCTTAATCAGGAATAGCCCGCTTGCTAAAATCACCAGAAAGTTAAGAGAATGTATCGAAATTTTGGTCCGCGAGGAAGATTAACGCCAGGGGAGATGCTTAAAGTTATAAAGAGGTGGAAATGGGGGATGGAAAAGGGATTTTAAATCCTGGAATTTTCTTGGAGGTTAAGTTAGAAGGTAGTACTAAAGAAATTTTCTTCAGTGTGAAAAGGAAAGAAGCAAAGAATTAGATGCGTCAATGGTTTTTTCTTTTAATTAAATTTTCATGTTCGCGTTGTTTTCGCGTCTAGTGCGGGCCACGAAATTCAATTTTGGCTTTATTATCGATATCGTACCAAAATAAGTATTTCTTCCGTCCCATAATTATTATCCAGTTTGAGTTTTTATTTTTAGTTCAAATTGTACTAAAAGTGAAATTTCAAACTGGACAATAATTTTGGGACGGAGGGAGTAGTAGTTTTAAAAAAACCCCAAAAAAAGCTCTAATTAATAGGACAATAAAATCATTTCTTTTTCTTTTTAAGGCGGTTACAGAATATGAAATAAATGAATAGTGAGTGATATACAATACAAGCAGTGAAATCATTACCTTGTTTGGTTTATCTTTTTGCGCTTTTTTTTTTATTTTCCTTTTTAACTTTATACTTATTAATTTTCAAATTAAATGTTTCACAATTTCAATGATGTGAAAAGAAAAAAGAAACTGTGCTAACAACCCTCCCTAACACAAATGGAGGAGTCAGGAAATCAAAAGCATCTTGCGTAGACACTTTAATAATAAACAAAAATTAGTGGTTAAGATAATGTTATAATGGTGAAGTTAGTCATTTTTTAGAAGGAATAGGTCGAATTTTTTACTCCAATTGATCAGTGTGTCACTTTTTTTTGTATAGGGAAAACATTCTTTAATTACAAGAAGAGTCGTGAGACGTTTGTGATGTTTGATGACCTCTTTGAAGCCCAAATCTTAATCTAATTTGTAGTACTATGAAGTTATGAAATGTGAATTTTGTTTTAGCCCACTTTCTTTGAGATGTTCATTTGTGAAGAAGTAAAGAAGTAAAAGCCCACTTTGGTGTATCCATTGAGTTAGTGCCGAAGGTGGCTGTTTGATCTGCCTAGGCTTCGCTCAGAAGTTCTCATATGATGACAATTGATAAGCCCAAATTTCATACGCTTAATAATGTGTGTTTTTTGTTGAGACATTTTTGGCCTAGCTTAAATATTCTGCAATGATTTGGATGGTACACAAGTTTGATTTTGAAATCAACCCAACCATACATGTTACATACTGAAAAATTCTGCAATAAAATTTGGTGCCTCGTGCTCTTCTTTTTCCTTGTACAATGGATGAAGCAAAAGTCTGGTGACTAAGCAACCCCTATAACATCGTGTTTAAGCTATGGTCTGACTCCCGGTGGTGAAACTTCTAGTCAATGAGCACATAAGAGCGGGAGAATCTAACCGCCTTGCGAATAAGTACTGCTTCATTTTTCTACAAATTAGTTGAAACCAATCTCATAGGCTTTGTGACCATCGAGTTTAAAGATCCCAAAATGCCTTTCCACCTCTTCCCCGCCTTTGTCACTCTCATCAAACAGATCAAACAAGAACACCTCAACCCCAATTCCAGGCCTTTTAGGCGTCCCAAGATTGTTCAACGACCTTTTCACCACATTACCATTATAAGCCAGAGCATTCTCCGCACTGGCGGCATTTCCTCCGGCAGTCGGCCATCCCGTCTCCGTCACCACCACCGGAATACCCACGAATCCTTCCCTCTCCATCGCGTAAATGAACGCGTCGACCGTCGCGTCGAACATGTTGTCGTACCCCAAACTCTGATCAAATTCAGGAAACGGCGACTTAAACAGAGCATAGTCTAACGAAACATATCGCATGTTGTTTATGTAGCTGAAAAAAGGATACACATTGACCATCAGTGGCGCGCCCGTTTCGGACAAGAATTGCAACAATGGAGTCATTACTGAAAGGAGATTCGGGTCAAACAACCCGGATGATGGAGGATAGGAAATGGAAAGAACTGAAGCGGCATGAGCAGAGGAAAGCTTGATTTTATCCGCCAGGCCTAATGTTTGAAGGGCTAGATGGAGTTTTCTTATTGCAGGCACAAGATATTGGGAATAAAATGTGTCTTTCAGGAGTACTTCATTGCCAACTGCGAGGTACCGAACTTGGGTCGGGGAAACCTGCGAGAAAATGTTGGATTGGAGCCAATTAATGGATGTGGAAATCATGCCATTTGCAAGTGTTGGAAGGACTTCATTTGGGATGCCGATCATGAGCTCAATTCCAGTCCCTGAGAATGGTCTGAGTCCTTCAGGATCCGCATTGAACAACCGAATTCGTGAAATCCCATTGGATTTGATTATGTTAATGACATCTGAGGAAGGCGGCAAATTGCTGGCGACTCGGCCATAGCATACTCCCACAGGAACAGATCCTGCAACACAATTTGAATAAAGATATTAGTCAATTTAAGCATAATTTTCTAAAATTCATCCTTTACGGGGAAAAAAAATGACTTTAACTAAAAACCTGTTGGTTTTGCTAGCAAGATTAATAGAGGGGTCACAAACTGTAAGATAATTGGAGCATTCATTCTTACAAGAATCATCATGCTTGGCAATAGAAATGCACATGCATATCATTGTTTTGAGTATAAATACTGAATATACAAAGAGAAGCGTTAGGATTTAAGTTAAAGTTGGTTTCGACCGTTGGTTTTGAAAATTAAAAAACTCAGCATTGATTCCTTCCCTGTGGTTTTGTAGATAGAGTCTTGGTATGAGATGGTATCAAATTTTTAAGTTCAATATGGTTCACTCTTTAATGCTTTATCCAGAGATAAAAAAAAGATCTCAAGGGATGAATATATGATTTTTGGCACATTTGACTGAGCAATTTGATCAAACATATGCAAAAGGTTATATACAGATGCAACCTCAAAGTAAAAGAAGTACTTGAAACTCCCAAAGACCAAAGTTGTATGGTATTTGCTTGTTCGTTCAAATTTGGTTTTCTTCCGATATAGTTCAGCATTAAATTGTCGATTTTTTTTTGTGTGTCTAAATTAAGCTCAGAGTTAACCGAAGACCTCTCATTGTACTACTCCCATACACATTTGCAAAGTAACCATCTACAATGTCACATTTCAGGGAAAAATTAAAATAATTTCATCCCAAACTTGTATAGTGCGGGTCGATTTTATAGTCTACTTTTAAAAGTAGACGACAAAATCGACAGAAACATTTTGTATCCTCGGAAACATTTAGCAAATGCGAACTCTTCTTTTTTTGCAACTGAACCTCTCAGTAAGGCCATTCTCTTTTATATATGTAATTCATGAATTTCGTCTAAGATGTATTTGATCAATTCGTTGATTATTACTTGACGAATTAATTCTGATGCTAATCTGTTGCTTGTTTTGGGATATCTCCTACTTAATTGGATTCGAATTCCCTGGTTTGGGTTTGGTTTCCAGGGGGGAAAAAAGAAGGTTTGAAGTTGAACTGATTGTGGTTTGGGTTGTGGTGGCCGGCGGAAGGAGGGGGGAAACAAAAGAAAATAAAGTTTTTTTAAGAAAATTAAATAGAACATGGGACCGACTAATTTTTTTTAAGTAAAAAAAAAAAAAATCAAGTGTGGGCCGGAATTCAAGTTCAGATGGTTGCCTGATGAAATTTTGATGGATGGGACTAAATCGCATAATAAAGTTCAAATATTAAGGTGAATTATCTAATTATCTGTAATTTAGAGTGAGATTGTTTTAATCCTCAAAATTTGGGACTAAAAGTCTACTTGGTCCCATTTCTAGCCAACACGTTAATATCACTACTTGGTCCCATTGCATTTTACAAAGTTCTAATTTGCTGCAAACCCACACTATTCTGTACCTGTTATTTCGATTCCCTTTGTTTTCAATTCGGATACAAAGACATCCAACAAGTCCTTAAATGATTCCATATCACAGCATATTCTCTCAACAAGACAATTGTCATAATCAGAGTGAGTACGTTCCCTGTGACAATTAAATGAAGAAAACAATCTTTATAAGAAAATATTTATAAAAGTTTCCGTGCATATTTTCTCCGCGGATGCTTATGGCTTTACGAAACAGCAATGGCAAAATGCGTATGGAATCAAACGGTGAGAATCATCAACATTCAACACAGCCAAGTATTCTTGCAGTGGGGTTCTATACATTTTTAAAGCTTCTTTTTTGGTAATGGAGGATTAACTATTTCATTTTTTTTATTTGTTTTTTCCCTCCTAAAAAGATGCCATTTGCTTTACTATTTTCTTTCCTTTTCTCCATTGTTGCTTGCGTGCATAATTATGTCTCTGATCGAGGTATGTGTATCATTGGTCTAATTATTGTAGCAGTCTTAGACCCTACCCAGCCTAAAATCACGATTCCCCCTCTTTCCCAAAAGCAACAAGAATATTGTTGGTAAGACTCAATTTACCCCAACTGTCGTTATCCATCTGATATGTTTTTTGCATTGGGATTGAGGAACTCAGAGTATTATGTAGGACTTTTAGACATTTGGTTCAAATCTACAAGTGAATTATTTTTTAGAGACAAAAAACATTATAATGTGTTTTATCCAAGTATCAATTACTTGGCTCCAATGAGGAAAGTGTGGGTTATTTTAAGTATGGTTCAAATCTACAAGTGATTAAAATACTTGCTGGTAGAGTTTTATCTCTTGAAAGGACTTACCCAAGTTGAATCTGAATTAGTCGTAACAATGATTTTAGACACCGAATATGTAATATACCAAAAAAAATATCAAACGGGTCATATTGGATTACAATGTAGACTTAGTTAAGTTCACTACAACAATTTTGAATTTTTTGTGAATGTATTATACTCGATATGCACTTCAAACAAGATGCTACGTAACTCTATATGTGATCTCCAGATTCAGTCTTAATGGGGAAGGAGAGATAGCTAGATTTACCACTCACACTCTATACATGGTCAGATTGATAGAAACAATCATGTGAAAATGAACATTAATCGAGAAAATAAAAAGTAAAAGCAACAGGAAACTCTAGATTTTGAGCAGTCCATATCTTCTCCGAACAAAAATGTCTAGGATCGAAAGCTACCTTTGACCCATAAAAATAAAAAGCACTTAGAAATCCCAACTTCGAAGTGCATGTGTCCGCTAAAGCACTAATGATCAAGGAGATAATTTACAAAACAATATCATCATATATGAAACCGCTCCAAAAAGTTTTTCTACCATTATCTTTCTCAACAATTTTCACGGGGAAATTCACATAGTTAGTTTTTTAGAATTAAAACCACCATTTATTAGATTTTGCAGACATACATTTCAAAATCCGCAACTGTCTAACAAACGATCAAAGATATTTTGGGGCTTAAGCATACAAATTTATTAACGACTCAATATTTCAAGGTTCGTATGTGATTTAAATTATCTCATGATTCATCTATTAATTAGAAAAAAATACATATTTTATTAGTGGGACGTGGTTGAATGAATCCACAAAACATAAAGTTGTGTTCCTATATGCATGGTAAAATTGTAGCTTCTATTCCAAGACCCGATCTCGAAAACATGATGTCCAAAGTTAGCTCCAAAATCTCTACTTTCTCTCAAAACAAAGCAACAAAAATACCCCCACTGCTTCTCCTGCAGTAAAGAGGACATGAGGAATATCTTTAGTTGTCTAGCTCTCTTTAATAAAGAAAGAAAATTTCCCCCTTTTTTAAATTTCAAAATACCCCACATTTAAGTACCCCATTCGTTTCCACAATCTTTTCTCCCAAATTCAATAGCCCCCATAATCTTTGTTGTTGCTTCCTTCATTAATTCAATCCCAAAAATCCTTCCTTTGTATGCACTCAACGAACAGAGTACAAAACTCCCCAAAAACTCAAAACACTTCCAAATTCCCCACACACACACACACTCTTATCTTATTACTACAACCTAATTAGCCTAACAACCTACGAGAAACCATGTCCCAAGTTGACGTTTATGCGAGTCCTAATATCCCAATGGCACAAACTCCACCCCATTCAAATGGGTCGTTTGCCCCTGTTCTGATAGTCCTAGCTATCATTTTCGTTCTGGTTGTCGTTTCTGTTGTTGTTGGAAGAATATGCAACAAGCGCTACCACAAAGGGGATAAAGAGAAATCCCATGGCAAAGTGAAATCACACGGGAAAGGGAAGAAATCCAAGCAAAAGGACAATTTCCGTATTCAAGCTGGACACCATGGAGTTGGAGGAGGAGATCAAGGAGACATTGAGTTTGGATTCGACAAGAGATTCGCCAGCGCCAAGGTTGCCGCAACTAATGGAATGGTGGACAACCATAATCCTCACTTCAATTTCAAAGCCCCTCCTCCGAGTCATAAAATGCCTCAATTCCATCACGGTGGCGGCGGCGGTGAACCAAGAGGGCCTCATGCAGTTAGATTTGCGGATGATCATATTGAATTCAGAACGGGTCATTGAGATAATTGGCCTTTTTGGGGGGGAGTCAAAGTAGTCAACTGTCAATACATATGGTACGAGGAGAGTTTAATTAACTATGTTGTACTCTCTCGTACATGCTTCATGTTTGGTTTACTACAAATTGGGTGTTGGCTGTGATTTCTACTGTGGTTATGGTTATATAAGTTTCTCGAGTTCTTTGCCATGTAAAAGCTTTATGTTAGTTTATCATAACTTCTTGTCAGGCATGGAGGGGACTGAAATAGTAGTTTCTTAGGGTCATTTGTTTTCTCTTTTTTTAGATTTTGTGTTAGTTAATACTGGATTGGGTACTAGTACTATTTGTGGGGATTATGAATGGATCGTTTGATTTACCGTGTCAATTATGAAAACGGAATTACTAGTCCAATTTACCTAGCTCTCTGGAAATTTTAAATTTACCATTCCGTAGCTACTAATATCAAGTGGTTGGCCAATCTGCGAAATAATCAAATAAGGATTTGTTTTGTTTCCACAAACTGGTTATTGTGGCATGCGTGAAACTTGAAAACAACAAAGTTTTAACTGAACTTTGGACGACATATACGTAACAAATAAAAAAGATAAGTAATCTTTCAGAATTCAGCAGCAGCCGTGACTTTGTCCTGTAACCCCACATCAGTAAACTTGCCATTATAATGATTGTTTAAGCAGCATTTTCTCGGATGGATATTTGTCTCCTTGTCATCCTGGTTTTGGTACAATTTGTTTGAGTTATTTGTTCAGGAGTTCACACAGTGGGTTTGCTTGACATTTGTCTAAGGTCCTTTATTTTGCTTTTGGGCCATATAAAATTTTATTATTTTGGTGGTGAGCCTTTCACAATGGAGCTCCCGCATTTTTCTACCAAGAAATTGCGATTTTTATTGATATTTTTTTTTTATATACACAATTATAAGTACCTTAGTATATAAAATGTAGGGATGTAGGGTAAAGCTTATGGGGAAGGGGACAGTAGTACTACTAAGGCGGAGACTGCACGTGCACACGTCTGCGGAGACTCCACGCGCACACGTTTTGATCTGATACTCGAAAAACCTTCTTGATGGGTGCAAGATAACCTGCACAATTCAACACAGAAATACGTTGTTAGTGGGGTTTGAACCCGGAACCTTTCTGTTGATGTCATGCTCATTTACCACTTGGGCAACCCCTTTGTTGGCCTTTTATTGATAATTATGATAAGAGAATGGGAGAATCGGGGTTAACTATGACTAGATTAACTATGACTCGGCTTCAAATCCGGGTATAGACATGCACCAGTGATTAAAATACTTGTTGTGAGAGTTTTGTATCTTCAAAGACACTTACCTGACTCGAATTCGAATTAGTCGGAGTAAGATTTCGGACACCAGATACGTAATATAGAAAAAAAAAATAATTGGGAGAAAATTCAGTTCATTCTTTTTGGTCAATAGGTGTCTTAAAGACTCTTGTACCATTTTTCAAAAAAAAAAAACTCTTGTACGACCGATATGTCTTAAAGAAAACAAAACCTCTAAGCATGTATGTACATTCATTCCAAATTCAAGCACAAGTTTAGAATTTCTCAAAAGGATAAAAAGGAAAGGCAACGCAAAGGAATTAGTTCCAAACAATAAGCCTAAACTTTATTAACCCCCTGCCTTTTTTCCACACGATCACATTTCACAACATGTTACGAATAAGATCTGGAAAATCGTTTTCTGAGAGAATTGAAAAGAAATTGAAAGTAGGAATAGAATACTCATCATCATTAATAATCATCCAAACTTCCTGTTCCGGCGACTATATAGGCTAGTTTGATAAGAGTCGAAAATAATCATCGGCCCTTCTAGAAGAGTTCCAGAATTACAGCTGGAAAAATAAAGGAAATACAAAATAAATCCAGAAATAGTAATTATACTAATTTGGGAATCCAACCCTGCAATTGTCTGAATCTCAATAATTGCCAGCGAATCTCTGTCCTTCCTCTCAGGCCCCCTTAATTTGTAGAAATTCCACTTCAGTCCCTCAGTTCATGACACAACCATTGGGTCTCTAATAGCCCAATATCAAGCAGCTTTTGAAAGCCCGTCCTTTGCCCATAAATCTTGCGTTGAAGTCCTCTATTTCAACTATGGGCTCTGAGCTTGAAAATTGGAAAAGGCCCAAGATGTTTTATAACGGATTTAACCCTGAGCAGCCATATTTTCCAATCTCATTTTCATGGATCTTCATTGCATAAATAAATGTTGTGGAAATGCATTTAATGAAGCTTCGAGGATATCGTACAATATCTTAATTTTTTGTTCAACTCAAAAACAATTAAATCATGTGGATGGTCGGTCCAAGCATGGGCACGCCTCACTGATAATAGAAGTTTTTACGACTTGAAATATTATTATATGCTAAATAAAAAAAAAAAAATCGGGTCGGGGCGAAGTCAAAGTCCATCTTTGTTTGGTTTCAGCCGTTTTGTTGACAATGAAAAGTCAGAAATCTTTGGGGTTCCTGTCTTCCAGCTAGAATCGTGAAGGAGAAGAATGTTAGACGAAGAATTGATCCATCAAGAAATGGTTATGCATTTAAGTACTTTTTTTGTCTCAAAATAATTATTTTGTCATAGATAAGAAAATTAATTTGGTACCAAAGTAGTACATTTTTATAGTAGGAGTTGTTTACTTGTCAACACCGTTACATATGTATGCAGCAAGCTACCGGAAAAAAAAGAAAAACAAACATTCCATGAATTCAAACATCAACCTAACATTACATCAATACGCCCGTAACCAGTAAAGACTATATTATTTTTGTACTATCTTTCATCTTTGCTGTTTATGTTCATTTGATTTGATTTTTTTTTTTTCATTTTTCAGGTTTTATCTATTAATACAATCTGACTTTATTGGTTTCTGGTATACTCCTTCCATTTTAAAATTATTTTCCAGTTTGAATTTTTAGTTACTATAATACAAATTAAATTAAAAATGAAAATCTAAAATAGACAATAATCTCACAAGGGATAGAGTAGATTTTTACGTGAATATAGATTGCAACTAAATTTAAATTTAAAAACCAAAACAGATTCAACATACTCCCTCCGTCCTATAATTATTGTCCAGTTTTACTAAAATGAAAGATTTTATTTTTGGTCAAAGTTTACTATATTTTACCTTAAATAACCGGATATACCCCTATATAAGTAATTGTTTAACCACTAAGATTTTATGGATAATATTTTTTACTAAGGACAAATGTGTAACTTGATCCATAAAAAGTCAAATTGGACAATAATTTTGAGATAAAATTTTTTGGGCAAAGTGGACAATAATTATGAGACGGAGGGATTACATGACACTCCTACATCTCAATTTCATTCCTTCACCAATCACCATTGCATATTGCAGAACACACGGTATATGCAGTTTGACTTTGACCGGTGGCTTCTATAGTTCTATCACAATACCAACCAATGAACAAAGTGATATACTGACTCGGCCCCACCGGAAAACTTGGGTGTATATATTGACTTGACTTAAGTCAATGATATGCGGATCGGGTACTTTCCCCAGCAAGTAGCAAACCAAGGTAGTATTACAAAACTAGTACAAAACACATGTCGATAATTTTCCAATCTGGGTGGAGTGAAATAGCTGTTTCTAACTTCTCCCTCCCCCCCCCCCCCCCCCCCCCGGCCTTTTTTTTGAGGACTTAAAAACTAAAAATTCATGGTGCAAATTAACCTTAATGTTACGTTTAGTGTAATGTATTGTGCAAGATTTGGGAAGATAAATAATGCATGTCTTGATGTCTAATCAAACTTATTGTATCCATCAAAACTGGTTAGTTTTCAACAAAGTTGATAAAATGCATTTTCTCACGATAATAAAAAATTTTTAAAAAGTGTTTAAAAGGTTTAAAAATGATGAGAGGTTTTTTCTATAACGGGGCATGCGTTAACTCCAGAAAATACAAATAAAGATCGTGAATATTTCATTGGTTGATGGAGAAAATCAAATTGGGATATTAGCAAGTAACACGCAAATGGATTTTTGTTAATTAATTATTACCATGAACTACTGGAATTGAACAACTTACGTAATCTAGTACGTATGTAGAAAGCTAAGTGCAATTAATTACTGTATTATTTAAAAACAAACATTTGCTGATTTGGTGTGGAGGTAATATATGTAACTTAACTCATCACGCAAGTTTTCTCTCAATACATTTCCTTCATTTATTCAAAAAAAAAAAAAAAAAATCATTTTTTTCCCTCGACTTTCTAGACGTTCTAGAATGCGCAGATTCTACTTGGGCGTTAAGGGAAAGGGAAATTTCAAACCATGAGGTGCATTGACCCCCTAGCCACACCTGCTGATGAGTTGAGTTTTGTCTATTAAATGATTCCACGGGAGTAAGGAGATATATTTTTCAGCTACGGTGGATAGTCAATGCTAATAATTTTCAAACCCATATCCATACTCCAACCCCTTTAAGATATGCAGAAAAAAAGATTTAAAAAAAAAGTAGTTGATGTTAACTAATTATCTATTGACAGTTTGATATTTCAAACTAGACGAATTTCGCTTGTATTTCGTTGGATTTATTTATTGACTTTACGTGCATTTCTGGTATATAAAGAAAAGGGGGAGAAAGAACAATTTTTTAAAATTGTTTTTTTCTTTTTTCTTTTCCCTAGTGTTTTGCTGTTAACAACAAATTGACAATTTGATTAAAACTTAAAACAATATCCAGTTACGAATGATGAAATTGTGGAGATATACCTAACAAGTATGGGGAAAATTCATTTCATCGTCACTGAAGTTCCAGTGTGTAACCAAAGAGTCAAAGCACACATTTGATGGTTGTTGGGTGGTTTAGCTAGGATTATCAATTTATCAACCAAATAAGTTGTATTGAATTGGTAATGACTTCTTCGCTCTTAATCATAGTTTGAAGGTTCGGAACTCGCTATAAGCATGAAATAACTTTAAATTTTTTAGTCAGTTCTTCCACTCATCGAAACACAAATATATATAACGAATAATGCAACATTTCTTAACGGAATAAGTATTTCACTATATTGAAAAACCAATGAGCAAAACCACATTATTGTTCCTTAGTGGGAGAAATAACCAATTGCCTAATGATTGCTTAGAACATCAATTAAGGCATAAAATATACAGTAGAAAACAAAAAGAGAAAGGATCCTAGAAGGTGGAAACAGACAGCTCATCTATTAAAAATACCGAAAAGGATTTTCCACTTTTGGCGAGCAAGAATTAGAAAAAATAAAAGATTTTTCACTTTTTGATTCTAAAAGGAGATTAGTCCTACACAAACAATTAAAAACGCATATAACACAGTGGTTAGAAACTAGAATTTAGTATGCTTTTTCACGAGTTGCAAATATGGCAAATCGGAATAAGCCTAAAATCAAACACGTTTTATCACTAAACGACCAAAAGTGACAAGCAATATAGAATCAAGGGCTTATAGTTTTGTCAATTGAAAAAAGAGATGGACGCGTACAACTTTTTGGCTTTTTTGGACCTTATTAATTTCCAGTCACTTTCTTCATCATTTTGGATTGAGTATTCCATTTTTCACAATAATCTTCGCCTCTGATGAGATCCCAAAAACTGAATAAAACCGACAAAATGATCCAACATCGGTCACAACAAAGAATGTTGATAGCTAATCACGGGCTCAGGTTGAATGTTGGCACCAAGAAAAATTATTGAGTGCAACTGCTATATCTTGGTTTTTAGTGCAACAAGTATTTGCACTCCTATTTTGGTGTTATAACTTCTGTAAAAATTATCTCTTTTTCCCTAAAATTACTACTTTATTCTATCTATTGTGTCTAGCTACACAATGCTACATGGTACAAGCTGCACTGAATAATTTCTCTGTCAGCAAACGTATCGGAGCACTCCATTTTTGTTCCTCAACTCTCGTATATACTCATGGGAATATTACTTAAGCACGAGTATCTAGACTGTTCAAAACTCGGCTTTGTTTGTTTTGTTTTTTGGATGATTTTTTTATAATATTAGAATAATAAATGTTTCATTCCAATATACTTTTTTACATTTTCAATACACCTTTTTACATTCTCAATACAAAAAACACCTAAAAACACACAGTAAAAAAACGAAACAAACATACCCTCAATGTTTTCATTTACTAAATATTGAGTCAATATTTTCGAGTAAAATAAATAGTTGATGTTATAGGTGTATTATATTCTCGAAATGTATTAATTTCAACATAAGCCTCTCATTATTGTAAAAAAAAAATTGAGTAAAATAAATTTATACATAAACAAAAAACTACAATTCACTAATTACTTGTACCTCAATTATTAAGTCGGGAATTACAATCATTTCTATTGATGGTAAAATATCATAAGTCTTGAGGTTGAGGACATTCTCCCTCATCATTATTCTGTCAAATTATTTTAATTTCCAAACTAAGATGGATCACAATCAAGAATATTTTTGCATTTTTATTATGATATGTGTATCAAATGTGAAATTATTTAATTTCATTCGTTAGTCTCACTTGTTTTATTGCTTTTGTGTATACTAAAACACTACTCATAAATAAATGAGATTAAATAAATAGCAGAACTAACACTCTAATTATGATACTTACATATCTGGATTGGAGTCAAATTAACTTTTTAAACATCAATTGCCCTTGGAGGCCATTCGAGAGATTCTATCGGTATTTTAAAAGGGTGATTGAATTTTTTTATTGTACCGAAAAAGATTATGAGAAATACTTAACTAATAGTAGTAGTAGGAGAAACAAAGCATAATTGAAAACTCATAATTAAGAGAATCAAACTTGCGGAGCAATTAAGCATGTGTTGCAGGAAATCAAATTGACTGAATGATATACTAGTGGTGGACTTTTTCTTTTGAGCAAATTATGACCTTGATGAAACCAATAAAAAAAAAAAGAGTTACATTTTTACTTTTTTTTGTTATCACTTATCCTTCGAGAAGGGAAAAATACAGATAGAGAGAGAGACACGAATTAGGTTTTTATATTTAATTTTGTAGGTGAAGACTGTTGACGAAAGAAAAATAAAGAAGATCAAAAAAACAGCGTGATCAATTAGAAGCTTCAGTAGCATAACACACAGACCAGACCAACCCAAACTTCACAATCAATTCCGCGTGTACACACAGCTGCCAACCACCCATTTATATCTCAAACCCCCCAAACCTCATTTCATCCGCCATCTGCCTCACCAACCTCTCTACACACAATTCCATTTCTCTCTGTTTGATCTTTCCAGTTTTCGCAGATCACACAACCCTTTTCAAAAAAAAAAAAAAACATATAAATTAACCTAAGTCCCAATTTTCACAGAGGAATCAGAGGAAAAGAGTACTAATTAATTTATATTGATTAGAGATGCAAGCCAGTTCTATTATGGAAGACAAGTCTTCAGAAGCTACAAGAAGGATGATTCAAGATTTTGAGAACAACCTACGACTCTCCGCCACCGGAGAACAAAGTGGGGAAGAATCCCAGGACGAAGAAGAATACAACAGCGACGATGAAGAGGAGGAATTTTCCTTCGTATTCGATTCCGGGAATTTCGGCTCCCCGATTTCAGCGGATGACGCCTTTGTTAATGGTCAGATCAAGCCGGTTTTCCCGTTGTTCGACCAGGCACTTCTCTTGCCGGACGGTGAAGATTTGGAGAGTTTAATGGTGAAAGATCGTTTGCCTAATGTGAACAGGGTGTTTATTCCGGCTGAAGATGCCGATTCTAATGGGATTCCCGAGACCTCGTCGTCTTCCAAGGCAGAAGATGTTGTTGGGCCTTACTGTGAATGGTCCAGTAAAGTGGTGGAGGCGGCGCCTGATCGATGCAAGAAGAGTAATTCCACCGGGTTTTCCAAGATTTGGAGGTTTAAGGATTTTATGCACCGGAGTAACAGTGACGGGAGAGATGCTTTTGTTTTCTTGAATCACTCTGCGCCTTCTGGTAGTTCGTCCACGGCGGCGAGTGGGAACGAGGAGAAAAAGGCGGCGAAGAAAGGGATTTTCACTTTGAAGAAAGTCAACGAGAACGGCGAAGTTGTAGGGGAAGCGAAGGTGAAGAAGGTGAAGAAAAGTAAAAGGACGGCGGCTCTGTCAGCACATGAGGCTTACATGAAGAGCAAAGCCAAGGACAGTGATCGCCGGCGATCGTATCTCCCTTACCGGCCGGAGCTCGTTGGGCTATTTACGAATGTCAACGGTGGTGGATTGACTAGGAATGTACACCCCTACTAATAAGCAATTTTTTGATACCTTGATTTGTATTTTTTTTCTTTTTTTTTTTTTGAAAAAACAAAAAATATTGTGCGAGCGAAATGCACTAATATTTAATTTGTCTTCTGTAATTAAGTCGACATATTTGATTTGTACTATGTAAATGGTTAGACTAGTTTAACTAATTTCAGGGCTGGTTCATCGAAGCTCAAAAATCATTCAGTGATGTACGCAATGTTTTGCAAATAATCTATTATTTTGGTGGCGTTTGGTGCCAAATTCTGTTTGCTTCGGGTGAAATTAGAGAATAACAGTTAACAAGCACGAAGTTTTAATAACAGAAGAATTGAGATATTGATCTTACTAATTTGATGAGTTTGGGGTTGTTAAGGAGCAATAATCTCTATTATTCGAAAAGTTTTATTCCTATCTCCACCGCACATGATAAGCAGATCTAGCTGTTTCTGTTTGAGTAATTGGCTAATTATGTCTTTACATGGAGTACCCCTTTAAATTTTACAGTATCAATTTCCAGGTCAAGAAGACAATTATAATAGTCTTTGGTGGTACAATGATCCTTTAAATAATGAGTGTTGGGGGAGTGAACAAATCACAAGATACATATCCCCTTTCTCCTTTCATTTATTTTGTTTGTTTTAGGACAAATTAAATCCAAAATGCAATCTTTATCAATGGCAAATCAATGAAACTTGAAATGGACAAAAAGTCGGCCAAAACGTAATAATACTAGCTACTACTTCCATCAAATTTCCATATCCGAGGAATAAAGCAACTAGAAATAAATGTAGTGACAAAGATGGAGCCTTATTAATGACATTGTCGACTTGGCATTTTACAGTTAGCTGCAAAAAATCAAAGGTACTGTAATATAGACATCATAGCAATACAGACCATATAAATATGGTCACCTCAAAAAATGACAACTACTACTGCTACATTTATTTGCCTTCAGCCAAAGCATGCCCGTCGCAATTAATTCGTTGATAGTATATTATAGCGTACACCTACATCTCGTGTTGGCAAAGACACCCAGACAATAACAATCAATTTGTTTTTGGTCACACATATGAATTTTACGATGATACTCCTCCCCAAATCTTGTGATGTTAGTTTAACTTACTTTGTCAAAAGTCCTATCCCATTTCGAACATTCCAATCAGAACTTCGACTTTCTCATGTCTGTCCCAAATAATTGTTCAGTTTATATATAAATTTTTTTTTAGTACAATGTCCGAAGGGAGTAATAACTAGACTTTCTTAGTTTTAAATTGTGTTTTATGAAAAGTATCCATCTAATTAATGCGTAAACATTCTCCAAAAAAAAAAAGTAATGTGTAAAAAATATAATACTTTTTACATCCCGAAATTATGGTCCAGTTTGCAGTTTCAATTTTAGTATTAAAACTAAAAACTCAAACTGGACAATAAATTGGAGTTTCATTTTTAGTACTAAAACTAAAAACTCAAACTGAACAATAATTTTGAGAGTGTAACAAAATTTTTGGCCACCCTAGATTGTGCAATATGTTACACTAATAATTGGAGTACCCCCTTTTTTTCGTGGGAAAATTTTCCCAACAAAATAGAGAGCTATGATATTCCGTTGTGTAGTCGCGCCACTAAAACTTTGTGTAATCTCAGATGGAAAGACAAAGCGACGCCTAATGATGTCGGTGAACCCAATGGCGCATGCAATAGCCTTTCCATCGCCGGGGATTCCCAGGATATATGAAGAACAATTCGATCATGCGCACACTTGAAGAAGAGCAACAAACTGTATTTTCGCTATAAGGAGGGATGGTGAGGGCAAAATTCGTAAAGCTAATAAAACATCTGGCCTTTAGATTATCTCTCATAAGTCTGTGTTTGCTACTCTTAAATCACATCATCACCAATCATATCATCGTAGATCACACACTTCCAATCTAAGATTTGGATTTGTATAAATATGGCAACAGTCTTCATATATTGGAGTCCCATCAGCTGGTTCTGGATGTGGATGAAATCCCTTTTCTTGACACTCTTTAAGGATCCTCATTCCAACTGGATCTGTTAGCCTAAATGCTCCATAACTCCTGTGATACACATTACAAATCAAACCCACAGCGCCATTTACACAAATTAATCATGCAGTTCTACTTCATCGCAACTTCAATTTTGTGTCCTGCGAGTCTGTCAGATTAAAGATTGAACTATTTCTCAATACAACACGAATATCCCTAGTATATTCCCAACACCGAGTTGGGATCTGGGGGTAAGTTGAACGCAGCCTTACCCTTGTTTCCGTTGCGACCCAAGGTACATTAAGTCATTTTATATATTTATTTCCAGTAACTTCACTAATAGAAGAAGCACTGGAGTTTAACAGATTCATTTTGATCTAGTTCATTATTACTTTATTAACACAAAGCTAAAAGAATTACTCTTCCAGATCCATTTGCAATGGACAAATTAAACGTATTACAATAGCCTGAAAACTTTGCACTTTCAGATAGTAGTATATGGCATACCTGGAGTTGTCATTTGGAGCCACAACAATGCCGACTGCCTCAGGCACCATAACCTGGAAAATTATAAAGTAGATGAGATATTTCACACACAAGGGAGACACTCCAATTAAATGACTTATGGATAAGCCAACAAAAACTCACTGGGCTTGCTTCCACAACTACTTGTTGTACCTGGTATGAATACTGAGTGTGCAGATCCACCGATGACATGAAACAACTTTGAGAAGGGTGCGTCTGGATGGAATATACAAAATGTCAAGAAACTCATACCCCTCCAACAGGTTAAGATGCATTAAATAGACAAGGCAAGTAGAAGAAGACTGGAGTTGAAGAATGCTAACAAACTGGTTTGTAGCACTAGTGAAAAATATTTACATGAATAGCATGAAGAAGTTAATACATACATGAATCCATCCAATTGGAAAAAGAGATTGTTGGTTTTGTATCGAAAATATCTCCTCCTCATTCAGAGCTTGACACTGGAGAATAGAGCAACGTAGGTATAAGCAAGCAAATTTCTGATGATAATTTCATAATCAACTACTACTCAAAATTTAATATTACTCTGTGCCAATTCCCTTACAGAGTTGATGGCAGATTCTTGTTTTGGCACTATTATATTGATCACGTAGTATGTCCTTCCTTCCTGCACATGGTTGAAAAAGAACATAAAATATTTCAGCCTACAAGGTGAAACTAACATTGTCAATATCAAAGGTTATAGTAGAGGCCTATTATTATACCATTAATAAAATTAACATCTATTGCAGAAATGCCTAATCAAATGGTTCTGAGCATTCAACAATACAAGAGCAGAATTCTAACAGTTTCATTCAGAAAAAAGGTTACAATTAGTATTAAAATGGCCATTGATTTCATCTTGAAAGAACCCTTACCAGAGAGGCGCCAAGAACTCCACAGGTCTCTAAATTCTTAGACGTGTTGTCCTTTGCAAGGTCCAGAAAAACTTCTATCAACCTTGCTGACTGAGAGTAGCTCAACACAAAAAAGGAGGATTGCAATCAGTTACTGTCTTGAAAATCAGGCAACAACACAATATGAAGAATGGAGATAGTGTTGTTGTCCTTACAATTTGTACATCTTTGAGGGATCTAAAATCAGAGGCCTTATTGATTAAGGATTCTGAACTGCTGTTGAAAGGTGAGACTTGAGATCCATGAGGCAGAGTTTGTGTAAAGGATATACTGGTGCTGCCAGAAGTTTGAGTAACAGCATGCAAATTAATACTCTTGCAGCAGATTCCACTAGCACTGGCCATTTATTACTTATCAGTTGAACTTGGATGCTACAAATTCCAAAATCTGCAACAAAGAGAAATAGAAAGTTTACAATTAACATCTACTTGAACTTAAAAACTTGAGCTTTTGTTTTCTTTGGAAATCACCAAGGAACTAAATGCAAGAGAGGAACCTGGATGACTGAGCTCACTGATTCATTCACTCTGCTAACTGGTTTACATGCTGAAGTTTGAAATCCCTCCACTTCGGTACTTCAGATGTAGTTAATCAACACAGGCCACCATGAGTTGACCCCAGAAAATCTGAAAACTGAAGCAAGAATCCAGCTTTCCTCCTGATCAGTTTGAGTGACTAGCAGCAATAGTTTGGCTAAGTTTTCCTTCCTAATCGCTATCAGAAGCTGAAAAGTAATAATGGTTGGATTGTAGTGGCCATCCATTTTTCTCCAATATTGTCATTACAGAATTTCAGGGATAGGAGTTTGGGACCATTGAAACAAGTGACACCCTAGATTGTGCAAAGTGCCTACCACTTTTTCTGCGCCCAACTTTGTTGGGTGTACCACTCTATCTGTTTCCTCCTCCTCAATCCTCGTCATACTTCAGATTGACTATATAGCCAAGACTAAAAATTAGCATTGGTACCAGTTTCATAGTGACTGAGATAACTTTATAAAACTAAATAGAAAAGATAACCAAAAAAAAGGGGGTCAATGAAGTAATATTGCACTCATAAATTTGCTCTTGTAAAAGAAGTGTACAGTATGGGACAATGGGTGCAATTACAACTTACAGCTTACAAGATGGTATTTCCAAAGACTACAATTTTAAGGCAATGTGGATCTCTCTCTCTCTCTATATCCACATTGACATATTTAAATCAATAACTTACCACAATTTCCTAACATTTTATGGACTGAACGTATCATTTGGACTTCTATTTTCTTCCTTTGTGCACAAGTTACAGAACTATTTACTAATTACTTTACAAGAAACTCCCTAGTCCCCAATAGATGTTACAAAATTTGCAAATCAGGCAACCAGGGATTGCCTCTCCGCGGTGAGTCCAGCGTTGCTCATACAGGCCAATTGCTAAGTTGAAATGTGCACTCTATACTTCCATTTTCATTTAAATCCTGAACTGTCGAACAGTTAGAAAGGTTTTTAGGAGGTTCCGAAGCAGAATGATGGGTAATCAAGTCTGTAAGACCATCCTTTTTATAACTCATAAAAGCTCCCAAAGCTCCAAGATAACCCTCATGCCGCAAAAACAATGCCTTTGCCTCACCTTTGGACCTACAAGAAGCAGATTGGATACAGGTGACTTGATAAAAAGGACCCAGCATTTTACTTGGCTAGTTTCTTGGAATGATGCTAGGGAAAGAATATAAAGTTATTTTAATACTATTTCAAACCAGCCGGTGAAGAAGCTTCACTAGATTATCACAATAGACATGGTTCAGGGGAATACTTCAAAAGTTCTGACATTGAAGTAGCTGGGGTTCCCAAGCTTTTAATACAGCTGAAGCATCGAATTTAAGTTCCAAAATTGAAGCCAAACAGGGGACTTACCAGAAATCTACTCCAACAGAAATCGTGTCCATTGTATATGCATGACCACGGATGAAAAATCCACCAAAAATTATTCTTTTTAATCCAAAACGAAGAGCATTCAAGTAAGCAATCTGAGGGAAAATTATTAGGTGAAATCAGAAAAATAATAAGTAGACTAATAATGCCACCATCTCCTTTTATTATTATTCATTAATTTTTTCGAAAAGCATTTCCAAAATTTTGATAGCAAGAAAAATGACATTCAAATTTCCATAGAAATAATAGATATTATACAAAACAAACATGAAGCTACAGGGTGAAAAGGAAAAAGAAAATCTAATCCGTATTTATTCTCATAATCTACCAGAAATGTTCTTATTTAGTTTGTGAAGAACTGTGATGAAGGGAAACCTTTCAAACAGCTTCATAGCCATGTACGCATTGTAATTATATAAAATAAAAAGTGTAAAACTTTCAAAAATTTGCCAGAAGATGGAGTACCAAATAACTTTTAGTTTCAATCATTTTTAAAGTGGCAAGCTCTCGAAAATTAGGAATTTAAACAAATAACAGGAGTCTTTCCAAATATATAAAGCTCACTTGTGCAATATTGTTTGAAATCATTCTCAAGAGAGACCGTGCGACATCTTCAGGTCGGTAGTCCTCAAGCTCTTTATTTCCAGAGACAGCCTTTCCAAAGCTAGAAGCTATAGCGGTGGAAGTAAGTCCTATCTACAAGACAACCCACAGAAGTTACCTATTACTATTATAACATGGAAATCATGACCCGTGATAAAGAAAAATTGATTCAATTTCATGATCTCGGGCTTTTGAGTATTTATTAGAAGAAAAATATTATTTTTTCTCACATTTCAAACATCAAACTGTTCAACATGATCATGGAGATTAGTTGGACAAAGGATACATGGTTAACCAACATTGTTGATCAGTAAATCATCTTTTTAAAAGTTATAGAATGGCCAACAATTTTGGAAGCCAACAGAAGAATGTGTTCACTTTATAAGGTGTAAGACTCTGTACGTCCCTCAAGGATACGACCAAAAACTCCAATATTTCTGGCATCTGATATGCAAATTATTTAGAGACTATCAAAAGTCTCTATCTTCTTTCTGACTACAACTTGAAGATAAAGATTTTCGTACAATATTTTTCAGAAACAACAAAAATGACAAACACGCCTATGTGTAATAAGCTTTATGGTTCATCTCATCATTTCATACTATTGCGTGATTTCTATATGACCCACAATGGAAGTGGACAATGCAACCAGATTATACCCTGGTTGTCGACCAAATTCACCCTCCTTCTTTAACTAAACTTGGGATTGCCCATTGGCATGGCTGGAGTTTCACTAGTCTTTAAAATAGAAAATTATAATATGATCAAAAATTGAATACCTTAGAATAGTCCGTTCCACCATAGATATCTCCAACAAGCATATCTATCACTCTGTTGTTTCCAGAATGGCTTAGCTCCAGCAGTTCATCAAAACTGGGTAAGACATGGAATAAGATTGCTGCATCAGAAAGTTGATGAAAATTTAACATACTTCTTCGTAACAAGATCATGCAAACAACCTCTTGCATTTTGTCAAAAGTTTTCCCAGCCCCCAGAAGGTGCCACCTCCGACACTAGTTCCACTAACTCGTTCAAATTTGTCGTCTCCATCAACCTAATCAAGCAATGCACATGTCTGATCAGAACTTCTAATATTGTTCGGCTCCTTTGGGATCTTTTCAGTTCATTTTCATGTAAAGCACAGTAACCACCATCTTCCATTTGCATAGGGGAATAAAAGTGTTTTTTTTTTTTCTCGCAGTTTTAAATCCACCCACAGCAAAACCTACCTTGATCATGCTAACCCCAGATCCAATATTAACAAGAAGATAAGGATACAAATCATTCTGGTCAATCTGCACATATTCGTTCTTGCCGTCCATGTACGTAAAAGCTTCACCGGTGACTCCCTGGTGAAGAAAACAAAAACAGCTAGTTGACTTAGTACAGGTGATCCAACGCACCCAAGAGAAATAATATTGGAAGAATATTATAGCTGATAAAAGCAGATGCATCAATCAAAATTGATCGGCCACAAGAAGAATGAGAACACTACCAAAACTGATTTTTGAGCAATGAGTATCCCACCTTAAGAAGAAAATTCACTCCAGCAACAAGACTATCCATTTCGTCCACCTTGTCCAAAGTAATTCCAAGCTTTTCTTTGAACAAATCAGCAAATCTAAAAGCACCTCCTCCTGTGGCCTTTAAACAAATAAATAATCAATTTTTTTGTTCTTTTCAGCATCTAAAGCTGTTGACAATAGAAAACAATAAATAAAGTATGACTCTTATATGTATCCATTGAATAGAATGAGTATGCTTCTGGTCATGATGCACCAGACAAATTTGAAAAGCACTTACCTTTATGATGTTCTTGTCACACGCAGGAGCCTTGCAGAAACACCCACCTGGAGTCATATCTCTGTATTAGAGCCGAAGATGACATCATAAAATGCGGCATACAGTGCATGAAGGAAAACAGGGCATGAACTAGCACATATGCTTTACTTTGCTAAAATACAGAAACTTATACAGTAAACAATTAATCTTGAATGGGACTCTTCTTGAAAAATGACGGTAATGGTTATGAAGGTGAAGTCCAACACGAAGAATCCATTATTCTTTACTTTCCTCTTCATGATGAATGTTCTTTTACAAGTAACGTATTTCACACTATGTTGCAACAAGACATGGACAAAGAAGTGTTCTGCTCACAGCCTGCCAGGCTACATAAGACGTGTGAATATGACTACTAAAGTGGGTCTCTAATCTATCATCCACATTGACAAAATGACAGATAACCATTAAATACTTACCATTACTTTGAAATTGTTTGGAAGACATGAATTCTACACATTCGTTAATTCTTTTTGTTTCAAACTTCAAAAAATGAAGTTTCCCTTTAAGGACGGGATATTCTGAATATCCATTGGTAAGTCCATTAGTATCCTTGGAAGATTTATTCCCATGTTCATGACCTGAGCAGTTATTGTCTCGGCAAAAAAAAACCATCTTGATGAGGGAACCTGGAGAAAGCAAGAAAGGTACTAATGATCAAGTTCGTACCTTACAATTTAAAATGTTTAGTCGTCATACAATAACAAATTACTTCATATAAAGGCTAACAACAACTAAACCTCAAAAAGTTGATTTGCGGAAAGACAAGACGATCTTCCTCATTCACTAAAATCAGAGTTCAAATTGCCACTACCCAAATGCCACTCCTACCAAAGCATCCCCACAAAAGTCATACAAACTAGTAATTAATCAATTTTTATTCAAAGTTTTGCATAACTTAGTAAGCCAGCTCTAGATAGACAGCAAGAACAGGATCAAATCTTCAACTCATTACGAATGATACAGGTAACTGAAGGTTCCCAAAAACTGAATTGGACATTCAGACATGCATCACAAAATCACGATGGAGAAAGAGTATTCTTCAATTCTGAACACGGCGTGATAAGCAACATAACCCACCAAATAAAATGAGAAATCATCACAGGGGATCACCGAATTAGTTGAGCTTACCTCCAATATCAAGGGCCACGTGTGAAACTTCCCCCGTTAATTTCTTCAGTTCATTTTCCTCAAATTGGGCTTTAACCACTCCATCTTTCTCCATTATCTGCATTCAAACACAGAGTGAAAGACACAGAAAAGGAAAACTGAACTTTCGATTCCTCAGAAAAGAAACTTCGGGGTTCCGATCTCCTTATTCTTCTTTTGGAATTCAAGGGCAGAAGGGGTACATATATAAGGGGGAGGTGAGAGGGAAATAGAGAGGGATCCGTTCAGTTTGTAGTTGGGTTGCGAAAATCGTACTTTTGGTAATTTCACCAAATCGTCCAATTCGATAGAATATTGGCAGAAAGGAAATTAATTTGGCGTGACTTCCAACATATCAGACTTTTGCCATTTGGGGTGCCGAACCCCTTTTTGTCTGTAAACTGTAAATTGGGTAAAATTATCCCCATTGACTTTAGAACTCATCTTGGACGTCGGACGATTGGACCGGGTCTAATTAGTGCTGCCATATTTCTTATCGCTTTCTCTCGATCTCTCTTTTCCTTTTCTTGTCTGAATTTCTTTTTTTATAAAACTTCCTTCAGTCCTTACTACTATATTGTATCGTAAATAGTCAGACTATTTTGTGGAAATAAAATAATATAATTAATAAATAAATTATTAAAATAAGAAGTATCATACTATGGTTCAACCGTTCAAGAATTATGCTATTCACCCCCCCCCCCCCAAAAAAAAAGAATGACGCAATCATACGTTTGTGTTTCTCGTGTACACATTCTTTAAGAGTAACTGGGTCATCAACTTCGTTCGTTTCCTATGGACGAGAAGGACATCATGTGATCGTACATCACAGTTAGTTGACTATAGACTATAATAATGGTAGGGCGTCGTTTGTAAGTGTAACTTGGTCAATCTTCTAGGGCATGTTTGTTTCATTTTTTTATGTGTGTTTTTAAGTGTTTTTTGTATTGAGAATATAAAAAGGTATATTAAAAATATAAAAAAATATGTTATGATGGGACAGTTAATAATATAATAACTTAAAAAAACCATCTAAAAATTGAAACAAACAAAGCCTTAGCAAATCACATGATAACATTTTGGTCAATAAATTGTCACTAATAATTAGGGCGCAGACAATTTTGCTGTGCTACTAGTTCGACTTCATTGGTCAATCTTCCTACATTGACAAAGTACAAAAACTATTGCGATGTGTATTGACCTCTGTGTTAACGGCATTTTTGGCTAGACCAAGAAGAAAACTCATCTTGCTTTGACTCTTTCCCGATGACCTGGTTTATCAGTTCGGTCATTGAATTGTAAATTGTTAGTTGTATAACACCTTGTGCTTCTTATTTGTACATATTCACGAAGTACAACGTGACTAAATAGTACGTATGTCATCTGGTTTGAGAATAAGATTAGGATCGAAAGAAGACGTACCATTAAACATTTATCACGTTAGATGGATTTATCTCGAGAGAAGTATATTTCTCTTAATACATGTTTTAAATATTTTAAAATATATATTTTGCAAAGTGAAAATGTAAAAGAATGATGGCAATTATAAAAAATTGATTAGAAAAATGAAAAAAAAAGAAAAGAAAAAGAAAATCCACCTCAAGTACATATGTAATCAATAATATTTCACGAAACATTAGTATTCAATAATTGCCAACAAGGGAGTAACCCAGTGGTTGGGGCTTTGGCATCAATCCTCACAGTACTATAGAACCAATAACGTGTTTTTTTATGGAACCTTTCTTCTATCATACTCTTTAACTAACCACACTTATGAACACATTTCATTGAATTTTTCGAGGGTAACAAACAATTTTCGTTACAGAACTATATTCCATTTTATTGATGAATTGATTAAAGGTTGTGTTACATTACTGGCTACTGGTGTCCATGACTTTACAAGTTACAAACACAAAATCGTTACGTTCAAGAGTACGATTATCCTTTTATTATCAAGAGCTATATTTATTCTCTTATATTTTAGTATTGAGTAGGTAAAAAAAAAAAATTAAATTGAAAACTTTTTGGACTCAAAAAGCGGTGCATATAAAAGGTACACAACTAAAAAGATTTCGATTTGGGGCTGCGCGGGAAGAGTAGCAATCACACTTTCACCGTTTCACGCTTTGGACGTGAGATGTAGTAGAACAATGGAGATCTCCTCCGTGCAAAACCTGTGCAGATACGTAAGTTTCAGATTTTCTCTTAAAAAAACGTTTAATATATCACGCACCGATTCATTATCTTGTAATTATCCACCGTATCAGTTTGAATTTTTCATTTATCTCTTCTTTATCGCAGTTGATTTCCAGTGCGATTCAACGATGCCGCAAGTCCGACGAACTCTGTCGATTAACAATTTTGCTCAAGCCTTTTCCACAATTTCGACCTCCAACCGTTCGAATTTCAGGTAAACGTCTCACGGTTGTCGGTTTTCCTTTCCGATTTCCTTTGTTTGATTTCTAATTCGTCGCATCCGTCTGCAATTTTGAGATTGTTCGCTGCATTTACGGAACTGTGTCAGGGATTTCTCGATGTTTTTACCCTAATTTCAGATTTAAAAGACTAGAGTCAAAATTAATCTCATCGGAGAGATCCTATTGCTTTGATGTTGATTTCGCAGGAAAACTTTTAATGATTAAATGTTTTTGTTTTCGTTTTTGTTTGTTTTGGAGAGACTTGTGCGGTCATTATAAGTGATTTACTCCTCCTCCTATGAACAGTTTCAGATACAGGTGTTGGGATCAATCTGGAAGAGTACGAGGCTCTAAAATTTTCCAGTCATCCTATATTGGCCAGTAAATGGGGTTAGAACTCGTGACCTGCAATCTCATCTGTGTTAAAAACTTTACATTCTATTACCATGATAAGTTATGCGTGCTTTCTCAAGTTAGTGTACGGACTACGGAATGTTCAAGGTAATTGGACATGTTATTGGCTAGGGTTTGTAGAGTGAGAAGAACAATCTTAATGGCCTCCGCTATACATGTTTTGTATTACGATAAACTGGCTGTCAGCTAGACAACAGTAGAATGAATGAGGACCTGAGAAGTTCTGTTTGTCAGCTTGATGGTTCGTTTTGAATGCTCATGTCATACATGCTTACCCAGATGTACGATACAATTTTGATGTCTAGTTTCATCTTCTTTTTAATGAAGGTCACTTAAGAATTTTGTATCTTGTTTTTAGAAGACATTGTAGGAAAAAAAAAATAAAAATTAAGTACCTTACGGGATCCCATTTAACCATTTGTGTTGAGGAAATGCTTTAGTAGTTTTGTTCGTTGGATCTAATTATGAGTTCTCTGTGATCCTTCCTTTTTTTACTGTCATTTACTATGGTACTTTTGTTATTCTCCTTGTTCCCTGAATCTGTTTTGCCTATTGCAGATGGTGTAATTTCAATCACAACCACCAGTAAGTTCCCTTTTTGTTCTGCATCCTTTTATTTGACTGGTTAATACTTAAAAGTAAGAAGGAACTTATGATTGTACACTGCAAGCCTGAATGTTATAAGAACATGAGATGAGGAACTCAATGGTGAAATCCATATCTCAAGCTTTATGATGCTTGAATCCCAAAAGTGATTTAGATACAGGAGGATTCGCTTCCATAGCGCTTTATCGTTTTTTTTTTTCCCAAAACACTCAAGGAGAATTTTTTTGTTTCAGAAAAGGGTGTGGATGCGAGGAAAGAATTTTACATCCTTCGTTTGATAACTTGGATTTTTTCTTTGTAAAATTTTTCACTGAGATTGTATTAAGTCAGTATGTGCTGATTTTTTCAGGCATCTCCGATAGGGAAGTTCATAATTTCAGCTTGAACCTAAAAGAAGTGGTTCCTGCAACAAGGTTGACAAAGCTGTCATCAGCATTGAAAAATGGTGCAAAGTTCAGGCAAGTTATTTGTACTTCACTATGTTTATAAGCATTGTTTTCTTGTTCTACGAATGTTCAATGTTAATCCATTTTTCCAGTGGGACTGAAGCTTCTCTGTCAACTGCCGAAAGCTTAAGTGACATATTGGCAGACATAAGATTATATCTCCAGAAGGTAGGAATCATCATGTCCATTGAAACTTATCCCACCACCTTACATGTTTTTGTCAGAGATTTGTGGCATGTATCGTTACTGATTAATTACTTGTCATGTGGTTTTTCTGCAGATCTTCATCGTGAAAATACCTGCAAGTTTCTACAACTCTCTTCAATAGGATTGTGCTTTATTGTATTTGCAAAATTCTGCAAAAGTTTAATTTGAAGCTGAAGTACACAAGTTGATGTGATATGGGTTTGGACTTACTTCCAGCATGATACTCGTCTCTCTATGATACCATGGTTGCCACCTCATTTGACGTTGAAACTCGTGACCCTGTTTGAGACTGATTCTCTCTCTTTTTCTTCAATTTGATTGTACAATTTCATGTGTTAAACAATTTTTCAATCACATAGGGGGATATATAGTCTGCCGTTATCCAAGTTCTTCTGCTCATAAGTCTTTAACAAAGTAATATATATGCAACAATCAACAGATGTTTGTGGAATTGAAATTTGGGATGAATTAATATTTGTAGATTCAGATTGTCAACATCTGAACGATTTCTGAATGTAAATTTTGATGTTGTTTGAAGTACAAAACCTTGGTTAGCAGCTAAGTTTTCAAGGAAGTTGCAAATGTCGTACAGCTAACCACTTATATTGCATTTTGTCTGCAGAAAGTTGCAGTGGAATTTTTGGTGGATAATTGCAGTGTTCCAGGATTACACTCACAAAATTGTGTCCTTGCAATTGACTTTAGTACTTTACCATCTACTGCAACAAATATTGAACATCTGAAGTCAGGTTTTGAGGAATATGTTCTCAAGCATGGAAATAGACTGGAAAATATTTGTGACTCATGTTTCTCAAATATGTAAGCATTAATGTAATGCTCTTTTCTGGATGTTATGTGGGCGGTTTTTTTTTTGGTGTTTCTGAAAAAAATTATACATCCATAATGGACTTAATGTTGTAGCTGAACTGATGGTGGGTGACTCGGTGTAGACATGCATCTATGTTTTTGTTTTTCTCTTTGTTTCCAGTTATAAGTTTCTGCAGAATGGATAGTAGTAGGTGTTCCTGGGCTATGAATCTAAAGCTTCTCCTTGGATTAATCAAATTATATTGGAAATTATGAGGAACTAGTAGTTTTTCCCATATAAATTAAGGTTAATAGGATGGACAAGAAGTTTGTGTTAAAAATAGATTTTATGCTTGGTTTTAAGATGATCAGGTGGTGAAGTTTCTTGGAGCATCCGATCTGACTCATTGATGAGAATTTTACTAACTCACCTGACATGTGCATGTATGTCTTTCCATTTTAGGTCAAATGTAAAGGTTGGTGCTGGTATGAGCAGCAGATCAGGCTCAGTTCCAAGCAAAAGTCAGATGGTGGAAGCTGTGGTGATTTTGAGTGTAGTGTCAGAACAAATCTTGCCTTCTTGTTGCAGGCCTTGTGGCACAAGAACAGAGGTCCATACATTTTCCACCTTTTGCTTATATACTTGGCCCTAAACTAGAGGAAATCCTCATCAGGATGCCGTTGATATCTGTTCCCAGGTCTTATGCTTTAAGGACTTTGCACCTTGTACTCTTACTCAAGCATCTTTAGATGCATTAACTAGCATGAAGTGGAAAGATTATGGTCTTACTCTCAAAAGTATTGCTGATCAAGATAATGCTGTTTTGTTGGAGTGGGAGAGCCTGCAGCCAAATGTCCACATTGATATTGTCCTCCATAGCTACAGTAGAGAGTGAGTACCATTAGTTTCTTAGATTCATTATTATGCTTTTTTTAATCTGTTATTTATCCTTTGGCTTAGTTTCTGAACATGCCTGTCTGTTTCTTTAACTTCGTAGAAACATTTCAATAATACCTAGAGCAGGAAACAAACAAACAGATCGAGCTCTCATTCAGAAAGCTATGAAGCTCGCCTTCACTGAGTTAAAAGAAAAGAACAATGGCTCTCTTCTTAGTGCTCATGCACTTAAAGTAAGATTCTCTATTCTGAAGCCATTTCATTAGTCTTCTTGTTGGTATCGTGGAACTTGCTCTGTACATAATAAGTGTTCCAAGTGCAATTTAAGTGTTTTTGTCCTGCTCATTGATGCATTCCTGCATGGGTAGATTGATAGAGAAGTTTGTGTGTACTGAATTTATATGTATGCATCACATGCTCGTCTATGATGGTGTTAATGTTACCTCTTCAACGCACGATTGTAGATGAGTTACAACTTACATTTGTCTTCAGATCCAGAATTATGCACCTGACCTTGCAAAAACAATGGCTGGTCTGATTTTGTCATCATTTGACCTGGACTTTCAAGAAGAATGCTTCTCAATCCTTGGATTGCAAACCCAGGACGTGGAAAGAAGCGAAGTTGAAAACTGCATAAAGGAAAAGATTTCTTCAGTTGTAGGCTTGAATGATAGAAAGCCCCAGAAAAGCAGAGAGCCTGCAACTTTTCTGTTCAGTGATGATTGCTCTGTATCAGAGTATTTGGATGAAGAATATGAAGAAGGTGAGGAAATGCTTTGCTCATTTGCAATGTAGAATGGAACTCAAATCATTGAGCTCCATTTGCACTGGTACTTGCCTTCTTTTAGTAAATGCATTTAGTGGAGCTGTCCAATGCAACAATGATCTAGGATTTTGATCTAGTAGATTCAGTAAACAGTAAAATCTTGTAAATGCTAACATTTCTGGATTTAGAATTTGACTAGCGTTGTGTCTAAGTACAGCTAGTCCCCTTATCCTCCATAGTAGGCTAAATTGAGTTCAGGTTCTGATTCTGCTGAATCTCACCTTCTCCGCTGTCATGGTAGGGTTGATTCATTATTTTGCATGTACTGCACACAATCCAATACCTTTATAGGAACTAAATTTAATTCTTATTATGGATTTGATAATGTGCAAGCATTTTGTGTAAACAAATAACAAACATAAAGTTTGTTATGACACAGCCTGCCAATTAATGTTGTCATAGGACCTAATGCCTGGAATCAATGTTACCAACAGTTTCTAGTATGCTCTGGTCCTGAATCCTGACACCTAGGCTGAATAAATTGATGTCAAGCATCTAATTCTTTCAGGCAGAGCAAGTAAATTTAACCAAAATAGGCCGTAGTCAGCTGATTCTAGTACACAAGTTGAGAAGTTTACTTAATAATTGTATCAGCATATTTTCTTGACAAAGTTTTATGATTTGCAAACATAATATTAATGATTTTTTCTACTCATTTGAAAGTAGAAGTTACAACCACGTTTTTACTTGTTACGGGTAGGAATGGTGAGTAACTATTTAGAATACATAAGTCTCAATTAAGAAGCAGATCATGAAGCCTGAAAAAGTCTTAATAGATAATAGGGACTGATTACTGCATGTGCGGATGCTTAAGTTAATTTTCCTTAGACTCTTAAAATTTCTTTTCATTAAGCTGCTGAAGGAGCTGGGATGTAGGATATTGCTGTCGGCTCGAGCATGGAAACCTTGACTGTTGTTCTGGAGAAGGTTTCTTCTTCTGGAGCAGGATCATTGGGTTTGAAGTCCAGTGAGGCGTCGTTGTAGATGTCCCACCATTTCTCCACTAATGTCTTGATATCTTCCCTGTCCATGTTAGCTTCTTTGCCTGTGTACCTCCATGGTTTTGATCCCTGTGTTTTTCAACCAAAAACATTCGATATAATCAGTTTAAGGGATTACTAGTATCTGGTGGCAAACACATAACATTTAGAAAAGAGTAGAGGCATAGAAACGTGCATACAGCTGCACAGTAGTGAACCACTCTGACTTTCTCAAGTTCGATATTCTCAGGATGGCGCCAAAGCATTGCTAATACCAAGTTGTACACCAGTGGGATGGGTTTATAGATGTTTTGGAAGAACATGTTCAAGAAATCCTGTCAATTGCATTGATCGTCTTAAGTACTATGTTTCGAGGAATAAGATAACCTGGAACAGATTGACACAAAAGATCAATCATTCTGACCTGCTCTGCAAAAGGTGTTGGTGGAGTAATTCGAAGAGTTTCTAGCAGATTTTCATAGGTTAGTTGGCTAGGCTCAAACACAAACATGCCGGCGTTGAAGTACAAAGGAGGGGGTGAACCCATTTCAGCTGGCCAAGTAACTTTATCTGGGCACTGTTGACAATATCCGATGGAGTACTGTGGGGAGTGACTCCATGTTTTCTCGCAGAAGCAGTCCATCACTGCGTAAAAGTATCCATCGGGGGTATCAAACAGGTGGTCAATGTTGTGATAGACTTGAATGTCTGCGTCCAGGTATATCATCTTGCTGTACTCCTCAAACTGTCATCAATTATACCATGTAAATTAAAGCACGTTACAAAAACAAAAGAAGTGCTTCTTTAGAAATTCTAAACACAATTTACTTCGTTTTAGTGCATCTCTTTTTGTGTTTTTACAGATACTGCTCATCAAAATTAAGAAACTCTGAATGGAGCTGAATATGTGGGCCGCTGAAGATATTGCCCGTTCAAAATGCAGCAAAGACAACTATAATGTTTTTTTTTTTTTTTTTTTGAAGAAAGATTGTTGTGGTGTTAAGTATGCTACCCAGAGCACTCACCAGTTGGCTTTTTCCCCATTCATGTGAGTCATCTCTTTCTCAAACTTCTTATTAATGCAAGATGCACGTCAAAGCATAACAGTATATGATATAATTTCTTTATAATCATTGAATTACATGTTTCCATGCATCTTCATGGGGAGGACTTGTGTAGTCAAAGGAAGCCATTAACTGAAAACTTAATCAAGAACTAAGTTCCCTCATTGCTGTTTGGTAAGTAGTCAGAGTAGATGCAGCAAAGAAGTGTATTTGAACTTCAGAGATAGTGATGCATGGGTATAGGAAGTTTAAGTTTACTTACATTCCATATGCGAAGCTTTGAGTAATTGATGACATAGTAAGCCATCGCAAACTCAATCTGGTTTTCTGGTGGATATACGGGTTCAATTTCACGGACAATGCAACCTTGTGACCTCAAGATTTTGCGATGTTCTTCGGGGACATCTGGTAAGATGGCCACCACAAGAGGGTAAGCACTCTTCACCTTTCTCAAACCTTTAGCCAATCCAACCACTCCTTTCACGTAGTCACCATTACCAGCTAAAAATGTGACATAAGCTCTCCTTGCATAGCCTGTGTTATTGTTAAATGTCGACACTTTGCCTGAGCTCGTGAAGATATCCACAGGTATTTCTGGGGGTGCCATAGAGCGAGTTTGAGGTTTTAGGAATAGCGGGATTGGTTTTGAGGAGTTGTGGAAAGTAAACCAGCAAGTCCTGAAAGGATGCCACTCTACTAGCCAGCCTTTGTTCCTGAGTTCTGAGTTCATCAAAGGCAACCTTATTCACCTTTAAATAGGGGCCTAAATGCAACCCGAATGAACTTCAAATGAAATTCACCAGAATAATTTATTGTCCCCCTTGATATCGACTCATAAAAAATGGGAATAATTTGTACATTAAAGTCATATCTCACATTCATCTACTGCTTAACTAATTAAACAAGCTAATTTAAGGTTATAATTCAGTAAATAAAAAAAATAAAAATGGTTACTATGGAAAGTGTTACTGTCAATTAGAAATGGTTATCATTTTGGTTTTTTTTTTTTTTTTTAATTTTCCTTGTTGAAAAAGATGTAAAGGCATCAAGAGAATTTCTTCGTCCACTTAGTAATTAAACTAGTGAAAATTCATGTGGTTCTTGTAAACTAGTGTTCCGTATGAAAGCTAGACAATAGACATATATACTGGCTTATGCATTCTCTTTCTTATTCTGAGTACATCAAAACCTGAAATGGGGAGTTAGTTCACCGGAAAACATGTCTAACAGGTGCTTTATTTTTTATTCTTCTGGATTAGACGTGAATTACGTACGGTAGCTCGAGCGTCCTTGCATTAAACTGGATTTATTATGAGCTTTTGTAGTGAACATCCTAACAAAATAGCAGAATTGTTGTAGCGAATTCATTGTCAGTTATATCATGGGATTTCATCTTATGGCCAGAACTAATTTGGATTTTGCTAGTATACATCAATCAGTCAAGCTCTTTTATTAGTTTTCATCTTAGAAGTAGGAGGAAAGTACAAAATTTACATGTGGAATACTGGCAAATGGACTAAAACATTGCCTGGTGAGACCCTTGATGCTTGGACATCATCAATGACAGCGACCCCAAGGAAGACTTACAGCGTCCGTAGGTGATTCTCAAAGTCATCACTTCGATTTTGTTGATAACTTTCAAACCAATGAAAATTAAAGATTTTGATCAAAAGAAAACGAATGATAAGAGTTTCTAGCCCTAATTTTTCTCCGTTAATCTGCATAGCTTCTCATTGGACATTCAGTGATCCGATACATCAAATGGGGTATGAATTATATTTATATTCTTTCCGTCCGAAAATAATTATCATGTAATTGTGATAATAAAACAATAGTTTTACACTTTATTAATTGGCTCAAAAAATTGCATTTTTTCTGTACCGTAAAAATATTGGCATCTTTTAGAGTTTCAACTTCATGAACAAGTGGAATCGGTCTTTTTCTTTTGTATGCTCCTTATTTACTTTATTTTCACAGACTCTAAGAAAATTATATGCTTTTCTTAGGATCCGCAGCGCATTTTTAGGATCTGCCTCCGCATTTTTTTTCTTCCCTTTTCTAAACCTGTCTTTCTCGAGTGTTCTACATTCTTCCTGAAGTTGGAAGACTGATTATTATATCATGCTAGAATTATCGGGGCTTGTAAAAAGAAATTATATTCTTGTGCTATGCATTCAGCGGCTAGATTTTATTATACACCCAAGATTCCGAAATGAGCTTACAACTTAATGTTTGAGTTGTTGGAACCCCATCTTAGGAGGGGAAAAAATGATTGGAAAGGAAGGATCTAGAAAAAGGGTTTTTAGAGTTTAATATTGCAATTTGGTTAAATAAGCATGTGCACTTTAATCTATTATTTACCATCCTTAAAAAGTTTCTTCTTAATCGTAATTACGACCAATCATCATATTGATACTTGGAATTGGGAAAAAGAGAGTATGATAAGTGGGGGAGATTAATTGTTAATTAATTTAACACCCCAAGATTGGACGCACTAGAGAAATATTACTAATCAGATAAAGCAGAGCAGTCTGAAAATTCTTTCTAGTAAAATAAACTGCCAATATGGGTCTATTCACTATTTGTTTATCTGTATGAATTCTACACCTAGAAAAATTTCTCTAAGCATACATTTGATTATGAACAGACAGTAAGTATTATTCTAAAAAGAAAAGTTATTTCTCACGTTTTGTAATTCATGCATAGGGGTCAGCAATGTACTTCAGTCACGTTCTTCTATTCTATTGTGAGGAAGTAGCCTTAACGAATTTGCAGGATACTTGTTTTTCGCTGTTTTAGGAATGTGCTTGTACTTGCAATGTCTACTGTTGCACGTAGAGATCGATCTAGGTGGATGGAGATGGGGTGTGATTATTGGTGTGTCAATAATTTCACCAAATTCATAGAAACATGCCATGTTTATTGGTGTGTGATTATGGATGGCACATGACAATATTAATCTAAAAGGGAGTATGCATTGAGCTTCTGAGTTCAGGCAAACAAATGTGGTTGTCGTTCATTACCCCGTGTAAAAAAAAGTTCCAGAAATGGAATGGAATTAGAAGATTTGAAGAATCTTGTAAAGTTGTTCAAAACGTCAAAATGCCTTAGAGTGACATAACACAAGAAACTCGCAGAAGACAGAGTTTGCTCTTTGCCTACACGCGTCCAAGTGTATCTTTTTTTTTTTCCGTTGAGACCGTCGAAGAGTACTAGAAGTCATGGATTCTGATGGGTTCCATCAGGGCAGCAATTCATTTAGATACATCTCTTTTTATTTCTTGGTTTGGAAAAAAGCTAGTTTGTTTCATTGTGTATTCACGATTGATCTGGTGAAATTGAGATCGACCACACCTCATTTCCAGCTTGAAATTGTTCTATTCATTAGGTTGCAGGAAATAGTCATTAGTGAATTATGGGTTGATTCAACACCAAGGAGCAATCAACTTGAATAGAATCACACAAACGCTATCCTTTCTGACAATTGACTTAGGAGGTTAGATTAGATTGTGGATGGGCAATTACATGAAGTCTTGGTTGGTTTTATCATGTGGATTTCTGATATTGCACGGATCCTATGTAATGTTAATAAAGGATAATTGATATGATATGTAACGAGATTTGACTTCTCAGTTTAACTCGGAACCGTTGACGACAATACAATCATGCTATTTCGAATTTTGCAAGGGACAGAAAAGAGCATTTGGATAATTTTAGTTTCGTGACAGACGCGATATTTCGAGTTATAACTCATCTTTCTCTGTGGATCAAAACATTAAAAGCTTACAGAACATTTTGTCCTTCACTCTTTCTCCAGCCCAATCTGGGGTCATAAAAGGAGGGATATGTGAACGAAACCAAATGGTAATGATTCATGCATTGCTCTCCGTAGTTTTATACTTTAGTTTGTGCTAATTAACATTCTTACGGTTCCTCATTTCGTTTTCTGTATAAGTGAATTTGTCTTCCTCTAGTTAAGTCAAACGGGAAGAAGGGAACAATCATGTGACCGATGTAACTTGTTAAATAGCTTCAGCCTTCAGGGGATCAAATCAATTTGGGGTTGAACTTCAACTCGATCATATTGCGCAAGAATTCAGCAAGCTGTTAGGACAATGTCAAGCAATCACTGTATATGAGTGGGATTTTTTGGCTTTTCTAGTGCTTGGCGGTCTCTGCTATGCTTGCGAGTGGCAATCATTAATAAAGTTAGGTCAAAATGGTTTAGGACAATGTCAAGCAAACGCTGGCCGTCTATTTTAGGTCAAAACGGTTGTACAGTGCGTTCAAGTTTTGATTAATAAATAGTTCTGCAGCGTTCAACTACTAAATTGACCACGCTAATATGCTCATCAGCAAAGATTAGGCATCGAGGAGAAAGATCAAGTTATTTAAATCGACAACAGTATGCTCGGCAATGGGAAATCGAATAAAGAGAAGGAAAAGGGAAGACGGAAGGAATGGAGCAAAACAAACCCATTACCGTAACAATTTAATATCTGTTAAAATTACAAGCTAATACTTAAATGAAATATATATTCAAACCTAGACAAGCACTTTGCAATTACATAGAACCAAGTGTAGTCAACTCCACTTTAGAAACAAAAATGAAATGACTTAAAAACTGAAATCCAAGAGCAACCACACTTCCGGGAGAAAGAAAAACTAGATAAAAAGCCACCTGCATCCAGGATACACCCATCAAAATAGCTCCGGATCACTTTACGCCTGCATACCAGGGGGAGAACAGAGACAGGAAGACCCATAATACGTCAGTTTAGAGAAGAAAATGAAACTACTACGGACACATTGCTCACCAAACTATAAAATTAAAGACATATGACTTGCCTTGTTAGCAATATTGTTTGAGAGCCAATCCAGCCCTTCATAAAGCCCCTCTCCGGAAGTGGCACAAGTGCTTTGGATGTACCTGCAACCACAAAGCAATATATTCAGAAAATTAAATACGAGTGATTTACAAACACCATACACGAGTCGATTGCTCAGAAAGCTTACCAATGACGCTGCCTGAGGGAATGTAGGCCAAGCTTGTCAGTTATTTCAGCAGCATTCATTGCATTGGGCAGATCTTGTTTGTTAGCGAACACAAGTAATACTGCATCTCGCAGTTCATCCTGCAGCAAGGGCCAATTTGAAAACCATGTCTAATGTTATCCAGATCCCCAACAAAGCACGAGAAGAATATCTTAAAGACATTGTTTCCTAAATCTAAACCCATCAGCCAGCAGATTAACCACCGGTTTCCAATTTAAATCCAGCTAACTTTTACTAGGAAAAATACATTTGCTAAACCATCAATTTACAGTTTCTTCTTTGGAATTATAGCAATTCACAATATACAAGAGCAAATACCTCATTCAACATCCTGTGTAATTCATCCCTAGCCTCCACAACACGGTCTCTATCATTGCTGTCCACAACAAAGATGAGACCCTGAGTGTTTTGGAAGTAGTGCCTCCACAAGGGGCGGATCTGGAAAGTCAAATACAAAAGAACCTCTTAAATTTGGTAAAACACCACAAAGATGCACAGGGGAGAGGATAAGAGGAAGTCATAATGTATGCTAAAACATGGTTGAGCTACTGAACAGAGCTGAAGAGTAGAAAAATAATAACAAGCAAGCAAGAGAAGCTGATAGTCATTCATACCTTGTCCTGACCCCCAACATCCCAGACGGTAAAGCTAATGTTCTTGTACTCAACAGTTTCCACATTAAATCCTGACATGAGCAAAAACGTGTTCCCGAGGTTCAGATGCACAGAAATACCATCATGTTACCCCAAAAAAGAATTCAAAAAGCAAACAGAATGTTTAACTGAAAGTCCATCCTTTAAACCCATTATGCTCCCAAAATTTCAAGGAATTTCAATAATGATAAAAAAGTAAAGTGTACAGTCATCATCCAACTACACTAACATGTACACCTCAGGTAAATAACTAGCTGTTTTCAACATATAGTGAATATCGGCCAACAGATGCACTCCGTTTCAAGACATTTCTATTCACAGGAACTCAATGTTATCAATTCTGCACCACCTACACTTTTAAGACCCAGTCTTGATTTGTTTCCGAAGGACAGTAGGAGAAAGAATGAAACCTTTTTGGCTGCTACTCAGCCCTAATGAAAAATTTTTGGCTGCTACTCAGCCCTACTATCTTCAGAAGGTCATTTCTCGTTTTACTGGCTATGATTTCAATACTCACAGAACCATCGATCTAGAACACAAACATCTGGATGTGTATTACCGCAAGCACTCAAAATAATGACTAGTACTGCACTTTGTGAAGTCCTAGTTATCCTTCTAACAACTGGATGGAATAACAGGAACGCAAAAGTACTAAATTCATTATAGTGCAAACAAGACAAAATCAAAACCACGCAGCAGTATTAACAATCAAACTTTAACAACAAAAAGAGACGCCGAAAGGCCCTCTGCAATCAAAGCTCCGACTAGAAAGTGATTCAGTAAGTAAAAGAAAAAATGCGATGTGTCTAAAGAGCATACCAATGGTGGGAATTGTGGTGACAATCTCTCCGAGCTTGAGCTTATACAGAATTGTGGTCTTACCAGCTGCATCAAGACCTACCATCAGAATGCGCATCTCTTTCTTGGCAAAAAGCCGACTGAATAGCTTTGTGAACGTCAGCCCCATTATGCTTTCTTATGAATGATCCCTGCACAATAAGAACACATCTCATAAATCAAAAACCTCCATTCGTCATAGTTTATACTGAGGATCATGAGCTTACACGAATTAAATTTGAGTTAAAGAAACTTCTACATATGATAAAAGATCTACCATCATGCTCAAATGAATTCGTTCAGGATGAAGTATGCATTATCAAAATATAAAATATGGCATTAATTATCCTACATGAACACAATGATTAGCATAGATGAAATCAACCTCTAAACAGCTGGATCTGAAAAGAAAACTCAACCAGCAAAACTACAGACAACGGTACGGGAAGAAACTTTTCCCCGGTTTAATCAAAATATCAAATTCGAACATTACTACAACGATATGCACACAAAAATCGCAAATCAACTTAAAACTTTTATAAGCAAGAAAACTCCAACGCGATCGACATAAGCTGGTCCATAGATCCAAAACAATTTACGCTTTTATTCCAGATCAACACAAGGTAGAGAGAATTCAAAGAATTGAACAAGCCCTAAGTAACCAATGTATCACATCAAAAGTAGCTCAATATCGAGAATTCGAGCAAAATAACTTAGCAATTGCTGGCATCAAAAGGAATCAGCAAGAATCATCAAATCAAATGGAAAATTAAACGCATCACGGAGCGAACGCAAAAAGAATCAAAGCATCAATCAAAAACACGTACGAATAAACACTGAAATTCAGCAAATCGCAGCGAGATTCGAACCTTGCGAGATGGAAAAACAAAGGAATCGTCGGTAGTAAATTGAATTGCAAAATCAAAGAAGAGATGGAAATGCTGTGGAGAAATTCGGAGAAGAAGATTTATTTACCCGGGGGAAGGCTTGGAAAAGGGGAGGGATCGGATCGAGTGCTGAGGGAATCGCAGAGCGAAAAGAAAGCTTGAGACCAACGCGTAATATTTGGGGGAATGAGAATTTCAACTTGAGGTCATAAATACACCGGAGTCCCCCACGGGCTGGAGGGGAGGTGCATTTGAATTTACCAAAAGACCCTTCATTAGCACTTCAATAACTGAATTGCTTCACTGTTGGCGGTAGCGTTCTTTACCGTTCGATTTACAGAGTACAACGTTGCTTATGCAATCTGATGCCTCCACGTGTCCCTGCCTTAGTTGTGCTGTTTTTTGTTTAATTAAATTCTGTATATGAAATCCTCGTCCATTTAAATTGGAAGTTTATTACATTAAGAAAATGTTCATGCACGACGCACGAATAATGGAGTGATGACAAATTTGGCAGATCTAGTCTTGTAGTAAGGGAAATGGATCAAATCAAACCAAATACCAATGAGATTTACCCTTATAACGAGTGAATTTTCAGAAAAAAGGTTTAAAGCTACGAATTCAAAGCTAAAATGTTACATCTAATAAGGTAAATAAATTGTTTCTTTTATATGTATATATAAAAAAAAATTGGATGGGTTCGTGAGGATCGAACCTTCAACCACCTGACAATAAACATCCATTTCTAATTTTGAAATAATTTCATTCAACCCTTCCATCCAGGTAAAAAAATGAATTGGATTGACACTTACAGTTTGATAATTGTTATAAGATTCAATTTGACTTTCGTTTTACACAGTGACATACTCTTTTCAATATATATTATAATTGCTTAATGTAAATTTGAGTTTGGTAGTCCTTTTTAAGTATTAATAAATAGAACTTTTTCTTAATTTTTTTAAACCAAAAAAAAATGAAACGATTGTATATATTACATTTGGTATTCCTTTAATGTTATGACTTTTGATCTTCTTCCATTAATTTTCTATTTTATTTTTATTTTAAAGATTATATATGAATAAATTAATTCGTTAGTAGTCTTTTTTAATTATTAACTAAGAGCTTTTCCCCACCCCCTCTTTTTTAAACAAGGAAATGAATTTATGTGTTACATTTGGTCATTTAATGTTATGACCTTTTATCTCTTTCTATTAATTTATTATTTTATTTTTATTTTAAAGCTTATGAACAAATTTGAGGTTGGTAGTTCTTTTTAAGTATTAATAACTAGGACTTTTTTTTTTCACTTTTTAAACTAAGAAAATGAAAAGATTGTATGTGTTATATTTGATTTTCCTTTAATGTAATGACCTTTAATCTCCTTCCATTGATTTTCTATCTTATTTTGTTTAAAATACTATTATGAACAAATTAATTTATTAGTAGTCTTTTTTTTTAACTATTAACTAGGAGTTTTTTTCCTCCTCTTTTTAACCAAGAAAATGAAGAGACTTTATGTGTTACATTTGGTCCTTTGATGTTATGACCTTTTATCTCCTTCCATTAATTTATTCTTTTATTTTTATTTTAAAGATTGTGAACAAATGAATGTTCTTTTAGTCTTTTAAGTATTAACTAGGAGTTTTTACCTTCTTTTTAACCCAAGAATATGAAAAAAAAAAATTTATGTTACATTTACTATTCTTTTAATGTCTTGATCTTTGATTTTCTTCCATTAATTTTCTCTTTGTTTTTTATTTTAAAAAAATTTTAGAACAAATTAATGTTCGCTATTAGTTGAAATTTGATAGGCCATGATTTCAACTTGCGCATTTTTCTAGCTTGTGTCTTTTATTCTTCTCGTCTTTGAATTTTAAGATTTCATTAATGAGAATTTAAATAAATTATTCTATAACTCAAAAAGAATACTAAGAGTTTCGCATCTTTTTGAATTTGTATATATATATAATTCTCAAAAATAAGAGTTTTGACACATTTATCTTTTCCTTTCTTACAAGTGTTCACCCTCTGCTCTCGATGGTCTTTTCATCCCAAATTCATTGAAAGTAATCATCATTATTTTTACTCTTTTCTTATGAAACTTTAAGTTTAGATTTTTCTTTCTTCTATTCTTTTTCCTTTGTTGGGTGATAGGTTGTTATAATGTAAAAATGATTATATTCTATTGTTCATTTTGTATATGCGTGTTATTTTTCTCTAGAGTTAGAATACTATTGTATACTTACACTAAATTTTGAAAAATATTCACTTACGCTCGAAGAGCATTTATTTCATATAGTTATTATATTTGATGATGATGGAGGCTTTTTTTCATTTGGACATGGATTCGGATCGCAAACCGACGATCATTGTACGTGTGCGTTGTCATATAGAGAGGTGATAGAAGTGAATGAGGTATTTGGCTGATTTTCTTTTTGCTTAGCTAACCACTTAGTTTCTAAATTTGTCAATTGGCCACACACATTTCTTATTTCCTACACGACAATTAACTACTTATATCACCTAGTTTTTATTTAGTTACTACTGTCCCTATAGTTTATTTTATACAATCAACAGAGAATCATTTTATGAGTTGTATCATCAGTTAAAATTGTATGTAGTTTAGAAAACCATGGAAAGGTGAATAACTGCTAAATTTCATCATTTGTGCTAAACAAGAGGATCCAGGAACGGAGTCTCACATATAAACTTATCCCATTTATTACTCCACATTCTTTTGTGTGATTTCTGCATCGTTGTACTTTTCAATATATTTTTTCCTTTGGCAGATGATTTGTTTATTTTTATTTTTATTTTTGGCTAAAAAGGGAAAAAAAAAAAACCAAATGTGTAGCTATTTTATTTTTTTCAAATCAAGAATTCATTTATCTATTAACACAAAATTAAAGTAGAGGGGCGCCCGGACATCTGCCCGTACCAAGCATCTAGTACACAATAAAACATCAATAAGTTAATCTTCATTAAATGATACTACTACAGTTGATGGATTGGGAGAGGCTTGAAATTAGAAGACTGAAACTAGAACAAGAAAGGGTAAAATTTGATTGCCAGTGTAAGAAGATGAAAAGGAATTTGGCAAATGGTGGTGTGATGGGCTGTGTTTATAATGTTTGGATGGAGAGAAATACAAGAAGATTGGTGCATAAAACCAGAAAGGTTAAAGACAGAGTGGAGTGCATGAAGCAGGAGTTGATTTGGAGAGTCCAATACACTAGTAGAAAGCTCAAAACATTGGATGTATTTAGAATCATTGAGAAAATCAATCTTGTATATAGAAGGATGGCAGTGATAGTGTAGGCAAAGAAGATAAAAATGTAAATGTAAGGTATCACAAGTTTTGAGCAATATAGTTCACCTTTTACCAATACAATAAAATAAAATAAATAATAATAATTATTTTCCAAAAAATATCCACATTGAGTTTTGAATTTTTTACATTTTTAATATAAATTTTAAAACTCAATATGAGTTAGATTTCTAGGACAAAAAGTATAATTTTTTCCACTTGTATAAAATATGGAACAAATAATTAATTAATAAGATAATAACTTTTTAGAAAACCTTAATGCGATAATTTTATGCAGTATATTAATAAACTCTAAATGTAATGATTTTATTTTTTATTTTTTTCCTTGAAATTAATATCTTTAATTAATAAAGATTTCATCCTTGATTTTTATTCATGAAGTATGTATTAATCATTCCCAGTCTATCTGGTGTTCTTGATAAATTTGATTTGGATATTGAGGAAAGGCTCAAGGGATCAAAAGGCTAATAATTTTTAGATTTTTGAATAATGAAAACGATACTGTAATGATGTAAATAATATAGACGCAATCAAAATTCATACAAACTAATTGAATTATAGTAAAACTTCAATAAGTTAATCGTATTGGGACCACCAAAATTTATTAATTTAGCGAATTATTAAATAATCGATAAATAATTTAATAATCAATAAATTAATAAATTATTAATTTAAAAAATTTATATGCGAAAAAAAACCCTCACTAAATTATTTAATTTACATTGCCTTTACGTACAAATCAATCAAGCATTAAAATTCTTTTAAATACTAAAAATTTATACATAGTTCAAATTATCGTTAGGGACGGAAAAACAAGTATCAATAGTTCACATTTTACTAAATATTTATTGTTATTATAATTATTTTCTTATATTTATGGCATTATTAATTTATAGTATTGTTGGGACCTATAAGAAATTTTCTGAAATATTATTATCTTATCATTTTATCGATTTCTTTCATTTTTTATACTGGTCTCAAGTTGGGATCGAAAAAAATTATTAATTGCTAAAAGTTATTAATTTATAAATTATTAATTTACCGATATTCTGCTGTATGTAACCGCAACTCTAATATAAGAGGTTGTAGAGAATCTTGTCCGTTAATACTTTTTTCTTCTTTTTCTTATTTTGTACCCCTTTGTGGTCTCATCGTATTAAGTATTAACACTTGTTTAACAGTTGACGAAAGTCGATAAGTCGGTGGCAGGACATCTTTCCTTTGCACTAAAAGGGTCTCCACCTGAGATCGTACTCAACAACTCATATACAAGTTTACATAGAAGGCACGATTCCCGGCCCACGGCGCCTTTCTGGCCTTCCAATGAGCTATTCATCCATTTCGAAGGTGCCTGCACCCCAGGAACAGATCATTAGTGCCCCAAATATACAACATCCATCATGAGTTCAAAACACAGCCCATGATAATGACAAAATGTATGTTATAAAAGCCTGATATTAGATTCAGGCCATGATATCTCCGACTCATTCAACTCCTGGATATGCCAAATAAAGGATAGAAATTTTTGTTACATGCGTAGCTTGATATTAGATTCGGGTCTGGAATCTGCGACTCATTCAAGTCCAGGAAATGCCAAATAAAGGATTCTAAGGTGGAAATTCTGTTACATGTGTAGTTAGAAGTATGTACGTAGTCCTCGGTTCAGTCTCAGTCCCAAGATCAATTTAAACGATCAGGGGAGCAACCGCTGCGTATAAAAAGGATACATTGGAAGATAGTTACCTTATCACCAAAAAACATTATGCTCCGTGACCCTGCTAATGCTTCCAGGTCTATATTTATCCAATTAACGCCAATACTGCGCCCAACGGTGTATTGTCTCCACCATTTGTGGGAACAATGCACTGACACTCTCGTTGATAAGATCCTGGAAAAAGTGTATGCACTCTGCATCATCCAGGTCCAGCCGAAACTTCTCTTGAAGCTATAGTCACAGATCACAACCACATCAAACAATTAATAAGTAACTGAAACAATGCTAAAATACAAGCAGTGTTGATCACAAGGGAGTGAAGATAACCTTAAGAATGCCTTTTTCAGGATCAGAAGCTATATCATTTATATTTGAACCCGCCATTAGGTGGAACAAATTTAATATCAAATTGCTAGACTTTCGGAGAATATTGTATGCTTCACAACAGTATGATTTGAACCTGGTGTAGTATTGGCTGCAAAATAAAGAAACAATGTTTCAAAAGGCAGTTTAAACAAAAAAAAGAGACAACTAATACCACCATGCATGAATTAAAGACGACATTAATAAAAATGCTTTCATTTTCCATAGAAAATGGCAGCTATATAAAATGATTTACTGCTGCTAGCCAGTTATAAAGAAAAATCATGACAAAGAAACCAAGTATTCAAACCGGTTATCGAGTTACCTTTCTGCTCCACCCATAGCCTCTACCATTTCTTTGCAAAGTTTCATAGGGGGTGGGAATGGTTTTGGATCTCTACCAAGAATAAAACCAAAATCAACATGGAACAGACGACCGTCATCCCTAAGTAGAAGATTGTCCAGGTGCCTATCACGAATGAACTTAATCCATTAATCCATCATGGAATGCAGTATATAGGTGAATAATTCAAAGAACTTATAAGATGCATCGCAGGTTCCAGTGGAATTAAAGAAGAGAATTAATGGACATTCCGCTGCTTAGGTAGCAACTATTCACTTTCACTTAGGAATTCAAAGTCATAGGTGGTTCAAAGGCATAACTCTTCATTCAAATGTCCCCATTTAAATAAAACTTACAAAATTATTAAGTATATTATGGTGGGAACATGAGATAAAGATAATTCTCATATAGAAAATCGGGTGCTTTGATGTCCTCAAAAAAGACAACAGATGAACTCATGAAAAAATAAGAGAAAAATAAGTAAACTGAAATTACCTGTCTCCAATGCCTAGGATATATGTGATGACTGAGTAACCAGCACAACTTTTTATGAATGTTTCAAGGCAAGTTGCAGTTATTCCAAATGGTCCATCCTCATCTGGATGGGACTTTTGCAAGTAGCTTATGATAGTACGATGCTCTGAGAGAATCTAAGTATTCAATCACAAACAAATAAATGAGATTAGAGAAACAAGAACAGTTGAACGAGTAAACACTTAAATGAAGCTGTCAGTCAAATAAGTGCTTTTGTAGTAAATGCATCTTAAGAAGGTTACAAAAATTCAGCTCAATCATATTTAATATTCTCAAAAAAAAAAAAAAAAAAAAAAGAAACACGGTAAAAAGAAGAAAGCCGGCACACAACTAATCAATTCCCCCGTGGTGAATAGTTCATTAGGATTAAAATGCATTCTGCAAGAGTTAATATCCCATTGAGCACATTTTCCGATATTCTAGAGCAATAAGAGGGGTATAGTTTTTAGCTGTTAGCTGTCCAGGTTTACCTTTTCCACAAGCAAAGCATCAGCGCAACCCAGCAAAGATATTCGATGACAAATACTATGAAATACTTCAGGAACATCTTGTCCCCACATGAAGCATTTAAGATCAATAGTTCGTTAAAGCATATACATGATGCTTGATAAATAAGTTTGTAGACTGACAAAGCACGATCTAATAATTCGTTAAAGCATGATTTAATAGTATGGAAGCTCGAATTTTGTAGACTGACAAAGTGAGACTACGGCAGTAAAGAGATTGGCAGAATTATTGTGAGCAAATGAGTCCAACCATTACCACAAATTAACCAAATTTTCAAAATACCTGTGCCAAAGATTTAGATGGTATAAATTCCAGCATGCCTTCATCATGTCCTGTTGCTAATACCCTGTATGGGGTCAGATGCAAATCAAGATTTTCCAGCTTTAGCAAACGATCCATCAATGTCACCATTTGAATAACCTGCACAAACCACAACTTTGTTCATTCCACAGGCAGTGTGCGTACTGGTCTGGTATGTTGTGGTGCTATAGACAAACTTGCAAAGCCGGAAAATATTGTTTTAAGAAAAGTTAAAGAAAGCTTGCAATATATTTATCAATATGAGGAGATTCGTTGGAAAGGCTCTGCAATATATTCATCAACATGAGAAGATTTGCTTGAAAGGCTTAGCAGTATACCAACTGGTCTTGCCGAAGATCGTCTCCCTTCTTAAATATGATCTTGCAAATTCCACCATTCGCAGTTCGACATGCCAGTCTCAAAGGATTTAATGCACTCTTAAATATGGATGATTCTGACGGGATTATACCAGTGATGAGGACCCCAGGAGCCAGCGGCGATCGTATTGGCTGAAGATGTAGAACCAAACTTTAGAAGCTTTAACTCAATGCCTACTAATAAATAAGGATAAGAGTTCAGAAATTTAATCAAACACATACCTCATCAAAGTAGGTAAGCTCACTAAGCAAACCAGATAGAAGATGTCTAAGTTTTTCAATTTTCTTCTGTGTTCCCCGTTTGATTTTATTAACATCCTTCATTATAGAACACAACTGGGCAGTTAATTCAGTCTGACGAACCAAGCTCTGCCACAACTTCACACCATCTTCATCTCCATTTGCACCTGTTCCCAACTGCAAGCACAAAAAGAAGGAAATATGTAGTGAAACAGAAATCTCCTAAATTCATTTCACTACATAAATCTCGCATACTCAAAGATAGTATCTCCTTGAAAGAGATAAGATGCAAAACAGATGCATAAACATTAAAGAAATTCAGATATTATTTAAAAAAACCAATTAACTTAAAGGATTCTACTAAAAGTGCCCACCTATTAGGTGGTAGTTAAGAACAGAAACACCAATAAGTAATATCAAATCATTCATTCTAGTTGTGTGCTACCAGCTATTCTACAGTTAACAATCACAAATACACACCTTTAGCATACTTTCTTCCAAAAGCTCATACGTAGCATAAAAACGTTTTGCATGGGCTGGGTCATGGAGTTCAACAGCTACATACCAGCGAAGGAAGCTAGCTAGCTCTATATTGCACAGTGCTGCCAAGAATAATTATCGCATAGAAAAGATTGCATCAGAAAACAGTAAATAACATATCCGAAAGATACTAGTGTAAAAAGCAAGAATCATACATCGCTGCACGAGGAATTGAGAAAGCCGCGATTTATCGGAGCGCTCAAACCGTAGAGCTTGGACCAGCTGAAGTAGGTAACATTGGAGCTCATCATCATCAGCTCTTTCAAGTACACTGACAGCATAAGCGCGGACCTGTCGAACAATGACCAAAAAGACATTACACAACAAAACCATCTCTGCACATATTAGCATTTTACATAATTAACGAACTTTTGACATATCTTGATTATTTCGTATCCATCTACAAATACTAAAAAAGTTACATTAGGAAAGATAATAATAAGCTAACAAGTGAAATTGACATTCAAAGAAGACTTCAAGACATGAACCTAGACACATTACCAATTAGTGAAAATTGTTGTCCAGTACTAACCTCTTCCCTTTCAAAAACAGGTGATAGAAGCTCCAATGCATCACAAACATCAATTGGTTCCCACTTCCCCATCAGTTCCAATCCCTGCTTTGCTTCCTGCATATGTCAATTAAAAAGAGTCAGTGGACATCTGAATCACATTTTTCACAGTGTGTTAAAAAGAGGAAGCCTAGGAAGCATTGTGGAAATATTTGCTTAAACGGATTCTTTTTCTTGTTTTCTTCTTTGTTACAACTGATTGACAAAAGAAGTGCTAGCAGACCAAATTGGCGTTCTGTAAAAACATGTCCACAACATTTGGAGAATAAGATACAAGCTAAAGCAAATAAGAACACCACTAATCAATCAGACCCAGATGACCAAATCGTAAAAATGAAGGAAAAGGAATAATCAGAAACCCCATGCTATTGCAGACAAAATTCAAAGTTTTGAGTCAAAATGTAGACTAAAAAACGAAGCTAATCTTGAAGCTGGACAGCAAAATGATGCAACTTACAAATTGTGTAGCAGTCACAATAATAGGTACCACAGTCTAAAAAGAGAACCGAAATGTTTGGTATAAATTCGGTATTCCCATATGTTCGTACCAAGAATAAAAAGGAATGAAAAGAAGACCCCTATTTCTGTTTTTTATATGATGTATTTATCAGCCCTTATGCTATCTCTCTTTTTTTCACCAGAATCTCAAACGGAAGCGCACCACTTTTCAATACTGATTGTAAAAATTCACCTATGTTCATTTAGCATTATGAAAAAACAGTACAGGGTTTCAGGGGGAGGATATACCTGAACATCACTCCATTCAACACATCGAAGAAATTTTGTAAGTGCTCTCTTCTCCGACATCAATGAAAAACGAAATTTCCATAGAAGCTGCCTCTCATCCCCACTCAAAGACCTTGTTGGTGGGTACTTCAGTATTCTTTGGATAGACCTAGCAAACATGCAGCAGTTTTCCATCAATATAACAAAAGAGAAAAACATGAAACGGAATCAGGAGTGATGTTATCAATATGTTTACAGACTTTAAGCCATAGCCAGCATGACTTACACCAAAACAGTTGCATGAAGACATATTGTCCAGATCTTAACCATGGTGTGTGCACGCTATTGCAAACATTTTCAAACTAGTTTTTTCTGTAATCGACTCTTACATCCTAACGGATAACAGCAGAATTGCCACACACACACACACACATATTCTGAACAATGTCTACTAATTCTATAAAATTAAGCTCATGATTCATCATGAAAAGTAGAGCAGATTGCGGATCTAGTTAAACTTATTCATATCAGAAACCAATGAGCAGAATTCCTGATGGCTTCACATCTATGTTTATTCCTCCACAAATATCTACACACCACAACAATAACAACAACAACAAGCCTTTTTCCCACTAGGTGGGGTCGGCTATATGGATCATATGTCGCCATCGTGCTCGATCGTTACATAAATCATCCCTCAAATTTAAATATTTCACAAATATCTAAAAACACCAAGAAGACAAAATTTGAAACCAGAATAGACCAATATTCGAAACCAAGAATACCTAAATGAAACCCCTAAGTCACAAGAACAACACTGGCTGAACATAAGCACGGTGGTTCTTACAAGTTCGAACCATTATACTTCAGTGCAAACTAAATCAGGACACTAGGATGTGATCAGGAACTTACTTCCTTTCTGTAGAGCTCGGTTTTAAATCCCTGTCAATTATGCCACGGTTGAGACTTCTAGCAAGCTTTAGCTGCTTGTGCTCAGAAGGATTGATCTTCCCAACTTCAGGATCCCACACCGTAACCAGTTCATTGATTGAAGCTATAGGAGATGGTATCAAGAAATTTGCTCCTGATTCCTATTAATCAAGGGAACAGAAATCACATGTCAAGAGCAAGGCAGAAGACCTTTAACACAACCACAAAGTACATAACGAGCATATAAATAAACAGCGAAAGCAAACCAGATGCATAAGGCAAAATGCATGATAGCAAGGAAACTTCTATAACCAGCAAATGATTACTAGAACTGAAACCAAAAAACAAAAAAAAAAATAGAGGGATTTAAGAAACTAGATAAGAATCTATTCTTTTTTTTCAAATGTCCATCATAATAATTTTGCCACTGACGATAACATGTAACACGCTGAATGAAACCATCATTGTAGCTTTCCCATTGTACTCCGAGTGAAGATGATGACAATTCAATAAATGTTTGGCTATTGAGATAGAAATTAACGCCTGAATTCCAAAAAACTACGAACATTTATTATTTCAATACTTCATGGAGCCATTGTCAAAGCTATCTATGAGGTAGTCACATATACTTTAGATCTATGTTATTTACCTGCTAATTCACTTATTGCTTGCATCTCACTTTACAATGAGACAGAATGGTCTCATTCCCAACGAGAAAAACATGGATTGTCAAATAAAACACAACCGCATTCGCTTTTGTTTGGATAAGCAGAGAAAATACAGTGTACTCGATCTCCCAAACAAGAGAATGAGCAAGATAGAAAAAGAGAACAAGATGAAAATTCTCTATACATGCTTGAGATTGTCAAACTTCACAGTAAAAAGAATGGGAAGCAAAAAGCTGGAAAAGAATACCTGAAATACAACTCGATGCTCAAAACTGCAAAAGTCGATGACCAAATATACATGAGAACTTCCATTTTTACTACTTTGGCTTTCCTTGATTTTCTCTATTGCTTTAAATGCTAGTCGGTCTAGCCAATCAACCCTTTGGATTTGCCCCCTTTCATATTTATTAACAAGCTTTTCGAGTTGCTCCACTTCCCCGCGTTCTTCCTTAGGAACCTAGCAGAAAACAAGAATGGCAATCAGATTAGGGATACAAAGATTGAATTTATGATTTGAATGAAAACATTGGAATAGAAATAGTCAAATCATCAATGATTACTAGATGAAAACCTTTCCAGGAGTAGATGTATGGACAGAACCATCTGCTTCCTTGCCCAGCCAAAGCCTGAGCTTGTGTTTTCCAGTCTTCAATTGCTTTTTCATGTTAAAAAGATGAATGGTAGCCCCGCCAACCACTCCCTCATTTTTACCACGCGAAACATCCCAAACCTAATTATCAGGGATGATTGCCAAAACCAGAACCAAAAAGAAAATGTTAAGGAGAGCAACATAAGAATGGTAAGAACAAGAGTGGTAAAATAACCAATAGGAATGATAATAATTTAATGGTAAAATAAACAAATCCTCCATGATCTAGTCATCAGAAATCACAGTTTTCCATTAATGCAAGTCGAAAAACAGAACTACATCAAGGAGCTAGTAATTATGGGGAAAAAAAAATCAGCACTTAGAATGCCAATAAATATTGCATGCAAGGATATGAAAGAGATAATCATCAGTACGGGTCAGCTACCCAAAAGAAAAGCAATGACATATAAGTGTAGGCCCAAACTTTGAGGCAATAGACATATCTCTAAGTAAAAAAAGAAAGAACTGAAGAACTCACGGTGAAAGCAAGTTGTGAGTTAGCAGTCAAATCCCGATATTTGGTGCTCAATGTTACAAGCTCGTTCCAGCAATATGAAGGGCCTTTTGTTTCCAGCCTGACAAGTAAACTCATTACTGAGCAACAGCAATAACACACTATGAAATAACAAAAGAAATAATTCAATAACATCCAAGGACACAGAGACAAAGCGAAACAGAATGTGGCAATAACCTTGTTCGCATGGGAAGTCCAAAAGGAGCACCATCAAGATGCAATGTGCATTCCACATAAAGCTCAGGCCTATCCTTTTCTAAGGTGGAATCAACATCGCCTATGAAATTCAAAGGGGGGAAAAAACACCAAACTTTAACTCTGAATAAACCAATCACAAACGATTAAACCCTACTCGGCTATAAAAATTATAATCAAATCCGCCAGTCTAATCACAGGCAATTGAAGCTAAGTGTAGCTTAGGATGATGAGATTGCACCTGAATTAGGGTTCTTGGATGAAGGCAACTGGCCTTCCAACCGTTCAATCCGAAAAGTCACGGGGAGATTGATGTCGCATGATAAGAAGAACCGAAATTCGTTCCCGCTCATTGTTTCTTCATGTGACTTTACACTCTTTGGAAGCTGCCGGTATTTTGAAGCTTTTCGCCTAGAAGATTTGATTGCAGCTGTTATGAAGAAAACTGCAGGATTATTCCTGTGAAATCCGGTGATCCTTTAGCGTTGCAGGAAGAAGAAGATGAACACCACTGAAACTTTCCGTGAGGAGAACAACTGAAATCTGGTGGTTGATGACGACAGCAGACCAGTTAGACAAGTTGTCCGACCCGGCTCAGGGATTAACCGTTAACGTCAGAAGGCGTTGTTTTAAGGTGCGAGCCATTTCCCGCTTTCTAAGTTCTCTTCCATCAACACAACAATTCTTAGTTTTTTTTTAAAGAGCGATTTTAACTATTACCTCCATTCCAAAAAAATAGTCCACCTTGAGTTTTCAAATTTGTTCTAAAAACAGTACAAAATTCAAAACTCAATGTGGATTTTTTTTTTTGGGACGGAAAGAGTATTATTCATAGAAAGGGACATACAATTCTAGTTACATGATTCTACTTTATCGTGAACCGCTTGTAGAAATTCAATTATAATGTTGCTAAATTCATTAAAAACAAAAAAGCAAACTGAACACAACTGAAAAAAGAAAAATGAATCATAAACAATCAAGAATAACAATTTCTCATCATGTGCTCAGATTCCACGGCGTTTGATGAAAATTTTAAAGAATAAAAAGCGATGCAGACAAACATTGCCAATTTTCGTTGCCTGGAAGAAAAAAGAAATATACAGTGCAATATAATGTTATGAATAACTTATTAAAATCGATATTTATAAAGAGTTGTACTATGACTTGCATAATGCTTGAGTTACAAATTCCAAGACAAGTTTACCATTACAGGTTGAGCATATAAATTGTGGATTAATTAACGTTATTTTGTCTTGGATGGAACTTATGCAAAGGGATTGATTTGATTTAGAAAAAAAGTGTGCATTAAATTGAATCAAGCCACAATTCTAATGCCCGTTTCATATTTGATACTTATGGATTCGTTTTATATATATATATATATATATACTATAAACACAATGTCACATCTTTTTGGCCAAAAACAAGGTTACATTATACAATCACAAGATGATATATACGCAATTTATGTGAAAGATTGAAAAGAATGATGATGAAAGGCTTTCTTTGCCCAAAATGCAAGATGCATGGTGGTCATACAGCAGGCTGATGAACCTAATCAGCTTGAGCTTAGTACTCGAAGTGTACAACAAAAAGAATAAAACAACAAGAACTCCATCATGGAAGGCGTTTGAATTTCGAGAAATTTGGTGGTCTGTGTTGCATGTATGCATTCTTCCCCTCGCTACCTTCCTCAGTTCCATAGAAGATGAGGGTTGCATTTCCTCCTAGTTCCTGGTGAACAAAAGGCAAAGTCATGGTAAATGCAGATGTTTAACAAACAATATGAGCTAATTTTGTTTCTAATCATGTTTCCCTTCTGTGCATTCATATATGTTCTGAGATGAATGATACCTGAAGTCCAGCGTGGCCATCATCAACAGCATTCAGAGCTGATTTGAGTACCCGAATTGCAGTAGGGCTGTTCCTTAGTATCTCCCGGCACCATTTCACTGTTTCTTGCTCCAACTTCTCCAGCTGCAGAAATAATTTGCTATATTTTATTGATCGAGTTTTGTAACAATTCAACGTGGCATCGTTAAGCGATCTTATTGGGGACCAATGTGAAAGAAATCAATAGCTTAGATGCTGCTAAAATGCTCAATTAAGTGGTATTTACAAGGCCAAAAACCCCAAGTGCCAAAGCAAATAATCAACTCACTGGAACAACAGTGTTGACAAGCCCCATTTTCTCTGCTTCATGAGCCGAGTAAAACCTAGTCATAAACCACATCTCACGTGCTTTTTTGGGCCCAACCTATAACATCCGGAAAACAATCAAGTGGTATTAATGGTGTTGTGCACATATATCTTCGAACTATGGCCATTCCTTTCTGTTGTGGTGCATGGATACTTCATTTCCTTTAGTTTCTCCATCATAAACTATAAGGAACAAGCTATACAGTTTAAAGACTTACCAATCTGGACATTATCGAACTTCCATAGCCAGCATCAAAGCTTCCCACCTAAGTAGCGAGTATGGTCAGTCCAATAAGTCAACAACTATCTCGAGATAAATTTACTGGCAATCATCTGTAAGTCTGAGTAGGGAATCAAAACATGAAGAAGCACCTTTGGACCTGTCTGACCAAAAATGGCATTATCTGCTGCAATTGTTAGATCACAGACCATATGCAAGACATGTCCTCCTCCAACGGCAAAACCTGCAACCTTGTTTTAGGAGAGGATCATACATATCGGAAGGTAATGTAAGGCACTGCTTGAAGTAGAATTGTATATGCATTGAGCCCATCTGATATTAATTAAAGGTTACCATTGCAATTACTGGTTTTGGTAGGCGGCGAATTTGAACCTAAGAGAAAGAACACAATTCTAAGTTAGACAGACGGAATTCAATGAAAAAATTGCACGCACGCTGAATACAAATGTCTGTTGATTTTGTCATTTTTGAGTTCCAAAAAGATCAAGAAAGTTTCAACGCATTAGAACATGAGAATTGCCTGCAAATCTAAGACATTGAGACGACCAAAACTTTCTTTATCAGCATAACCATCTTTGCCTCTCAATGATTGATCGCCTCCGCTGCAAAAGGCCTTGGTGCCCTGCACGCAAACCTCAAAAGAAATAAACTTCTGAACTAGCCAAGAGGCATACTCCCTCCGATCCTGATTATAAGGCATAAATTGGAACAACTTTAGTGCTGATTTGTGCCTTTTAATTAGGACCAGAGGGAGTATTTAATAAAGATGATATGTCCTAACATCTCCCCTTCTCAACATCATTCATTTTACCCAGAAAAATTTTGGTCATGTATCCATATATAACTGCATATGAATAAACTTAAGGATAAGTTCCTCTAATTGTGCATTTGCTTCAGAACTATCATCAAAAGTCTTAACCAGTACTAGGAATATGATAAACCAATAGTTGACCATACACTTTTCAAGTTTTTCTTTCTGCTCAACACTCTTAAAGTCTCTAAGAATGCTGTAATTTAGCAGTTGTTCCACAAATAGTGATCTCCGCAAAGAAAAGTAAAACATTTTTACCTTTCCAGTAAGAATGATGACTCCCACTGATCCATCATCCCTAGCATCATTAAAAGCTCGAATAAGCTCCTTAATCGTGTGCGGCCCAAATGCATTTCTTTTCGCTGGTCTGTTAATCGTAATCTACAAAAATTAAAAAAGGAAACAAAAGTTCAATAGCATGACCAAGAAAAAAAGAAAAAAGAAAAATGAAAGAATAACATTGGCTGGAGCTGGACAAATAGACGAACCTTAGCAATGCCTTCTCCATCCTTCTCATAAATAATATCAGTGAATTCCTTGCCGGACTCATCACAGGCGCGTTTCCAGACGGGCTCATGAGTCGGTACTTCACCATGTTTTCTATGGTAGCTATCATCCATGGAGGAACTGCAATTTGAGGACCCAATTGGGGGGTTATTATGCCCAAAATTCAAATGGGATGGCATTAGGTGGTTAGTGACAGAGGCCACCCTTCTTCTCACTGTGTCTGCATCATCCGTCTTCTGAGTCATTCCCCCCGACATTGTTTGAAACTAATTCGAAATGATCAAATGAAGTTTTTGTTGAATTTAATGTAGGAGCAATTTTAACAGAAGTGTTGGGATGAAGAGATTGGCGTCAAGCTAGGCGGGAGAATTTTGTGTGGTTTATTAACACACAAGAAGAAGATTGACGATGAGGATGATGATGATAGAAAGTGGTGTTTCGTTATCTGACGTGCAGACGTGGTAGGACCAAAAGTGAATATGGATTAGTCACTAGATAAGCTTCGAGCGGATTGGACTGGGATCCAGTGTATGGGCTCAAGAATTAAAGTCCAACTAGCCCATTCCTTGTTTTCACAGTTTTAAGACATTCCTCAGTTGGCCCATTAAGATTTCCTCTTTGATTTAAGCGAAAAAAAGGAAGCTGCTGGCTACTATGGAGGGGAAAGATGAAGAAACAAAGGCAAAAACATCTCAAGGAAAATCCAAACGACAAAGAAATGTGGAAATCGCGAAGAGCAAACTGTACAACTTTTGGAATTGAATGGATGGATGCACTTGACTATTCATTCCGGTATTTATTCTGAATTTAATGCCTTCTTTTTCCCGTTATCAGTTGATGAAATCACTCCTTTTTGTTGTGAATTGATTTCATGTAGTGAAAGTTAAGTCACTTTATGAGTTTAATTTATCATCCATTGTCCTTTTCTGCTCGTGAAATTCATAAATGCCGCAGGTTTTTTCGTCCGGAATTATTTTCTTCTTTTATCGTTTTGGTCGTGATTTTTATTTATCTTTTATTGATTTGGTTGTTTTCCACCCATCTTCATTATCGGCCGAGCATGATTAACAGGTTTAGAATGGTTAGTTCTTGTTTTTACAGCAGCAATCTGACATCATGATGACTTGGCCATATTTCCAAGTCTCCATCTTCATTGCCTTGCTTCAATAGGCCATTTTCTCTTAACTGTGTTTTACTGTATGTACAAATACAGATATTTAACTTTCCCTCTTTGAGAATAACCATTACAGAAATTCTAAGAGGGTGAAATTGGACTAACGATTTAGATATAATGCCACATTTATAACTTTAGTACGTTCGATTAGGCTATTCATATACAAGGCTTTTCTTTCTTTGAAAGAACCAACTGGAATTTCATCGTTTTTAATCTGAACTGATTACATGATATAGGTTGTTTGTTTATTGCGAACCACTTTTTTGCATTTGGGTCCAAGAAACTAATTCACTCGGGTAGCATCGGGGTGTGCACAGTTGTTTATATATCCTACATCGTTTGGTTTCTGTAGGTTTACTTACAGATAGAGACTGAAGTTTTTTTTGATAAGAATCAATTAATCTCGGGAAATTAAATTTATTGTTGAATCACATTTTGGTTTGTCAGATAGATAAAGATTTCAATGAGAAAGCTCCCTGACGAGAGGGATGTTGTGAATCCATGTTTTTGTTCTTAACAATTGGCTTATTCACTTCCAAATCTCTGCAACCTTAGGTTCTCCATCTGCTTTTGATTTTATAGTTCTATTTATCCCCTCGTTTCGAGAGCCTAATCGACATCGGTGGTTGTGATGAATATTTAAAATGTTAGAAATTTTACACAAAATTGTTACAATATTTTCTTTTAGCTTCATTTCAGACCCTATCACTGCTGAGTTTATTATGAACACTATTTGACCATTCCAATGTGTTGATTCAGACGGCTGTTAGTTCTTACTTCAAAGTTTTGGTTGCCGATGGATTGATCTATAGTTAATGACAGCAGGTTCCTGCAAAAAATTTTCGCTTTCATGTAAAACACACATTTTATATAATGCCAAGCTATAATGAGTAGTAGACTGGGAGACAAAGGTCCCATATTCCTCACTATAATACCCTAAGCTATTAAAAACTCATAATCTCATACACACTGGAAGCTCATATTTTCTTGGTAAATACTAATAAAAGTATCTATAATATGTATAGCTAACTTATGGACACAATTCTAATTAACTTATGGTGTGGAAAGGGGTCGGAGCAAATAAGCCGACCACTCTATTAAGTACACCCATTATAAATACCTAACACGAATCATGATCTGCTTGAATTCCATTGCGTGATGGCTTACCTATCTGTAAGCATTCAATTGGAGGGACCGTTGGAGTATATAGCTCCCCAAAAGTATGCCAGCAGAAGGGATCATACATGTGGTATCGCTCAGGCTGTGGTTTTAGTTCAATGCCTGTTAAAGTTACCTCCGTGCATGGCACATTGTCACTGCATGCTAGATGTACTGGTTTCACTGTGTATGTCCCTTTGATTTTTTCATAGTGAATTCCTGATAGAGCGACTGCAGATGATTGATTCTTGCATGCACTCTTGTCACAGTAGAACTGATCTATCACTATAGGAAGCTGGACTTCAGCCATTTGAATGTTCGAAAACAGAACTCCTTGCACCATTCCTGACCCTCCCTGAACAAGTAATATCCATGTCTAATAAATCAACTGGCAAAGAATTCTTTTCAATGTATATAAAAAAAAAAGAACGGTTAAATCCCAAATCAAAGATGAACATGGTGTTCGAAGTGGCAAGATGAAATATGTTGTTTCATTGTTTGCAGAACAGGACCAAACTGGTCACTTTTTTTGTCATTTTATTATGTACCTATTATAAGCCTATCTTATTACCCACTTGTTTCAGAGTTTTTGGTTTCACTTCTGGTAAATATTTCTGACTTGTTCATCCACTGCTATATGATGCTAATTTTTTAACTTTCTTCGCTTCGCATGCGGCTTGGTGTTTCAATCAAGTCATAGAGTTCCTAATAAAAATCAGTTGAGTATGGTTGCCATACCTGCCATGTCTTTATTCTGACTCCATTCATAGTGCTATTCATGTTGATATCTCGAACTGTAATGTTTGAAACACAAGCTTTGGTGTTATCTTTTCCTAGCCCTCCAATACTGATCCCATGTCCTGGTCCACAGTTGACATCATGAATGTACACATTTGTGCATCCAGTTTGTATCGATACACAATCATCTCCTGCAAATAGCATTTTTCTGATTAGAAAATATGATTGGATGTCTTAAGACAGACCCACCGACCTATTCATTGTAGTTCATTTTTTCCAATTGTTACTCAGTTAAGAAACTACCTTATCATATCATACTCCCTCGGGATTCTCTAAGGGCAGTATGAAACAGTTTCATTTACTATTGGGAAATTGAAATTTGTCTTTGTCGCCCTCAACAAGCCTTCTGACAAACTATTCTGTTTGCATCTGAAACTTTGACAGGTATCTATTGATTGTGACTAAATCATATGCTGCACAAGTTGCTGAGTTATGGCCAGGTGGAAAAATCTTCATTGCTGGACTTTCAAGTATGTACTCACCGTACGTTTTCTAACTGGACACAACTCTCTAAGAATTTTTGAATTTTGAATCTAAAACTTCAATTCTTTTATAGTCAGAAGGCAAGTTCCTTGCTACTTGGTTTTGTTTGTGGATTAGAAGAATGTTAATAGTAGAACTTGTTAAGAATGCATTACCACAACCAAGGTTGGCACTGCGGATTAGGACATCTTTAGAATTCTGTAAGTGAATTCCATCTGTGTTTGGGCTGTCACCAGGAGAAGTTACAGTGAAGTTGTACACTGAAACTCCAACGCAGTTATCAAACTTGAGGTGGCATTGGGGACTGTTTTGGATGGTTATACCCGTGACAGTTGCATTGAAGCTTCCATAAAATCGCAGAGCCTGCCATTACGAAATGCATATTATTCTCTAAAAGCATGGATAGTGATGATAAAGCATTGTCAATATTGATTAGTCTAGTTGACATTACCGTAGGCTTTATTCTTGGCATTTTTCCACCAAGAGAGCCGTTTACCTGGGTGGAGGAATTTAAGTTGAGAAGTCAATAATCAGATGAAAATGAAATCTGATAGGTGTAGGAATTAGATCAATGAATTATATTTACCGGAATCCATGTGTTTCCTCCAATTGTTCTGTTTAATGGGACAATAAGCTTAGATTCACTGTCAATAAGGTCTTCTAGTGGGGCATCTTGCCACCAAACTTCCCCTCTTCCATCAATTGTGCCACTTCCCTGAACTGTAATTCCTACCAGCTTAGTGAATTGAATCCACTGCAAAGTGCCTGAACCCCAGGGACTGGTGTTTGTTGGAGCGATTATTGTTCCATCTAACTGCAAATGATTAGAAATTATAAGCATCTTATTCTTGCTCTGTTCAATCATGCTTCTAGATTACTACATTGAAATTCCTACCATCCTTTTAGATCATGCTTTTAGCTCTACTGAAATTATTTCTATGATCTCTCATGCAAACTCTCATTATTTTCGACCATGAGTTTGGACAGTTAATCTTGTTTTCCATTTACAACATAGGATCAATGCGAGTAGTGAACGAAGTTTCCTTACTATCGTACATGGTTGTGCCAAAATTTTTACCTGGAATACAATGTTGTGCTGACAGTATGGCCCAGAGAATGAAATTGGGCCCACAAGGAATGTATAATCTGATGGAACGATGATGGTTGATGCCTCCACTTTACAAGCTGAAGCCCATGCTGCTTCGAATGCCTGTAATTATCATCCGGAAATATAAAGTTATCTGGTCAGCATTTGATTTATCATTTCTGAATTCTAACAAGTTTTTTAGAAACCGGGTATGAATCATTTTTGAACATTGTTTAATAAACAATGCTCCAGTGACCATTTCTGTTGATGAATTTAAATTTGTGGATAACTGCATTTAATTGCTTTTAGTTTGGATTTCCCAACTACTTTAACAAGAATCATTTGAGTGGTCCTTCCATGCTTTTGTTAAGTACTGTGGCAGTTTTTGTTGTCTTTTTTGTTGTCACTTTTTGTTATGGTATATATATTATTCTGTGAACCCCCAACTTTGTTCACCACTGCAACTGCACAGCTCGGAATGTCATAATTACCTACTTTTTTGTCTGTATATGGTGAACTTGCTGGTGATAAATGTTGACCACTGAATCCTTTTAACTCTGTGGCCACAATCAAAAAGGGGTAACACCCTCAACTTCTGAAAAACTGTCAGAACTGATCTCTATAACCCACACAAACTTATATTTTAAGTAGTATATTGAGATTGTCTTGAGGAAATATGCTTTATGGTGGCTAAACAGAGTGACACCTGTGACTTTTATGCAACTTTATCTACTTTTTTCCATACTGAATATACTCTTTCATGAGGAAATGATCTTAGTCATAGTTTTTAGTTGGCAGATGACAGGCACTTAATGATACAGAATTACTTGATGAAATATAAATTTTAAACCATATTATACTATGTACAGTGTAACGAGCATCTAGTCCATGTTACCAGTTACTATCAGCGACAATCATTTCGTTATGTGAACGTACTAAATAATGGTAATACCAGACCAAGTCCTCATAATAGAGATTGATGTTTAGGATGTAGAAGTAACACTCTGATCAAATTGGTGCTGATTTTATTCTACGTGCAACTTGATTGTGCTAAATGGACTCTACCCAAAACTACGTCGACTTGATCATTATGTGGTATTATCAGCATTGACTAATATCCTGGTTTAATGGTGTCCATAAATTCTGAATGCATGGCTTGCTCTTTTTTGTCTATTTCACAGCCCTTAACATGGGAAAGAAAATTACCTTGGTGTCATCAGTTATACCATCTCCTTTCGCTCCAAAATCGAGCACGTTGAAGTTGGAAGAAGAAGGTGCATTTCCATAATCAGGTGAACTTGGAGGCACAATGGGAGCTGGGGCTGCTGGCGGCAATTGTGATGGTGGTGGAGATGAAGGTGGTGTTACTGGAGATGGATTTTTCTTTTTTGCTTTACCTGCATTGCCATGATGGTAGTTATGCCCATGGTTTTTTCCCTTCTTCTTGGACAGAGAGACTCCTAATCCTTTACTATGCCTCCAGTGCTCGCCTCTTCTTGCAATGCAAGTTTCCATATTTGAACACCAAAGAAGGAAGATGACGATAAGCATAAATGTGAAGCTTCGGAAGCTTAAAGTAGCCATCTTTGATGCACAATGTGGAGGAAGAAGTTAAAGGGTGATGGAGGAAGGCCTCTGTTTGGCTAGTATTGATGATGCACAGCAGAGGAAATGGCTTGGCAAGTTTAGCTAGGGAGGAGGCTTTTATAGGTTGGTTGATACGGAACTTAAGTTACATCTACGTAGACACATCAAGTAAAAACTGTAGCATAATGCATGCTAGGCTATAGGAATTTATGTTTATATTCTCATTCTTCTTTTTTTCTTCTTTTTTTCCTTTTTCATTAATTACGCTACTTCCCTTTTTGTGAATATTTGCTTGCCTTTATACAAGTAAGTTGGAGGTCCCATTTTTTGGCTTACGGAAATATTTTTGTTTATTATACGTAATGTCTTGTATTCAATAGCCCACGCCAAGACAAATGTACAATTTATTGCACAGCTTATAGTTATGTTGTTGCTCAAGCAACCTGTGGCTACCAAGTTCTGTATTCTGCAGTTTAAACACGTCAGCCAATGGAGCTTTTAAGTGATCCATGAGAAGCTACTATTGCAGTTGATAAGATTTTCAATGCAGGTTTTCAAATAGCAGGTTTTTAACTTTTTTGCTTTGCCAATCTTTGCTGTTTGATAATATTTAAGGTTAAACTTGTTCCTTCAATCATGAGGCATTATGAATCACATTTCTCTTCATAACAGACAATACTAGTAAAGTTCGAATTCTCAATCTATATATTTTTTTTGAAAGGGTACCTGATATAGGTATTACAATTTGAGACACCTAAATTATATAATGAATGCATAGATTAACAATGAATTACGAGGGGATGGAACATATTTGAATATTTGATAAATGACATGATGCTTACAAGGTAAGAGCGCTAAGAAAATGTCGTGGCAATTAAATTATGTACGCAAGGTGTACAATCCACATTTATCGGATCATAAATCATCAAGTAATACGTACTCAAAGGAATGTGAATGATTGGAAACCAAATTTGGTAGAGCCTTACTACAAATTTCACTTGTGTTTTGTGAATTCCCAATCATATAAAAGCCAAAAAAAGACATGTGAAAGTGGGTCAATAAGATGTGAAGGCGGGGCAATGATACTAACAGCTCTTCATGATCACATGCAACGTTCACGGGCTTCGGTTTTTGGTACTTTTGTCTTCTTAACCCGCAGCACCAGCAAAAAAGCCTGGGATTTTTTTTTTCCCCGGTTTCAAGTCTCTGAAGCCTCACCATTCCTTTAATATGTTTTCCCTTCCATTCGTTTTTCTCCCTATCAGTACTCTCTCCTGTACTTACAGATGTTGTTACTCGATTATTGCATTGTATCCTGCATAGTGATAAAATATTTGTTGTTTGTGCGTACAATAATGATATGTAGGTGGCTTATTTAAATTAAGTTTTCAAATGTTTTATAATCCTTGATTAGCCTTACTTGTAGAGCATGATCGCGCACGACAACTACCTAGTTACGAAATTCAATCCCTTGTGATGAAAAGAATGCCTGAGCTAGCTAACTCGTCAATATGTATCACATACTCCTTCCTTCTAACTAAAACTTAGCGTGTACTATTTTTTTAGAATGGAAAGAGTAATTTTCACTGTGGGACTCAGTGAGTAGGTTTCTAATTTGTGGGTGTTTCTAATTTGTGGGTGTGGCGTAGTTTTTGTTTCTATAAGAGGTTCCACGTAGCCAAAAAAAAGTAGGAGTGAGTTGGATAAGCCATGTTTGTGGCTCATAAATTTGTCACTGTTAGGGAGAAATGAGCTTTCTTTTTTCCAAAGAACAACAACAACAACAATATTCAATTCAAGATAATTGAGATAATTAATAAAGTGTGTAGAAAAATAAACATCACAAAAATGTTGGTAGACTTATCTTTCGGTTATCACCTCAAAAGGGAATGATGTGAGGAATTGTTAGTGACAATGAAATGCTCCAATCTTTCACATGCATGTATGCAACAAAAGGAAATAGTAGTCATTTCTTCAATTCCTTCCCGATTTAAAACTGTGAGGAGCAAAAAAAAGGATTTTTTTAAAATATAATCGTAATTGTCGTAAATTCATACTTTAGTTTCCCGTGATCTGAAAATTCTCAATGGTTTCTTTTCTTTCGAAAATTTGGATTACGGCCGGTGTTAAATGTTGTGACTGGACATCCTGTTGGGACGTTATGTCTCATTTGTGAGCTTTGTCTGATGATCATTGGTCTTTGAACTCTGGATTATGTAGTTTAATGATTTCATTGGAGACTCTCATCCTCTTATGAATTATATTACTTTTGTTTCTCCCAATGAGAGAGTTGCACATATTGGGACAAAATCAAATCTCATGGAAGCTGCGCGCTCAGCAACGAAAAATACCAAATCGCATCCAGGTTTTTTTTTGCAGAGTTATCAGAAAATGGAAGCCCTGATAAGAAATGACACAATATTTGATGTTACCATAACCTTTCATTCAGCAAAAAAAATGACAAAAATCTCATGCCCTTAAGGCCACGTTCCTTTGTTTGATTCCATATCAGCTACTCCTCATAGTCCTCCAATCACATAATTTTTTAGGAGGAATTCCCTCAACACACACACACACACAAAGGAAGAAGAAATGACAGGAGAACAAAATGAAAAAATGGACATTAAGGAGAAAAAACACAAAAGGATCGTGGTTTTCCTACATTAAGATCGCATTGCACACTTAGTGACGGCTTTGTTTGGAAGCTTTTTTTATGGTAATTATAAAATAATTAAATAATAAATGTCTCGTTAATTCTAGTATACCTTTTAAGATTTCCAATATCATACTTTTATACATTATCGATGCAAAAAAAAATAAATACTTGAGAACAGACACTGAAAAAACGATCCAAAACTTAGAAACGTCTTTATGTATACTCAAACATTTAATTGAGCGAATTTGAACATCAAATGCAAATAAAAACTTAATTACGCTGATGAGATACGTATTGCCTCGTTGATCAATCTATATTGACATCTGTATGAAGCAGAGAAGGTTACATATGATGAGGAGTAGTAGTACGTACGACAATGTAATAAGTTTTGTAATAAGCCGTACGTCGTTTTGTTAGCAAAAAATGACGAATGCCATGCTCGTGAACTTTTGGGCCCTCTTCTCCGTGAACTCAATGCACGGGTTGTTTCTTTTTGTTTTGTTTTTTTAAGTCGATCTGGAACCTACAATTTCTCCATCTGATTTGTGACCTTCGTCTTTCAATCTTAATCATTGGGAACTTGTGTTTCTGCGCAACAAAATACCATTAGTACAACTTCGTGGTGGGGGTTTTCTCATTTCTGCATGGTTTCTGCACAATATTAAAGAAGCTTGTAGATTAATTCATTTCTGCAAGGTTTCTACTCAATGGTGATAAAGAAATAGCTAGTATATATTTTGGTGAATCCAATTAGTATTCTTTACGTCGCATTCTAATAATTAACCGTTTATTTTTGTAATGTTATTTAACTCTGACAAAATGAATTCATCTCTGTCCGCAAAGAATAGTCCACTCTTGCGAGTAACTGCGAAAAGAAGTCAATTATGAGTGTTTCTACGTGATCGAGCTTTTTTTTTTTTTTGTTAGAAAGAAAAAGAAAAAGTGTTACAAATTTGAGGAAATGGAAGCTGGCTTGATCTACATGGTAAGAATGCCATTCATTGAACTCATTTGAAATATAGTCTTTTCAAGGAGTACGGAATTACTGCCATTTTTTTTTAATATTGTCTGGCAAATAAATAAAGGTCAACGAATTTGGAAGATAGATTCAATAATATTTCATATCTTCATATTCCAATTCTTCTGCACTAAATGATCAGCTGTGCTCTCGATCATATTTAGTCACGTCCATACAAGCTATATCATAGAGCTAGCTAGCTAGCTAATGATCCAAAGGTGAAAAAAGTGAGATCACGGATTGTTCAATGTTCAGGTACTCCATGAAATAATGGCATTCTAACGTTTGTGATAACACATAAGAGAGAACCATTTTTTTTTCAATGGAATTTCTTGGATTTTCGCTGATTCTCTATGGAATTGTGGTGCATCTGTTGGTAGTTAATCTGGTGGTGGTTGTTGTTCGGCATGTGAAGCTTCAGTTTTGGACAAAAAAAAAAAAAAAAAACCCTCTGTTTTTATAATAATATGTCTGATCCTAACTTTGAGAGCCATGGAAAGATTTCGAGGACAACTATCATAAAGATGCATTTGTCACCTCCTGCTTGTTTTTTCCTGCTTATCAATTCTGGCCCAACAACAGAATAAAAAAAGAAAACCCACATCCCTCGCCAATAAAAGAATTCACGGATTTCTTTGATGATACTGATGATTTTCCCACATTGTTCATCGTTCTGTAATAATATACAACTTGTTTCTAAAATATATGACTATTATTATGAGATGAAATGAGTACGACCGGTGAATACGGCTTCAATAATGCATCTCGCAAATATGACTATTGTTTTTTTTTTTTTCATTAGAGAAGGACCAATACAAAGGTGCCCTTTTTCCTGTGTTGCCATTTTGGCTTGCATACGTTTTTGGCCAATAATACGAAGAAGAAGCTGCCTAATGGAAGAACTCTTGACCTGCAGGAGTGAACACGTGTACTGTAATTTCATATGCGCATGTGTTGTCCAAGGACCACACCAACACTGTTAATCTGATTTTTACCTTTTTGTATTACTCCCTCCGTCCCAAAATGATTGTCCAATTTGAGATTTCATTTTAGTACAATTTGAACTAAAAACAAAAACTCAAACTGGACAATAATTATAGGACGGAGGGAGTAATAGTTAGTACTAATTTCTCCATCCCAAAAACAAAAGAATCATATTTTGTTTAACCAAAACAGTAGAACAAACAGGAAGGAATGGAATGGAAGCAATCTTTGGTAACGGAACGGAATGTGCATGTGTACAGATAGACATTGAAGACAATTGATTGCAAAAAGCCGAGCCTAAATGTCATTTTCACTGTTTTGGAAGAGAAATCTTGCACTATATTTGAGTTTCATTGCAATTAAACTCATAGTAGCAGAGTTCAAACTTTGTCTATTACCCCCAGATCATGTGCTTCTATTACCTGTTGCCTCTTGCACAATCCTTCTCAGACCAGCTCATTCATTTCCATGTCGCCTGATGTTCAATGAAGCTTTAATAGGTGTTGCCAGATCTTAGAGGTCAAGTTTTGCAGGAAACAACGCTCCTTGCCTGCTGTCCTCAATCAATCGTTGCCGGTTGAGGATCTTAAGCATAACATAACCTAGGAAAACAGATTGATAGATAAATCAGAAAGCTCCCTCCATTTTCTTCAAGGATGCAAAATAAGAACCATAATATTAATAATAATAACACCAAAAAAAAAAAAAATCTAACAGTGTCATGTACGTATGGATGATTCGTAAAAGGTCTCACACATGTCTATAGCATTCAGGCTTCAAAAAACTTCAAGCTACAGCATGTATTAAACCCTAAAAGGCAAAACATATTGAATCTCTTAAATCTATTTAGCAAGTAAACCCAGTGTTTGTCGGAATTTCAAATCTATTTAGTAAGTAAACCTAGTGTTTGCCGGATTTTCTAGTCAAATGTTAATTCTGCATAAAGTCCAAAGAAGTACCTCAATCTCGTACAATTAACTCCAACCAATTGTGGTATTTATATCCTCAGTAAATAATACAATGTAAGGATCAGGTGTAAGTCTCAGTATCCTGCTTGATGATCATTTACTCGTCTGATCAGGTTAGACATTCTGCAGAAGTTTGAAGTCCATAATCCCAGCAGCCGAAATGTGATTTCAAAAGGCAAAAAGTCCAACTTGTGATCTCTTAACTGAGAGGGTCCGACGATCACAACTCAACAGCTTCATCACCATATGAGTCTACAAATTTTTGGTGGTGAGAAGGATGCGGAAATTGAGTAACGTAACCCTCTCTCCGCATCTCCAGAAGAAGTTGCTTTAGCATCAGATATATTTCAGAAGACTGAGGATGGCATGTGTCTGTTGCAACAAACACATGAGTTCTCTGATTAATCTCAATCCAACTGTAACCAGGAATCTTCTGCACCCCTCTTTCTTTCATCATATTTCTTACATTGTGAACACCCTGCCAGATTCCAGCTTCGGCCTGCACGTGTGATAGCAGCATATAGTAGCCAGAATTCTGTGGTTCCAACTGAAAAAGATGGCTTGAAGCCAGTTCAGCAAGCTCAACATTGCCATGGACACGGCAAGCCCCAAGTAATGATCCCCAAATACCAGCATCCGCAGCAAATGGCATACTCTTAACAACTTCATACGCTTCTTTTAAACGTCCAGCCCGAGCAAATAAATCTATTAAGCAAGCATAGTGTTCCATTTGAGCTAAAATTCCAAATTCTTTGGTCATACGATCAAAATAGTGTTTACCTACTTCAACTTGGCCCACATGGCCACAAGCAGATATAACGGCAAGGAAAGTTACGGGATCGGGCTGGAACCCATCTTGCAACATTTCGTTGAATAGGGCTATAGAATCCTTAAGGTGACCATGGTTTCCATAGGCAGCAATTATGCTATTCCAAGAAACTTCATTCTTGTATTCCATCAAGTCAAAAACTCGGCGTGCCATTTCCAATCGACCACTCTTAGCATACATGTCTATGAGTGCACTGTCAGCAAAAAGATCTGAACTAAATGCTCCCCGAATCATGAACCCATGAATTGCTCTACCATAATGGAGAGCTGACAAGTTTGCACATGCACAAAGCGCAGAGGATATACTGACAGTATCATACTTAGCTCCTTCACAACCCATCTGCCAGAACAAATCAATCGCTTCCTGTGGTTTGCCATTTTGACAATAGCTAGTTATCATTGAGTTCCATGAAACAGTATCTCTTGCAGAAATCCTTGAGAAAGCTACATGTGCTAGCTCTAATCTTCCGCATTTAGCATACATATCTGAGATTGCACTTCCCACATAACACCAATCTTCAAACCCATTTCTTACAATCCTACCATGCAACTCCTTTCCCAATTTCAAAGCCACCAAACCAGCACAAGCTGGTAAAACACTTGCCAAGGTCACTGCATTCGGCCTCATTTTCTCATGAAGCATCCATTTAAATATTTCCAATGCATTACCATGCATCCCATTCAGGACAAATCCAGAAATCATGGCCGTACAAACAACAACATCTACAGAAGGGCTATGATCAAATACTCTGCATGCCATAACCACACACCTGCATTTGAAATACATGTCAACAAGTGCATTTTTCAAAAAAACATCCACCATGACATTGTGTCTTGTTATGTAACCATGAATTTCCTTAACTTGATTTAAAGACTGCAGTCCGGAAAGCAAACTTGTGAAAGTTGTTGAGTCTGGTCTGGCACCAACAGATATCATTCTGCGAAACAATTCCAAACCGTCAGAGACAGATCCATTTTGGACATACCCTCCAATCATAGCGTTCCAAGCAACAAAATCAGCTCGAATCATCGAATCAAATAACTTCCGAGCATCAAACAAGCATTGGCATTTCGTGTACATAGCAACCAATGTGTTGGCCACTGGCGCATCCATCTCCAGTCCACATCTGACAACATGCCCATGGACCTGGGTACCTAACTTGATCATTTGTTCAGAGCCGCAAACAGAGAGAATGCAAGCATAAGTGACCGAGTCAGGCTTAGTTTCGCTCATCTTCATTTGTCTATACAACTCAATCACATCATGCCCTAATTTCCCATCTTTTGCATAAGCATTTAGCATTACATTCCATAGAACGCCGTCCCTCTGAGGTAAATTATCAAACAGATAGCGCGCATCATCTAAACATCCGTGATCTGCATAGAGCTTGATCAAAGCACTGCACACAAAAATGTCCTTTTCAAAGTTCAAATCCCTTATCAACCCATGTACCAACCTACCTAATCTCAAAGATTTTAATCCACTGCAAGCCTTGATCACGTAAGGAAAAGTATACTTATCCGGAGTTGTACCAAAACCCAACATCTTAAAGTAAAACATGAGTGCGATATCAAACAATCCCATTGTAGTAAAACCCCTGAACATCCAATTCCAAGGGGAGGCGTAGCACAACTGGAGCTGAAAAAACAACTTGTTGGCTTCGCGAAGTTGGCCACAGAGGACATAAACTCCCAAAATCCTGGTCCCCAATAAACCCAACTTGTCAATTCCGTTAACAGTGATTTGTGCGTGGATTTGCTGACCCTTTTTGACATTGGAAGATACGGTTGGATTTGCAACAGCGTCAGTGCAACAGCGTAAAAGTTCTCCGAGCTTGGAAGCTAAAACTTCCTCCGAGTACGGAATAAATGGTTCAATGGATTTGGTTGTGTGAATGAAACGGGTCCCAACATTGAGTTCTAAGGATTTGTAAACCACAGAAACAGTTTTGCGACTCCAATATGGTACGTGTTTATACATGTATGATAAAGACCATTTCAGATGTGGCTTTGATTTTGATTTTCTGGCCGCTGGCGAACGTAGTTTGGCGAGATGAACGACCTAAACTAGACTGTAATTGTAAGCTCGTCACGCGTCGCGCGCCTGCTTTGAGTAATTCTCGGTCCAAAAGTGAAATCCCTTGGAAGATGATTTATTAGAAACATTTCATTCTTTCTTCCAAAGTTTTGCATAATCCTCGATCACCCTTGATTCGTTATCTTCAAAAATATCTCAATTCTTTTCTCAAGTTTCGTTCATCGTATATGTCACGTGCGACAGTCAGGTTAGTTGGTCAGAACCCTTGTAATTCATAATATGGAAAATCCAGTTTGTTGATGATCCAACTGTCAAGGTTGCCAAAAATTAAAAATTTAGTGAATTGAAAATTCAACAAAATGATGGAAAAACCCCAAATCCAAATCTGCATTTAAGCAAGAATTTAAAAGCAAATTTGAGATTAATTTCCGGCCACCTCACCAATTGTTGTTCTTTAGTTGTTTCAACTTGTAAAAAAGTAAGGTAACATTAAAAATACGAAATAAACTCATTTGTATCCATCAAAAGACGGTTTTATTAAAAAAAAATTAATTATGTCTTTCTCCCGTGTATCTCATTTGTCACTTAAACGATTATATTAATAATTTCTCACTATCGTTATACTCCCTCCCTCGGTCCTTATTATAAGGCATTTTAATTTTGTCTTAGGTTTCACCTAAAATGTCTTCTTAATTGAAATAAAAACCTTAAAAATATTTCATAATAATTAAGAAAATACAGCGAATGTAAAAAAATATATTTTTAAGGTTTTTGTTCTAATTAAAAAGACATTTTAGGTTAATTTTAGGACGAAATCAAATTGCCTTATAATAAGGACACCGGAGGGAGTACCAAAGAAATGTAACAAGGGAAATGATCAAAATCCTCAAAGCCTTTCACAGTGCGTATATTTGATGCTTAACATGGAGGCACATACCGATTTGGTACACCACTGTACAGTACTATTCTCTTTGTTCTTTAGATTGAGTTTCACTTCTGATATATTGCAGCAGTTTCATTCTATTGTTTTCGTTTTTCCGAGTTTTAAGTTGCTGCAGGAAGACATCTCTTTCGTTTAGTAGTCTGAATGTTTAATACTACTACCAATTAGGTGTTTTTCAGATCTTCCAAGTCAAGTTTTCAGCGAAACCGTGTTTGCTAGTTGAAATAAAGCGGGACGGAAATAGTATTTAGAAACAATACAATACCACAAAATGGACCCTTAAAGCGCAAGGAGAGAATTAAGAATGTACAAATTAGAATCCATAAAATATTTCATAGTAGTTCTATATCTCATTTAAAGTTGAAAAAAAACCTTATAGTACTATATAATGTGTATTTCTTACATCCCAAAAGTTGAAAAATAGTGCATTAATTACATATTCTATTTCTGTGAGTAGTATACCTCACCTTTGGTGGACTTAGTAAAATGTTAGAATCATGAAAATACCTCAACCAATCATATATAACTAATAATGTCCTCTATGAGTAATAAAAATGTAAGAATAAGGTAAGTCTGCATCATAGTTTATAGTTCAGTATGAACGAGATGCTCAGGTTCTTCCGGTTTCTTGGTGATGATTCCCTTGTCAGATGAGGTCAGACATTCTGCAGAAGGTTGAATATATCCGTAACCGATTCCGACGGCGGAGTTACAGTAAGTCTGAGCACTGCCATCCTTGCCTTCTAAGTTGATGTTATTCAGGACAATGTGGCTGCAAGGAACTGTGTCACTGCATGCAAATTTCATAGCCTCTTTGCTCTTTGAAGTCCCACTAATGTTCTGGTACATTATTTCACTTATTTGCACGGCCGACGTCTGAAATGCGATAGAGAAAAAAAAAAAAGAAAAAAAAATCAACTCAAATTTGAAAAATGATCGAGGATTGTCGCTTGTAGCCGAAAACAGAGGTGTTGTTTTACCTGGTTTTTGCAAGAAACCGGGGAATCACAATAGAATTGATCGATGATTATGGGATTAGCAACATCTTCTACCATCACATTTTGGTAGCGTACTGCTTGAACATATCCAGATCCTCCCTGCAGGGCTAATGGTATCAGTCATTCTGTATCAAAAAAGATGCTCCTTTGATCTACGTACTAATGAATTAAACCAAACATCTCTACAGAGCAGAAACAGAGGACTATACAAATTTCGGACCCTTTTCTTTTCGGTGCTCTTATCTTTTCACAGTGAAAGATAGTGACTTATAATTATTCATACAACCCGATTCATCTCTAGCGAGATAAATATGCTGCATTGATGCTGATGGTATGACAACTACGTTAAGGAGGACTGAATTTTACTGGAAAAAAAAAAGAGAGAGAGAGAGAGCAGAAAATGGACCTGCCAAGTCTTGATTCGGAGACCATTGGTAGTGCCTCGAAGGAAGGCCGTATCCAAAACCACCTTTGTCACAATGCCAACAGAGTTGTCTTTTCCAAGGCTTCCGATGCTGGTTTTTATCGCATCAGCAAAATCATGCAAAGGAAACCATCAGAATTATTGCAAAAATCCTGATTGCTCTAACAGCTCTGGAGTTCCACAATTTAATAGACTCAATTAAGGAGATTATAAAGTACCTTATGCCATGACCAGGTCCACAATATATAGTCTTCATCTTGATGTTAGAGCTGCCGTTGACAATCGATACGCAATCATCACCTGAAATTTCAAAACCATGATGAAATATGATTTGAGTCAAAATCAGTAACTGCAAGGTCAAAAGTGTTGCATGATTAGGTCGACAGAGAAACCTGTTCCAATTTTGCAGTTCTGAAGTACAACGTTTGTCGATTCGGTGATGTGAATCCCATCTGTATTGGGACTGTCTTCGGGTGCAGTTACTTTGACGCCAGTCACGCGAACTGAGTTTGATCTTGAAATGACAAAGTGCATCTGCTGGCTGTTCTGAATCGTTAGGCCTTTTACCCTCACTGCCGAGCTCGAATCTATTGTTAGCGCCTGAAAAATGAGACATTCATTGTTGAAACCAAATCAATCCAATGCATTTTGTAATCTGCATTCTGATAACTTATTTAAGTTTGTAACCCAATATGATATATGAAGCATCAGATACTTACCGTTGGAGCTCCTCTACAAGGCTGTGAAAAAAAAACCACAAAACATTCATGTTAGAATCCGTCTTATACGTATTAGATATAGAAGAATAATTAGATAGGTGTGTTAGTAAAAAAGAAGCAGAAGATTAGGTACATTAGTTTTGTTCCTTTTGCAGGAAGCAGCCCACCATTTGCTTCCTGATCCATCAATCACTCCACTTCCTTGGAACCTAACTCTGCTGAGGTTGTAAAATCCAAGCCAGTTTCTGGGGTTTTTTGGATCCCAGGTTTTGGGGTCATCAGGAGCTACAATTGTGCCATCGATCTGAACCACCATTGATCATAACGTAAGTAAGTAGTATTCAAGTAATATTCATATATAACAGAACATGCAGAAAAATTTTAGTAGAGAAATCGAAACGAAGAAACGGATCATTACCTGGATCAGTAGCTTGTCGTCACAGGGCCCTTTGAATCTTGTAGCATTCACCAAATAACGTCTTCCTTGAGGAACCAAAAACACTGCTCTTGGTGTAGTACAAGCTTGTTTCCATGCATTTACAAAGGCCTGGAAAATTATTGGAACCCAAAAGATGGCCAAAAGTGAAACTCTTGAAGTGGCAAAAAGCCAACCAGAAAATATACATTACTCAAATCAATACTTAATTTCAAAACACCATCTTACATTGGTATCATCTGCAACACCATCTCCAACAGCACCAAATGTATCCACATTGACTAACACCTTGTTAGCTTTTGAACTTGTCCAGAATGACTCCTCAAAGAACACATCATCAACTTCATCATCCTCGTCTATCTCGACATCGAAACTCTCAAGTTTCCTTATAATTTCGGCCTCCTCAGACAACCTTGTCTCATGATCATCACCTCTAACTTTATCTGACAAAGTAAGCAAAAGAACTACGGAAATCCAAAGTAGTACGTTTTGCTTGGCCATAATTTGTGGTACGTTTTGCTTGACGGGTGTATTCTTTTTTGTAAATTGCAAAGATTGCCTTGTTGATTTACATAAACAAACAGGAAGTGGTAAGGGATTAATATATATACAGTGAAGAATTAGTGGGCAAATTTTGTTGCGGTAACAAATAATATATGGCTTGGCTTGAAAGTACATGAAGGTATTAAACACAAGTTCCCTTTATTGCCCTATTCCTTAAAAAAATATGCCTACACTTCAAGTGTAAGGTTGAAAATCTTGCAAGATCTTTGCTTTACTCTTCAAAATATGGCCCAATTCGTACTAAGGAATTATTACTGACAACTGACAGGTCAAATATGCTTTCAGCTGCCAATATCCTTAATAACCAGAAAAAGGCCCGCCGGCACCGACTTCATGATTTACTTCCCAAAGTAGCCCATATTTTGCTGGTATTAAGTTTGAAGTAGACGTGTTTTTAGCCATTAGACGAGCTATTTTTGGCGCCTTATTTAACTGTTAGTTTGTGACAACTATTTACTACTACTACTTTAAAACTTGTCAGAATAGCATCATTAGGAGAGGAAAAAGCATCATCTTCAATAATGCAGTAGTAGTAGTAGTAGTACTATTTTCAGCTGAAATTAATGAACAAGATTTCATCCGTTTCCAGTTTGGTTCTGTTTCTATCTCAGTCATTTGTTTAGTGTCGTGTTCCAACATTGGTTTGTTCCTACCTCTTTGTTTCATTATTGGGAATTTGAGGCCAACAAATACTTTTTTCATAACCATTTTTTCCCGAACTTATCCATCAGAATCAATGAAATAAGAGCATCATATTCAGGTCGATCTCAAAACGGAAATACGTTCTCCATGTGAAAAAGCGACCCTTTTCCTGCAACTTACTGGTTTCTTAGTTCAAGTAAATTTCTCTTTAATTTGCCTATGATAAATACGCATCTTGAAGGATATGAAATGGAGGAGAATATCTTTTTGTTTTCCATTGAAATTCTAACCAGAATACATCCATCAGGTGCATTCAAGTTCAAGATGGGGACAATGACCAGAAAACCGAAATCTTCTTTAGTCCTTTTATAAATGAAAGTCGATTACATTCAAAACAAGAAATAAGCACTACACCACTGAATTCTTGGGCATTCTAGCCTTGTGAATCAGAATGTCGATCCAATAGCCTCAAGAAGTGACAGAGTGAATTCCATCTGCATTTCCTGATCAATTTTAGAAAACAGGGGAACATGGACAAACAGAGACTTGTGACCTTTCTCCTCTGCGTAACGGAGCGAATGGTAGTACACAAAATTGCAAACAAAACGGCCCGCGTCATTAGACATCATCACATCATATCCCCCCTTCTTCAAGTACTCTAGGATTTCTTCAATCAAGCAAGATGTCTTCAACAACAAAAGTAGAATGTTAGGACAAACGGAGAGAATATTATTTCAAGGGAGAGCTAACTTAAACTAAGTTTGATCGCCTACTCTTGAGTTTAATGCAGATCTACTGCACAAAACTTGACTTTATGGTGCACTTGTGAAGGCTAAATGATCAATGTGAGTTTAGAACAAGAAAACATATGGTGCACTTAGTTAGCACTAAACAACCTCATACCCCAAAACAGTCAAACGATCATTATTACTTAAATGTATTTCTTGCCAATAACAGGCAATTGACTGAGGACAATGTTATCATAAGACAATTGTTAAACCTTCTCTCAGGGCTCAGATCTCAGAGTCAGATAATTCTAACTTAGTGCAAGGGATGTACAACATCACGGAAAAAAAAATTCATTTTCTAAAAAGAAAAATGAAAAAACGCAACCACCATAACAACAGTCAAGCTTTCACCCCCATTTACTTTTTCAAACATACTTCAAATTCTGTTATGTTTTTTATAATTAGTTTGAGCTTAACAAGTATTATTTTGCATTCAACATAGAGCAAATATTTGCTTCTGCTGCATGTACTTTTTAACTTATCGATATTGAAGATGCTCGAATTATATGAGGAATGAAAGAAGGCATGATTATACAAATGAGGAATCACCTTTCTTTCCCCAAACAGGGAAGGAAAAAAAAAATTTAAAAAAAGAAAAAGAAAGGGAATCACCTTTCTAGCTTGAGATATAGCTCCATCTCCAGGAACTATGGCCAATTGCTGGAAGGGGAAAAAATAGAACATTAGCTGCAAAAAATTCAGAATCAACTTCAACGAAATACGAGAATTCCTTTTTTACCTGAGGTTGCCATCCCATTTCATCAGGACAACGAAAAGTTGCTTCATTTACAGCTTGTTGCTCAATGGCAAATTTTAAAGACCCGCTATTTACCCCCAGATGAAGCTGAAGAAAAAGTAGAGCAGGGATTTTAAGCCACAAAATCCTACCAGTCTCTAGCAAACTAAAGACGGAAATGATATCAATAATAAATAAATAATTTTAAAAAATAAAAAAAAAACCAACCGCATAAAAAAATCGAAGGTCAAAGCCTAAAAACATTTGCCATCACAAACACAGATTCCTTGCAGAAACTTTCATTCTTATGCAGTGCAGACCATGTGGACTTTCAATTAGGACCTGCTAATTTCCTTTCAACTAAACACTTAGTTGATAAAAGTATGTTATTGGACCTGATTTGGTCCAAAATGCATGGATCCTTGTTTCAGAAAAAGAGGATGCATTTGCGGTTCAGTTTGTCTTACCAAGCTTCAATAGTGAATTTCCAGCCAAAAGTTAGAATAACAATAGTGAACTATCAGTCTTCTATATAAGTCTAATCCACTGTCATTTAGATTGGATTCTTTACATTACAGGAGTTTTTCAATCAAGATGCATTATGGATCGATTCAGCCGAGGACATATAAGTGCAACAATGTGACTGACTACTGCAACAATCGTGACCGACATTTGAAGGATTAGCTTCTTAACATAGAAGGAGTTTTCCTGCCAAGTTTCATCTCAGATGAATGCATCCAGAGTGTGAAAACGACATACGTGACCGACAACATTAACTTTACGACAATTTCTATAGGTAGCACCCATAACTAACATACGTAATGGAAACGGAAGAGCCAATATTAATTAAAGTAGGCTCACGACAACACTAATAAATATTATTTTTTCAATGCTCAAAAAGAGTCAGCAACAGGTGCCGAAGCTGTTTTGTCCAGAAAAATAATAGACAACACAGATAATGATAAAATAAAGCGCAATTCACCGGAAAATAGTGCTTGAAACTGACCCAAACAACTTGATCGCCATTGAAACTGTTGGCCGCAGGAATTCCTGATTCCATGACCTGGTAAAGCATAGGAAGCGCACCATCTCCAGCTGTCTCGAGAACAAGGCAACTTCCAAGTTTAACACCAGCTGGCAGTCCCCTCTTCTGAACATAATTTTGCAAGTTATTGACAATGTACTCGGTGGGATTTTCGGCAACCCCGTGAAATTTCTTGAATCCTGTCACATTAATGATCACCGACTTTCTCCCCTCCGATCCCATATCTTCTTTGAGCACAGAAATGCAATTTCCTATCTTCACTGAGGGTAAATTTCAGCACCTGTTGATGATCAAGAAACTCAGTTAACCATCTTCCCAAACATGTTTGGTTCGACTATCTAATTCCATAAATGCAATAAGTCTTAAGTCTTTTGTCTTTCTATTTAAGAAGGGATTCGTGAGGCCCTCTGTCACAGTAAAAATTTTCAATAACTTATAAACGAAATGAACATTGGGAAATTTGACATTCTGAAATTTGATAGTCTTTGTCTTAATAATTAAAACAACAGTATATTTATTCCAACCACAATTTAGGTTTGATAAACACCGAACGAACCAAAACCAAAGAAAGGCCCATTCATCTTTAAACCGCATAACAGAAGTACAAAGATACAGAATCCACTAAGCAGTTTTGAGCTGACATCAAATGATCAATTAAAGGCAAAGAGCAGAACCAAACGGTTCTTGAGGATCACATCAAATGCTACTTATTCAAGAATAGTAAATTAGACAATTGCAGAAAGTGAAACAACCGGTAAAATTTTGAAATTCTCTCTTTTTGAGATATGTCCAGTGCCAACAACCCATGAACAGCAGGAAAAAAAAAAAAAAGAAAAAAAAAAGCCACATATGACCAGCAAAACAAAAATAGAAAAGAACCCACATGATAATTCCGTAAAGAAAAAACTAAACTTGGGAACTTTGAGGAAAAGAAAATTGCACTGATACAACCTTAAATTCAGATAGACATGAGCTTGCTTACCTTTCGCGCACTCTTTGAGTTCTGAAAGAAAAGAAGAAAGCCTGAAATGTAAAAAGTGAGAGCTGTTGGGCTTTGTTTTTATTGGTGGCCAAACGGCAATTAATGAAAGTAGTCATATATTCTTGATTAATTACAATTTTGCCACAAAGGATTTTTGTCTGTTACTTTCAAGTCCAGCCTGATTAGACCAACAGCTTTTCTTGCCTTTGGCGGCAGCCCAACGGAAGAACTGGCGGGCTACTTGAAAGCTCATCAAATATTGCTCCTTTTAAAAGACACGGCACAATCCCACTCTATCAATTTCTAAACCCGAAATCACAATCTTATGAATCATATTTGTTATACCTTTAATGTTCGAGTAAAGATATAGAAATCACACAAAAATATGTTACACAGAAGAGTGTGATAAAAGATTCAAAGTGGTATCGAATAAATTCAAGGTGATACTAATAAAATAGTGGACATCACTACATATTTTTGGGTTTTTTCTTATTAAATGTATAACATAATCTTGGACCGATTGAAGAACAATACTATAACACACATTCAAAAGATTGTAATGACAAGAACACAAACTTGAGGGGTATATCAGTTTAGTAATATATCTTTTTCCCAATTTTGGTAAGCATTTCATTTCATAATTTCATGACAAGTATACCTGAACACTACCAGTTGTAAACATTTGACATACAGGACAAACACTGACTAATCCTTCACAATCTATACAAAGACACAGGTGTCTACAAGGCATCAACAAAACCGAAACCTCCTTCTTTTTGCACGTTCTGCAAATCATGTTCCCTCTTACTGCGGCGCTAAGCTTCCCGGAACCACTCGGCATGTTGAGGTGGTTGTTTGGATCTATGCAAGAGGCAGCGTCGTCGTTTTCACTGTCGCCAAACCCTTCTTTCCCTTGGTCGGCAGCGCCCTGCAGTGCTTGTTGAAGATTAGCTTTCAATATGTTGACGACTGACTCGTTATATTTGGCCCTATAGCACCATTGCTGAGCGTCTGCCGCGACTTGTTTCATTCTTTCAGCCAGTTCCTTGTTCTTGCGATTTATGTTTTCCAGTTCGAGGTCTTTCTCGTGTAACTTCTTACCAACACCTTTTTCGATTGCACTTAAAAAGGAAGCCATATGTCTCTTCTTCATGTCTCTTATTCCCTTGGTAAAAAACTCTTCCTGATTACAAAAACAATCAACATGCATTAGAAACTTCAAGAAAAAGAATTCCGCTGCAGTAATTTTATTTTCAAATCCCACTTTTAAGAACAAACACAAAGCGCTAACTGTTCGGGATATAGTTCAGATCTTTTACATCAAAACTGCCCAACCAAACACGTCGTTAAGTTCTTACTTAATTTGTTTCCAAGTAGAACTGTTTCTGTATTCAAGTAATTAATATACCCAAATAGAGACTCTCTCAAAATCATTTTGATTCATTAAGGTAAAGAAATTAAGATGACTTGGTAAAGGCCAATAGTACCTGAGTTTTAATGTATTGATCAAACTCTTCTCTCTGCCGATCCAGTTCAGCTCTGATGTTATCATTGGCTGACCAGATAATTGATGATGCTGCTGTCATACTTCCACTTGCTGAAGTGACAGAAGAGTTGTGTTCCTCATCATCATATGATAGCCTCAAACCAGTTGATACAGGATTTTGGCAAGGAATCCGAGCTGTTCTATCCATTTCATCATGATAAATATTGTTGTTCAAAGAAATCTGAAGTTTCTGCTGACTTGCAATTACTTCTGCTTCTCTGCTTCGTTTATTAGGCCGCAAAATAGGAGCCGTTTGTTCCTTTCCAAAATGATTTACTGGATCACCAGTGAATCCATACGACACTGTTGCATAATTTGGACAAAACATACACATTAAACATCATGCGGAGAGTAGTGAAGGCAGACAATCAAAAACAAAGGCTATTATTTATTCACCTCCAAAAACATAATGGCAATCTATTCTCAGAATCTATATGACCATATAACAAAAACAATTCCTTGGTACATCTAAATGATAGTGGTCTGGGTGTCTTCCAGCTCTCGACGGAATTACTGAAAGTAACTCAATCCATCCAAACATTAATAGATATAATTTTTATTTTTTCCAGGTTTGGATCCTAAAATCTATTGACCATACATTCTATATTTTTACTTTTTGGATAGGAAACTCAAACAAATATCTAACGTATTCACATTTTCCATTTATAAGCTAATGCAGTACAGACTATGTGCCAAGCTAGCTACAAAGTACAAATGACTAATTTTACCACTAAACCAATCACAAGTAATTAGTTAGGCACTCTGCACTAAACGATTAGGAATATACCAATATTAACTCTAAGAGGCAAGCAAAATCAAGAAAGCAATAATTAAACTAACAAAACACATGCTCGTTCTTGTTTATCATGCACGGAAGCAAGTACAACATATCAAAGTGTCATAGCTTGCTAATCAGGGAAATAAATAATGAAAAAGAAAAAAGAAGGGAACTCACTGTTTCCAAAAAGCTGTAGTTGATTTGATGCACTAGCAGGGTACTGAAAACGACCCTCGTCAAGGAAAACAGGTATGGAAGAGTTACCGTTGTTATCTCCCAGCATTTTAGTAGGATAAGTTTACCAGATGCGATATAGGAACACGACAAGAGTTATCTGACTAGGGACAATCACCTGCATGAGAAAAGAAATTATCAAACGCCCGGTTGAGAATAAAGCGTATGCCAAAAGGCAAACATGTCTAATTCCACAGCTAAAAAAGACTTCGTTTACATAATCAACCTCTAAAGTATCAATCCGAGGCCTTAAAGCTCAAAAAAAAGTCAACAGTCTACACTCCTTCCCACATTACTCTTACAACTTTAACCCAACAAAGAAGCATTCATCAGCATCCAGCAGTGGTTTTTCCTAAAAGCTAAAAGCAAAAATATTGAGAATGAAATGACCTTCTTGGTGGTAAGTAGTTTTTTGTGTTCTGCAATTAGATATAGTGATGTGCTTCAGCATTGATAACAAAATGAATTGCAGATAACCTAAATAAAGCATACAAAGGGCATGGTTGAATGTAAGTACTTAATAAAGAATCAAATTCACAAATTAACATTTGATGAAAAGTACCACTGAGATTAGCAAAGGATCAAATCTTTATGCAACAAGTGCAACAAAAAGAACAGTCTTTTTCTTTCATTAGCCATAATCACTAGTTACAAGCCATAACCCAATAACTAATCAAACCAAATCTCCATGCCAGAATCTATATCCTTAAACTGATCTACACCTCCAATTTGACTTTTACATTCAAATTGTATCATATTATTCAAGCTAAATGAATTAGATAGAAAGATATCAAATGCAAACCTATAGATCATCAAACAAGTTCAATTCAAAACTAAACAATAAAAACATTATAAAGATCCCATTTTGAACAGCTTTCTACCTGCCAATCAAGTCGGGCAAGGAACCCAATACGTCCTGAATTCCACCCTGCAAATTCCAATCAACACATCCCAAGTGAGCAACCAGCCAACCACCGAACCCAAACAGATTTTCAACCCCAAAAAAAAAAAAGTGACAAAAAGACTCAGTATTTCTACAAAGAAAGTGAAAATCACAAGGGGCATACCTTAAAAAACTACCATTGATGAAAGGGCGATCAGAGGATTACAAAGATAACTTGATATGATCTTCAAAAAAAAAACAAAAACTTGCAAAAATATATAAGCTACAAATTTAATGGAGGGTGTAAGAAGAAGAGAAAAAACTGAAAAAAGGGATAAGAGTAACCGATCAAAGAGATGACGATGATGATGGAATCGAAATGGGTTGGGTTTTAAATCATTTAATTTGGTTTTTAGGAGAGAAAGAAGAGATAGATGAGAAATCAATAGAGTTCATAGAGAATGGATGATATTATTTATGGGGGGAGTGTTTTTTGAGAAATGAGAGGACGAAGAATAGGAAATAAAAAAACTTTAAGAAAATAAAATAAAATGAGCGTTGGGAAAGCGGGCCCCAACAAAGGCAGAGAGGCAGGCAGGCAGGAGCACTGGCATAATAAGCAAAAAAAAAAAAAGCACGCAGTCACGCACTGATGACTGAAAAAACAAGTTTTTTCTCGAATCACGCTAACGTGCGCCTACTTCCTTCGGTTTTTACCTTTCACTCTTCCTACTGTTCTTCAGCTGATTGTGATTCTTTTTTTTTTTTCTCTTTCTTTTCTTTTTTGGTTGGTTTTTGTTGAATGGGTTGAGTCATTCTTGCCTTCCGTTTCTCCCTTTTGATATAAAAAATCAATTTAGATTTGTGTGTTATTTGTTGGGTTCATTCATTTTGATTGATTGATTCCCCCATCTAACTCGTTTTTTTCCCCATGAATCTCTATATTTAGTCTGACTCAGCCACTCGGTTTGTTGGTTTGCTTAACTCTTGGTATTTTGGTGGTGATGTTATTAATACGATACGGAGTATTGTTCTTGAATTTTGTAGACACCCTCTCAAGTTTTGTTGTTTTGCAAACTCTCCCTTGAAAAATTAAATGAGGTTAAGCTTTTATATATCTATTTCATTTTAACTTTGTTTGAAACTTAAACTTTGGATGGATCTGGATAAAATGGCTCTTAGAAAACATTTGAATTGCTTGAGCGGTACAAGATTTGTCTTTCTTGCTAAAAGACAAAATCAATTTTGTATTCAAGTGATTTCATTTATTGTAATATTTGAGTTTTTCGATCGTTATAAGACTTTTTTTTTTGTTATGGAAGAAAAACCCACATTTGCATTTATTCATTTACTGTAGAAATAGATCGTGTTTTACTCGTTATATATTTGATTTTCAAAAATCGATGGTTATAGAAAGAGATTGCAGAAAATGTGAAATTCATGTGAATGCGGTTGAAATGATAATGCTATTAAGTTGATGGTGTGTTTTGCAAAGCAGGGAATTTTGAAGAGATTAAATTGCAATTAACTCTAATATCATGAAGTCATTGTTTCCACTCTTCCTTTCTCTCTGAGTTTCCCACCACCACCAAAACGGATGATATTAAATTATGATTTTCTAATTTGGTGGGAGTTGGACTATTAGGTTAGCACCATTTGCTGGTAATGTATTTCTCCAAATGTTGCAATTTTTTTTCAAACGTGGCTAAATATACCCTTTTGTTTGTTTGTGTTTTTTTTTTCCTTATTTCTTAGTTTTGACTATTTGCAATTGCCCATGAATATAACCTCTCGTTTTGTTCAACTGATGATTCCTTTTTGCGGAAAAAACTGAAGGAATGCCTGCCAATCATGGTAATTGGGTTTTTTTTTTAGCAGTTTTGTAAAGTCTTCCATTTTGGTTCTTTTTGATCTTCGATTAGTGATTTGGGTTTTCCAAATTGTATGAAAGTAGGCGATGGTTGTCCTACTTATGCCAAATGCAGAGATTTTAGCTGACTGTAAAAGACTAACGGCACAATAAGGGGAAAAAAATTACAATAAAATGTAAAAGGAAATGACGTGGTTGAATATAAGTGACAGATTTCGCCTTAATTTTTAAATAAAATGAACTTTGCAGGTGATGTGTATATTACTGTTAGTCATATGGAAATCTGTTATATTTGAGATTTATTGCATTAAGAGACCAAGAAAAAAAATCTTATAAAGGGTCGTTTTCAAATGAGAAATGAAAGAGCCAAATGATGATGATTATCAATGATATAATCCAGCTTCCTGGAGAGAAAGTTATACATGGATCTAGATTTATCTTTACTTTTCTTGATTTTGAATAGTGGAATAATAATGTTTGTTTTGATAGGATTTCAACCTTCAAAAGGGATACACAGAACTGACTGGCAGCTTTTTTTAGATGCTCAATATAAATCGGAGTTGGATTTGGGGGAAGGTCAAAGATTAGCTTATAAGTAATATGTGAGTAACCGTTGTTTACTTTTCACCTTATATAGTTTTTGATCTTCAAATTCACATTATTAGGTGGGCGTTTATTTTTAGTATTATCTTCAACTCACTAGTAATGATATTCGCGACCAAAACTCTTAACAAAATTCTATAATGAATTATTGTATATGACCAATACCTTTACTCGTCACCCCGTAAAGCCTTTCAAATTGCTACATTACTTATAATTACTCGAATTTATTGTTCAGGAATTGACTTTAAATTTAATAAAGGAAAAAAAAAAATTAAGAACCAATTTACAAGTGCCTAAACTATTACATGGGTAAAGTCTATAGAAAAAAGGATAGTATTACTACGGAGAGACTCCACGTGCGTGTCCAATTCACTTGTCCACCCTTGAAAGCGCGCGCCTCCTTTGGTTGTTACTGTCTCTTACCTTGCAAGAAAGTATGGTTAACGATAATTCACTGTCGGGGGTTCGAACCCGCGTCATCGCGGTTAGATGCCAAAGCCTCTACCACTAGACTACTCCTTCATTGTCAAAAATAAATGGTTGTCAATGAAGCACCGCTGTGTTATGTAATGGTGGATCAGCGAGGGAATAACTTTTTGGATGGATTTAAGTGGGAAAAATGATGCTTTAAAAAATGGATCATCATCTTCCAAATTTCGAGACAAATAAAGTGGGGGTGGCAGCCCCTTCTTCCGTGAGAATAAGGAAACCTATCCAGCACTCCTCGTGGCGTTGACGCCCAGAATTATTATTATTAGTACTTCTTCTAGTCATTATTGTACAAGAAAAACAATAACAATAATAATATCTCATTTCAACGTTAACTGTACAATGAATAGTATTGATATTGATAACAATATCACGTTTTGTATGTGATCTGGGGCGATAATTTCTGCATTTACGGCATGTAATTGTCCGTCCATTCTGCTGCATTGGACCCCAAGTTTGGAAATTTCCAGCGTTTGTTCCTTTGTATAAACTTACATTGAAGTACGTCAAAATTAATCTTTTAGCAAGTCTCACAAGTTATTATCTCACTTGCTCTCTTTTTCTTGAAAAGAAAAAATCGTTGGTTTTAAAATTGTTTTTTTTTTTGTTGTGAGTACATAATAATAACATATATTATATCAATCATCAAATTGTCATCTCTTAATGTTATGGAAATCTTACTACTGCACCATCGTTGGATCGAAATGTAGTGTATGAAGTTAATAGTACCTCCTTTTTATTACAATCCGAAGATGTATATATCTTTGTAAAAATATGTGTATTGAAAAGTAAACAGACATATTGGAATGAGATATTTATAATTAAAAATTATGAAAAAACCTAATGAAAAACCAACCAAACAGTTGCAATTCTTTGGTTCGTCCAGTGAAATAATCTTTATTCTTATGGTATGAATATTCAAGTAAAAATGTGAAATTTCGAGTTATATTACTATTCAGTTATAAACACACAGTAGTCTCTAACCCTTACAGCAAAATTACTAGTACTCTTCAACGGTTAAAAAAATAAATAAATAAATAAATCGGATGCGTCGGTTAATTGTCGAGGGCCCAACAGCAAAGGTAAGTTTGATTCTGAAGAGAGAGAGAGAGAGAAATGCAAAGTATGAAAAAAAGGAGGGAAAGCCCAGTAGGGGGCCTGGGGGTGTTGGAAAGATGAAGAGGGGGTCCACAAAGCTTGAAGCTCTGCAGCGCCTGCTTCGTTCGTTGTTGGCGGGTAAATTTTGGCGGGTGAGCAAAACGACGAGGTCTTGACTCCGTCTTTCCGGAAAGTAGTTGGAATTCATTCATTCATACTGGCCACCAAAGGAAATTTATTCAATTACTTTGGGACTACTCCTCAGAAAAAGTGGAAACACAATTGTCCTTCTCGAAATTTTAAAATAACCTAATTTGTCCTTAACATTTGATTTAGTCTTTAATCTGGAACCAAAAAAAGAGACCGAGAATTGAAATTGAATAATTAGTTCAATCAGCCATGTGCTTTGTTTTTATTTTTTTTTGGGGTTTCTTTATGCGTTTAACCAAAAAATCAAATTCACCCCCCTTGTAAATCATTGACATGCATTGCCTTATGTGTTGTTTAGACCATCTCATCCAATAAGATTTGGTTGGATTAATCAATTAAGTCTATGAGAAACTAATTGCTCTATTCCTTATAGAGTGTATTTTGGTTTCTTCATAATTAGAGTAATGTCATTTTGATAACCAGTTTTTTGCATTTTCACGTTCATTGGGAACTTTTATTTTCAGTCTATTCACGATTCTAACAGTGCATAGTGATTATTAAATCTTCCACAAATAAAATATGGTTACATTATGATAAAAAAAATTCAAACTGGATAATAATATCCGCACTGAATGAGTACAAGCTTGTTATCATAATAACTAGTGCTTGTTTGGACGTCAGCTTACATTTCATTTTGCCACTTAAAAATGGAAATGTTTCAAGTTGAAAACTAAATGGGAAATGAAAATGTTGTTTGGATGATATTTTGAGCAAAAAGTTGTTTGGATGTTGGCTTTGAAAAAAAAATATTTTGAACTACATTTTAAAATATTAAGTACGAGTCATCACTAAACAATTAAATACTGTCAATTATAAACACTTAAAAAAAAACATTTCAAAAAACAATCACTAAACAACAGAATCCTACCGAATTTGTCATTGAACTATTGTTAGTTCTAAAATGGTCATTACACTAACAAAAAGTGTTTCAAGTTAGAATTTAAAATGTAAATTAGAAAGTTATTTGGATGATATTTTTTTTTACATTGAATTTTGTGCTTAATTGGTAAAATGAGTTAAGATCATTGATTATAAGACTGGAGGACCATATATACTTCGGTGGAAGAAGTTGGGTGTGGCTGAAGCTAGAAGTCAAATTGATGAATGCGTGCCAGCATCACCAGTACCAAACATTAACATATGAAAACAACGTGGGATGGAGTTGAAGACAACATATGTATACATTTCAACCAAACCAAACCCATCGAATCGATTCACATATATTTATAATTAATTATGTTTGGTTTCTCCAGCGAAAGTTGGCCTGTGGTAATTGATGATGCTGTCAGGTCTTTTTTAAAAAGAAAAATGAAAATTGTTCATGTTACAGTTCTAAGCGTGTATTATAAAGTACCCTTCCAATCTAAACGAAGAAGAAAGCATATACTTTTTCTGTCTCAAAGTTATTGTCTAATTTGAGATTTTATTTTTAATATTAATTGAATTATAAATGAAAAACTCAAACTGGACAATAATTATACGACGGTAGGAGTACATACATACATAAATTTAAAAACTTAAAAAATAAATAAAAAATAAACGCTCTAACCAAACCATCAAATTGCTTTGCGGTGGTTGCGTATGAACAAGCCCTCGCCCCCCCTCTTTCCCTTTAGTAGTTTTTGTTTGTATGTTTATGAATGCTTGAATTACTGGAATTCAATCATTTGGCTGCTGATTGTTATATAAGCTACTATATGATATTTCTTATTCAATTTATTATTCTTTTTCGACATTTTATGTATTATTATTTTTTTAACATCTAATTACTTGTCATGATAACCAAACTTTGAGTCGTCTGATCAAGCTAGTATTAACTAAGGTTGATCACCATGCAACGTCATCAGAATTCAAATGGTTTTTTTTTTTTTTTTTTTATAGAAGTGGTGTACGTTGGGGCAAAATTAGCTTTGTCACTTTGTATGTAATGTAATGTTCTTCACTCTTAATAACTTTGGTATGTGTAATTTTTGAATCAAACGGGCACATTAGTTTTTATAACAGTATTTTTTAGTTTATTTTATTTTTTTTGGTGGTGAAACTATGTAATTAATCAATTGATGTCATTTTTTTGGGGTAAGTATTGCATATTTGCATTAACATTATATGATATCATAGTCTGTCTGCAAAATCAAATTCTAGCTGGAAAGGGTAAGGTTCATAAATCCTCCATACATGTGTTCAATGTGGACAAGAATATTGCAACATTGTGCTCTGTCCCATGTATATATACTGTCACAAAGCAATGAAAAATAAATGAAATAACACGTAATTGCATTTTCTTAACAACCCTTTATGGTTCTCTTCATAAAACTTGGGAGGGGGCAGAATTGGTTTCGAATCACTTGTACTCCCTCCGTCTCATAATTATTGTCCAGTTTGAATTTTTATTTTTAATTTAAATTGTGATAAAAGTGAAATCTCAAACTGGACAAGAATTTTGTGACAGAGGGAGTATGAAACAATGAAATTTGTCACAATTGATTGTAGATATATATATATATATATATATTATATCAATTAATTGTTTTATATAGATAATTCATGTTGAAAAGAAAATCAAAAAGTAGATTTTAAATACAACATTTTGATCATCCAACAATTTCTCCTAGAGATGGTGACACATCCAACTCTTGAAATTAATGTTACAATCGATCGATCGATGATCACCAATCAATTCTCATTTGTTCAAAACAAAACAAAAAAACATGCACAAATTCACAAAAATCCAACCAAAAAACTGGCCATATCGACAACCATCAGTGCTTCAAAGAAAGCAAAGGAAAATTGAAAAAGACCCTTAATCATTTACATTCTCGTAATTCATCATGCACCAAAAGATGCATGTACGTTGGTAAGGAGATCAGTGATCATCTTGGTCACGTTTAGGGAGAGCCACTCACCCAAATTTCAGCCGTCTACGGCGATTTTAAATACTGTAGGACCAAAACATATAGGCCATGCACCAACTTTGCAGGGTTTAATTTTTGGTAGCAATATTTTGTGGAAAATCGAAAAGCAAAAAAAAGAAATGTCCCTCCAAAATTAATTCCTCCAGTGGCTCTAAGCTCATCCACGAGGATGAAGGTCATGATCAACTCATCAAAAACACATCTTTTAGTTTCCGAACTTGGCAAAAAAAAAAAAAAAAGAAAAAGAAAAACTCTTATCTCTTAAAAGATGAGGTGAATCTCTTATTTGGATTTCTAGTGCTTTTTTGGCCCTTCACTTAGATATCTGTGGATAACAATTTTCCCACTTCAATTTCTTCATTTCTTTCCCAAACTCCCTCCCCCCATTTAAATGTGTAAATATCTTCAGCTTCATTTCTTCTCCTGGGCACAATTTTCTTTCTTTTTTTTTTTTTTCTTTCTCGAACTTTTGTTCCCATTCCTCATTCATTCCCCACTACCATTTCTTTTAGTATATACTTCACATTGCTTTACGTTTTGTCCATTTCCGAAAAACAATAATAGTACAATTTTATAATTTGTGAAGAAGGGGGGAGAGTAATGTGTTATCCCTCCCAATCCCATCAAGCTTTACCATGTTTGCATTGCCACCCTCATAGCTACATTCGAATGGTACCTTTGTTTCTTTTTATCAATTCATGAAAATGGCAAAACCCTTTTTTCAATACCAAACAAAATAGCTAGATTAATACTGCAAAGGACGTCAAACGTTGTTGTCTTATGAAAACTAGCTACTTCAATATTTTTGTTTGCAGGTGCAAAGCTTAATAGAGAGGTGCTTGTTGCTTCATATGGATCGAGATGAATGCGTTAGGGCTTTAGCTGTGCATGCCAGAATTCGTCCACAGGTTACCCTTACAGGTAATTAAACCCTATGAAGATTTCCTTTCTTCTGTTAAAATTTTCTGTAGAGTTTAAATTACTTATAGTTGTTTTGCATGGACTCGATATGTTTGGATTATTAATTTTCATTTTGTTTCGTGTTTCTTCAAAATTTTTTTTTTTTTAAAAAAAAAAGATCACATGATCAATGATGATATGGTGAGCTATTTGGATATAATGGTGGCATGCACGTTTATTAAATCTGGTTCTGATTATATATGAAGCCAGATGATGATGATATATGTTTGTGTCTATGAATTAATGCAGTGTGGAGAGAGCTAATGAAGGAGAACAAGGACTTCTTTCAATCATATTTCCATGCCATTTCTCCAAGACCCTTTCCGGGTAAGCTTCAATATCAATGAACTCATCAATCATCATCATATGTCTTGAAATATGAAGGTCTCTATAAATTGCCCAAGAATCTTCATTGATCTCTAATGATTTTTGGTTCATGCATATATATATACAATGTCTCTCAGGTGGAAGTGTTAACAAAGCACCAAAATTTGCAAGCAGATGACAATGGAAGTGATCAATATATATTTAAGGGCTTTGATTTAGCCAAATTCATACTACATACAGTATTGCCCTATCCCTTAATTAGCTTTAACTAAACTCTTTTCTTTCTTGTTATTAATTTTCCCCTTTTAGTGAGACGGAGGGCTATGGATAGAAACTAAGTAGCTAGTTGTAGGAAAAAGTTAGGCAATATCAGTGTTCTCTTCTCGGTCTAATTATTCATTCCTCTTGTATAAAATTTAGACAAATAATCATGAGAATGTGATGAAAGTGGAACAAGTAAAATAACGCTATACTGCTTTTCAATTGATCATGCTTAAGTACCATGTATTTTTCTATAATGCCATGCACCAAAAGAGTAATCATTAAGCAAATTACGGTACAGCTCATTCCAAAACAATCGTCTTTAAGACTTGATAGATATTGCAATATAAAGGGTAATGATTAACAAGAGAGATGAATATATATGTGCCTAGCTTTGCCCTGTCAGTTGTACGTACGTGATGTGTCTTCCTCCAGTTCCAGATAATGCTTATCAGGATGACTTAATCTAAAGCTTCTTTTAAGGGAAACCACAGCTTTCAGCGTGCCATTTTTGGACCTGAAAGATTATTTATTGTAACACATTTTGTGCATATAATTCAATCAATTTGCTAGCTCGCTCATCTGTAAGATGAAATTACTTCAAACATATATATATGCAAGTAATATTTGAAAATTCGAGGATCACAAATTTTAATGCATGCATCTCTGCATGTTTGACTTAATGATAAAACTTCCAAACTCTAATCTCTTAACACAACATATGATCACCGCCATGAAAGCTACGGATCATCGATATTATTATTTCAAGAATTTCACTGGAAAAAAGTTTCTGATTAATGGATTACCGCTTCAAGCTGCAGACCTAAAAGATAAATGTGGCATCTTTCTGATTTCCTTCACCTTCATCCAGTGGAACATGAGCCCACTGTACAAAGTTTTAAAAATAACAACCTAAATTATCTACAAGCGATTTTCAAATTAATAGCAAAAAAAAAAAAGGATACTTACTATATATCTCAAATATAATATAATTGAGATGTATATTTAAGTACCATCACTTACATTTTTAGCGGCCATACTAAATGCTTGTTTGTGAGTAATGGTTGGATATATGGCCTTCAATCTCTGAATCTCTTCTCTAATGTGCGTGGCAAAATCCAAAAAGGGAAAAAAAAAAAAAAAATCAATTGAGCAACATCTTACAAGCTAGCTAGGTAGGTAGCTTTAGCCACATCAATTAATTTTCAAAAGATGGATGATTACCCTATGAAGAGATTGTAAGCTGACGGAGGCCTTTGTTTTTTTCTGGGGGCTGTCAAGTTGCCAAATAGTTGTCGGATTAAATCAAAGTACAGCCACAACTGAAGTAAAACAATAACGTTAAAGAAAAGAAAAACAAATGAAATGAAAGAATAATTGATGATCATTTACGTTTGTTGATCACTTCGGCCAATTCCTGTCCTTCTTCTTCTTCTTCATCATCATCAGATGATGATGAGAATGAGGCAAGTACCCGAGCTGGCGGGTTGCGGTTTTCCGAACCTTTTTCAACAGCATGATGATCATCAAGTGCTAATTTGTTTTTCTGATGAAAGCAAACTTCTGTTGTTGGCTGCAGAGAATTAAAAATATCCAGATAAAGGGCTTCATAATTAATTTGATGAAATTCAAACTGGTATTTTAAAGGTCTAGCTAGATTATATTTAAATGAAGAGTTTTAAATTATTCACCTCCAGAGAAACTGGCTGGAATGGTGAAAAAAGATGGAGAGGAAGAAATGAGGATCTCATGTTTACTGAAAGAAGACTAGTGCAATGCCCACAGCTTACTTTCACCACTTCTGTTAAGCAGCTGCATGGAACACTAACCTGCATTATTTATCAAATTTTCATCTATCAGAAACATTTATATATTCACCAACTATTCAAACAAAATTGAGACCCAAAAAGAAAATAAAAAAAAATCTAGTTAATTATTATGAAACTGATCATCAAATATAGAGAGTGTTACCAGCAGGATGGTGTCGCAATAACCGCAATGAACATAATAAATTTGCTCTTGAAGATCATCAAACATATTGCTTAGACTACTTGACATATTTCCTGTATATGTGATTTGGGCTTCTTTTCTCTCTTGATCTTTTACTCTCTCTGCAGGAGGATTTTGACTGTTGATGAAATGTGGAGGTCATAAGTAACCTTATTTATAGAGGAACTTACGAGGAACCAAATCATGCATTAGCGATTAAATTTGATTAGAGTTATATTCTTTGTTTGAGCTAATAAATTAAATTGAATTAATCCTATCCAATTATGGATGCATGGGTTTTGGGTTATCGAAGTTAATAAAAAATGACCTCAATGTGGAAGCATCCAAAGTTTTGCATGGAAAACACACACACACACACACACTGAAAGTGAAAGCAAAAGTGGAGTTATTTCTAACAGGTTAAAAATAGGCTTGGAGACGTGAACTCATCGTATCTCGCAATTTCGTGTTTATACTAGGAACAGAGTAAATACAAATTGACTGGGGAAATACTAGTTTGGCTGTAGGATTTATAGTTTCTGTGCATGCATTTGAATTTCTCTTCTTTTATAGTATCGGTCTGATTGATCATTGATCACACACTTCCTTTTCTCTCACAATCATATATAGTTATTAAGGTCTCTTAATGCCGCAACATCATCATCTCACCTTCATCCACTTGACTCCTCCTTTTATTACTTCTTAGTATATGTCGTCTCAAATTTTGATCTAGTTTGTGATACTATTTTAATTCTAGAAAAAGATGCTATTAAAATAGACTAAAAGTCTAAAACCGATACTATTCCTTGAGACACAAAAATGTTAAGGGCGCAATGAAATAACAACGTTCATAATCGTGAAATTAAAATGTGGAGAGTGACAACTTCTTGAGCTAGCTAGTAGTAGGAACAAACAAGATTAGAAACTTTTGCTCGTGGTTCATTAAGCGATAGGCTTACAATGAATTTTTAAAGCGATTAACGTGACGTTTAGTCATCAGTAGTAATTGATGAATCATCAAACTTCACCAAATGAAAATTCAACTCAAGTTTCATTCTGAATGTAAATATGTACTATCATAATGCCCAATTTGATTTTGTGGACGGAAGGTCAATGAAATGGGAAACATGTTCCTCCAAAACTAAAATGCAGCGCATACGCATAATTCACGCCTTTGCTTCAGTGCTCTAAGGCGCATAAATCAAACCCAGAAACAACCACGCCTTTTAACCCCCCTGTTAAGCCAATCTTGGCCAACAGAACGACATCGTCCTGAGACTCTTCTTCCCAGTTTCCCATAAACCCAGAAAAAAATCTCAGCAGATTATCATCTTTCTCGTCCACTCACTAACAAAATCACAGAACCTCCATAAACTTTAACAGTTGAAAGCTTCATCAGTCAATCACCTTATGTAAAATCTTTATGTGTTGCTTAAAGAATTCGTAAACTAAAATCTTATTGAAATGGCCATTTTGGCTACACTACCAGGGAACCACCACCACCTTTTCTCAAACTTACCCACCACCCCGCCACCACCGTCGTCCTCCAATCCACCACCTCCGCCGCCGCGTCCACCCATCCCAATACCCAAATATCCTCCCCTCTCAAAATCTAGAAAACCCCTGACTCCCAATTCTCCAGAAAACCCAGGTTTCAAAACCCATCACCATAACTCCAAGTACTACAAGCCAGTCAAGCCTGGCCATGTCATTGCCGACGACGGCCACCGGTCAGTCGTCGTTGGGGAGAATGGGGTCTCCTACCGCCTCCCTGGAGCCCCATTTGATTTCCAATTCAGCTACTCTGAAACCCCACAAGCTAAGCCTTTGGGTATTAGAGAGCCGGCGTTTTTGCCATTCGCTCCGCCGTCTATGCCCCGGCCTTGGACCGGAAAAGCTCCGATGAAGAAGTCCAAGAGGAATATTAAGCTATTTGAGCAGAAGGGTATCACTCCGTTGGGCAGTAATGAAGTACACAGAGTGAGACATTATGAGTTGTTGAAAGCTTATGAATTGGGGCAGTATACTAATAATAAGCCTAGAGAAAAAGTATTGGGGGCGCCTTTAACCAAGTCTGAGATTAGGGATCTTTTGAAGCCTTGCATTTCCAGCAACAGACAAGTTAATTTAGGTGGGTATTCTTTCAATTTTCTATTTTAATGAATCCTTTGTTTATTTTTATGTGTTAAGCCAATTTTTTCGTTTCACACACATTGTTGTGTTCGACACTGTAATTTAGTTTACATATTATGTAACCTTAATCAAATTCTTTGCTGATATCGTGATTCTCTATTGTAACTGCTTATCTTTATTGTGCTAAAATGTCTTAGGATAAGATATAATACGTTTGAACTGGAGTTATTAGAAATGAAAGACATTAAGTTTGAAATTTTTGGTGGACTGGACTAGTATTGTATGATATGTTATTCGATTCCAATGTCGTTAAGTAATTTAGTAAATTTCTTGCATGGTTCCAAAGTTAAGTTTTGGTTGATGATCACATTGCATAGGTCGGGATGGATTGACACATAATATGTTGGAGTTGATACATACACATTGGAGAAGGGAACCTGTTTGTAAAGTTCGCTGTCTAGGGGTTCCAACTGTAGATATGGACAATGTGTGCCGTTGTCTTGAGGTTCTCCATTTACCATTACATTGAAGTACTTTCAAGTGAATGCTGACTTGATTGCCCATGTTATATACTTCATTAATTGTGCTCATCTGGAGAATTCTCTTTTTATCATGTACTTAAAATGCTGTCCATATTGATATCAGGAGAAGACTGGTGGAAAAATCATACGTAGAGTTGGCGGTGTCGTATATATTTTTCGTGGTCGATATTATAACCCCGGCACAAGGCCCCGGTTGCCTGTAATGTTATGGAAACCAGCAACACCTGTTTATCCAAAGCTCATTCAAGATGCTCCTGAAGGTTTAACCAAAGAAGAAGCTGATGAGTTGCGTATGAAGGGGAAGAAATTACTCCCAATTTGTAAATTAGGTAATGCGATTCTCCCTTAGAAATTTGACAAATACTCTTCGGAGCTCTCTTTCATGGTATTGTTTTAGATTTGACAAAAAGTGGCACCATTTCTGTAATTTTCAATGATACCGCAAGGAATCTGTGTAAGAATGATTTATTAAAATACCAGACATCAAAACTAGCACTCGTTTTGAGTAGGATCTTTCCTTTCCTTGCAATCGAATCTGTATTTCTTTATATAGTCTGGTAATTAGTTGATGTATAAATATCTTGGTTTACTAATTGAATTTCTGTTGATTTAGGGTTAGTTTGTAATGCAGTATAGCAATGTTCTATCCTAAAAATATTGGTACATTCTTACTTTGGACTGTTCTGACCATTTTATCATGTTTCATTTCCTGGTCCATTTCGCTTTAATCTTTTAGTAATATTTCCACGCATCTCCAGTTTATATATAATTTGTGGTTTTCTTTTTTATTTTGACCACAGCCAAAAACGGAGTATATGTCTACCTGGTGAGGGATGTCAGAATTGCTTTCGAAGGATGTGCGTTGGTGAAGATTGACTGCAAGGGACTTCATGCCAGTGATTACAAGAAAATTGGTGCTAAGCTAAAGGTTTCTTAGTACTTTCTTAATCAGCAAATGCCAATTTTACCATGTTGCAAATTTCCTCTCTGTTTCTTCCCTGACTTTTTTCCGTCTCCTCCCTTTGCAGGAATTGGTTCCTTGTGTCCTGCTATCCTTTGATGATGAGCAAATCTTGATGTGGAGGGGTAAAGATTGGAAGTCAATCTACAGTTATGCTGCTCCGGCCATAGGCCCTAGTATCGATGATATTGCAGATCGTCCGAATGTGTCAGGTAACAGTTCCCAAATTCTTCTTGATTGGGGTCCAGTTTTTGTCTCCCTTCCTTCCAAGTTTTAAGCATCAAAACTGGGTTTATAAATCTTGCAAATTTACTGGGTAAAAACAGTACATATCATTCATGATGAGTGAGTAATCTTAGATCTAGGACTCCAGGTATTGCTTTAGTTACAGAAGAAACGTCACTTCTTGTGTAGGTTTTTCTTTCACGGGAAAAAACCCACATTTATGTTTGAAAAGTTGTAAGTTTGTTCATTGGTTTAGCTGAAATTTCCTCAACATTCTTCATTAAAAGCACCAAATAAATGGTGCAGACTTGCTTTGTGGTCTTTTAAATTTCTCAGTGAAATGAGAAACTTCAAGAAAACCTTCTCTGCTAATGTCCGTTCTAGTTTGTTGGTAATGATTGTGTTTCAAGATCACGAACTGTTGTAATGCAGAAACGTGATGTCTGATATAATTTCTTTGAACAATTGTAATTCAGATTCTACTGCTTGTGAGTTCCAAAACTCTGATCCAGTACCAGTGAATTCAAGCCCTAAAATGATGTCCTTGTGGAAAAGTGCAATTGAATCGGGGAAGGCGTTATTGCTAGGTGCCACTAACCTTGATCCAGATGAACTGTTGGAGAAAGTAGAGGAATTCAACAGTGTTTCACAGGTGGTCGAGCACTCATATCCAGCAACGATCGTGTCTGTTGAACAAGCTCCTCTTGATTCGAGGGATCAACAGGATGGTGACATTATGGATGAAGAATATCCAAGCGACGAAGATGAAAACTGGCCAGAAGATAAAATTCTCATGAATAAAGTGTTCGATGGGGTAGAATCATATGTTCCTTTTGGATCATTGCCTATTGATTCACTTACAGAACAATTCAGTGACACTGAATAACAATGTAATGCTTTTATGTAAATTAACCAGCAATATAGAGATGTACAGCTCTATGAGATGTCTTTCTTTCCATCTCGTCTATTTCTGTCAATGGCAGTAATATTAATATTAATAGGAAGAGGGTTTTTTCCATTTTGTACATGATCATATTATTACTATATGCATTAACGAAACCAAAGTCTTCCAAAACTTCACCGCTTCTATTTTTTGGTGAAAAATGTGTACGTCTATACTCTATATTTTCGTTGATATATAGGAGTCGACGAACAAGTCGACACAATAAATTGTTTTACGCTTCTATGTGATAGCTTAGTAATTAGCCTATTTCATTGTAAAAAAAAAAAAAAAAAAAATCCAGTGGGCTTTGATTATTTGATCAGCTACCGACCTAAATCCAAAATTTATTTGTTCCTTAACGATGGATGTTCCCAGACCCCAGTTGGCAGAAATAGATTTGCTCAAGGAATCCAATCCCCAAAGTCGTAACCAAATCGACTTTTAACAGTTCTTGAGATTTCGACATTGCGTATATACGATGATTAATAACGTTGAAGTGGACAAATTTCTGGTCCTTCCTCGCCTCCTTTCTCTCCGGTAACTCCGAATCCCAAGTCCAAAAGCCACAAGGGATTCATTCCACACTACAAATTCTCCTCTGTTTTTTTTTCCTGTCCACGTTTTTCATTTCTTTATTTCGTTTTTAGGCCCCTCCATAATTAAACCGCCAAATCAAAATCATTGCCTTCATAAATCTTCCTCATTTCCCCACCCGAAGAGGTTCTTCAAGTTCTCCATACAAAGATTCACTTTTTGTACCCAACATATTCCTTTTTCCTCTGCTTCTTTTTGTTCTTTCTGTCTTGTTTATCAGAGGACAACAGAAGAATCCCAATCCCTTCTACTTTTTCTAATACGGCTCAATCATGAGATGATCCATTCCCAAGTTAAGGTTAGCTTAAATTCTGCATTCCCTGGCTTCCCTTCTTTTTTTTTTTTTGTTAGTTTTGATAAAGTTGGGTTCTTTATTTGGACTCTGCCAGAAGTGGTTCTGTTGCATCTCAATTTTGACTGTACGTATTCCCATGCTTATCTTGTTTAGAGTCTTCAAATAATTTTGGAATTGAAAAAAATTGTATCTTTTGTTTCTCCAGCTAATAATTGCTTGGGTGGTATTTTCACTTTCTGTTTAATCTGTACTTTTCGCGAAGAAATTTCGTCCTTTGGTTTCAGCTTTTTCTGTGTATTCTTCCGGGCAAAATTGTCGTGAACCGCAATAAAGTACTAACTTCGTTTTTGTGGTATAAAATTTTCATCTGAGTGGCTGAAAATCGAGACACCCCCTTCGTGTATTTCCTGTTCAAGTTGATGAAATGATCAGCATATTTGGAAGCTTAGCTTAAGCGTTTGTTTCTACAAAGTTCTTTTAGCATTACTGTCTGTTGAAGTGAACCATATGTGTTTCATTCTTTTTGTGTATGAAGAATGAAGACTGCTTTTCAGTTCAGTAAAAAAATTTAGGAAATTTTTGTGTAAGGCATAATGGGTTTGTTCTTAACAGAAACTTCTAATCACTCCTGGCAACCGGTCATGACAACTGATACTACGGCCCCTAGTTATTGGCTTAACTGGAGGTTCTTCCTATGCGCAATATGGATACTAATATCAATGACAGTCGCGGCAATCGTCATTTGGAGATATGAAGGTTCTAGCAAGTCAAATGCCGAGCAAAAGGTTGGAGATTTGTATGAAGATGAAGCTTGGAGAACCTCTTCGAAAAGGATACATCCTGTTTGGCTGCTTGCTTACAGAGTGTTTGGTTTCAGTATACTTTTAGCTGCACTTATTGAGGATATTGTTCTCCACACAGCCCGCATATTTTACTTCTATACTGAGTAAGATAACATTTGGATTGATCTCCATTGCTGGTACCTATTCTTCTAAAAAAAAAAGGTGATTCTGCGGAATTTCCTGAAAGTTTTTGGTTGCTAATACTCCTTTATGAGTACCACTAATGTCTTCAAAAAATGTTTGATTAAAATGGTATGAACTGATATTTTAGTACTGCTTGGCATTTTTTTTTCTTTTTTCTTGGTCAATCATGCACTGTTTGTGTAGTGGGATAAAACCTTCCCAATTTGTTTTCAAAATGTGTTTTTCTCAAGCGCCCTGTCTTGTAGAATTCTGTTTGTAGATTAGAAGCCCAAAGTTTTGAATCATATGCAATAGTAGGCGAGTATGTGATGTCTGATTTGTTTCTTCTACTTTAATGCTTGTGTTCTTTTTTTGCTGCAGGTGGACATTTATTTTGGTGACAGTATACTTTGCGGTATGTTATGCATTTTAATCATGTTCACCATACTTGGAAAATCACTGACAATTCTGTGTAGTATGTTGTTTCCCTTTCACCTCTAAGGAAATCACTTGAAAAGAAGCACCAACTTATGATGCTATTTTTCCTCAAAAGAAATGGTTTGAAGTGGAAGAAGAAAAACAAACAAGAAGCGTTCTTTTCCTTCCTATTCCTCTAGTCCTATGAATAAATTTGAAATCACTGAACTAAATGAACTACATCTGATATTTGCTTCTCTAATGTTCTTTGAACTGGATTGTTTGTAAATCATGATGTGAGCTTATTTTCTTTTTCTTGATGTTGTAGTTGGCATCTATTTTCTCCCTAGATGGATGTCTAAACAAATGCAAAGACGTTCGTGCAGCCGATTGTGTTGAACTAGATGCAGAGCGAGGTAGTTATGTGGCCCCAACACCAGAAGAGAATGGAAATACGCCCAGCATTCCCTCACAGTCAAATACACATGAAAAACTCCTTAATCGTAAACGCGCTGGTATACGGGGTTATATATTTCAGATAATGTTCCAGGCGAGTTTTTCCAGTTGTGATCCTTGCAGTTTTTGAAGTGTTTCTTTTAATTTTTTCATGTCACATTAACATTTTTCCTTTACATGCATTTTGCTTCTAATTCTGGGAAAGTCATACATTCATTCAAAAAGCTATGGATATTCTTTGAAGTTGCATGTACAGTTGTACCAGTTGCTACATATATAAATAAATATATATGGTCATTTCCACTTCCACTCAATACTTATCCAATTTATAGCTTATATGCTGAGATAGTGAGATATGCCTCAAAATGTAGTGACTTTTAGAATTTGAGAATGGAGGAAAATATGATTCTTCATAATTTTGGCCTTGTGTGTGTTACTTTGTCATGAAACTGCCTCATTTCTTGAGAGTGTTCTTTTAGGAAAAAATTTCTGTTCCAGAGTTAAAATATTATCTGGAAGTATCACCAAAGGATCAAATGGTTATGTTGATGGTGATTGTGTACAGATTAGATTATTCCATGCTAATCAGGTTAAGGTTAAAGATTTGGAAGATGGTATTTTGTTTATGTCGAGTTCGTTGTTCATGCCTTATGTTCGGAAGCTGTGTTCATTGTTTTGTTTACTCTGAAATCTAATCTCATCTCTATGCTTTGTTTCTTGTTCTAGACTACTGCAGGTGCTGTGGTGCTCACTGATGTCGTGTTCTGGCTCATTCTCTATCCATTTCTCACTTCCAAAGATTACAAACTAAACTTTGTGAGTATGAAGATTCAGTTTTGATTCTCTAGCTCTTTCTCCACTTTTAGACTTGTCCAGATGAAAGAAAAAAAAAATGTTCTGTGCCAAAATTGTTAAAATGATAATCCGAAGGCTCATATTAAACCTGTATTTTTTAGAATAGTTTTTGGTTTTGTGTATCAGTATTCAAGCTTTCTTTTTTCTAGTTCTGCTCAAATTTTCAAACCCGGATGATGAAGCATATCAGTCTGAATTCTTACATTCTTTCCTTCCTTAATTCAGCACCTTTTGTGTAAATTTGGGAATAAAAGCACTCTTGAAATTGCAGATGAAAGTTTGCATGCATTCACTCAACGCCATCATCCTCCTGGGCGAAGTGGCTTTGAACAACATGGTAATTCGGTACTAGTATCTTTGGTGGCCAGCTTTGTTTCTATTCCTATCTCTGAATGAAACATACTTATTACTTTAATTTGGCTTTCAGAGGTTTCCATTCTTCAGAGTGGCGTATTTTATCTTATGGACGTCCACATTCGTCATTTTCCAATGGATTGTTCATGCTTGTGTTTCATTATGGTAAAGCGATCCCTCCCCCTTAAGTTCTTAATCGTGTTTTGGTTCATAAAGTTCTTATTCCGATGGTTATGGTCATTTGCGTGTAACAGGTGGCCTTACCCTTTTCTGGATCTGTCTTCTCCATATGCACCCGCATGGTAAGCAGAATTATTAATGATAAATCATTTTCGAGGAATCCAATATCTTGGATTTCCAGCTTTCCAGGCTTTCTGTGAATGGTACTTACTCTGCTGGAAAAATATTTGACAGGTATGTTGCAGTCGGGGTGCTTACCATTCCATGTTACAGCGTCTTTGCTCTCATAATCAGGATCAAGAAGTGTTGTTGTTCAAGAGGTTAAGAGGGCAAAATGCAATATGAGAATGCATGAAAGAAAATCACCATCCATAGGCTGTGCCCTCAGTATTCAACCAGGTTAAGGAAGCCAGTAGTTTCTAGTCGGATAAAGGGAAGCTATATCCTACAAATTTTTGCAATGGGGTGGTCAGAGGATTCCTGGCAACATCAATGTTCAAAAAAAAAAAAAAATGTAGCTTCTTTCGGGAATTAAACAATTCTTGTGGGAATTGGGGACATAAATGAGAAAGATTTCATTAGCATTTTTTATACATTCGAATTTAATGTCGTTCCCACTTATTTCATTTCACATCTGCAAGACAAGCCAGATAATAAAGGCAAAACAAGCCAGAAAGAAGGCCCCTTAGAAAGAAGCCAGATAATAAGGCAAAACATTTTTATCTACACTTAATGACTTACATTTCCAAACCACAAACATCAAAAGGCAGGCCCTTTAGATTTGTAGTTCGGAAAGATAATAAGGAAGTACTCTGGAACATATAAATCATATCTACAGCAGTTTTATCACCAGATAATGAAAATATTGTTTGGAATCAGACTGACGTGCAAATTGATAATTCAGCACAAACCCAATAAATGGGACCTCTGATGTATCGATTAATTGTCTCATCACCTTCCAAACCAATCAAAAAGAAGAATACAGAAGTTCAAATCACCAATTGAGAGAGAGAACATACAAGTAAAAAATTTCTACTCGTCCTTTTGGGTTGAAAGCAACAAAACCACACGAATCAAATATACTAATTTGAAAAACCTAATCAGGCAAAAGCTGTCGGAGAGAAGAAAGAAAAAAATTGCTACTTCGGAGGCGGCGCCGCTTAATCCAGCGGCTCAAACGGACTCTACAAAATAGCGATTGCAGATCCCAACTTGTGAGATTCTAGAGCCTCTGCAAAAAGGCAGCGCTGCCAATCGGTAAGGGATGAACAACGAAATAACTAGTTGGAGTCGTCCACTAGTTTGTAAACCGTTCAGGAGTCAAACGAGCCCTAATTTTTTTGGAGCCCAATGACATTGGCATTTGAATTGGCCCAGTACCCAGAGTGTTAACATTTTGGATGGGCAAGAATGAGTTATATACCTTAATGCCTCCGTTAGCAACTCTTAAAATTAAAATGGGTCTAATCCTGTTGTATTAGTGAATTTTATTTTTGTTATATTTGAATTTTTCTTAGTAATGATACAGGAAATGAAAATTTGTAGTGAAATATGATAGCAGAAACTTATGGATGACAACATGATGATAATAATTATAATAATAATAATAACTAGATTCGTGATAAATGTTAATATATATATATTTTTTTTAGAAGAGTAGTTGCCTATGTTGATAATAGCAGTGTGGTCAAGTTGGTGTCGAATCCCGCTGATTACTAGTGACTTGGATTGTGCAATCAAAGAACTGCTAAATTGACACGAGTTAACGGTTGCAATTCTAAGAGGACTCCATAACTTAGATGATCCACCAGATGTTGTAAAATCGTGATTGAAGACATGATGTAATAGGTGTTTGTATATCCGTGTAATAATATTTGTAATGTCTTAACCCTCGGTTTTTTCTTTTGTAAAAAATAAAAATAAAAATTGAAGAACAATTATATATTTGAACCACATCAATCATCATTCCATTTTACTATCTATTTTTCTGGATATATTTACTCTAAAAGTGAAGGTGAAAAGGCTGAATATTATTTAGCACATAATGATAGTGGATTAAAGATAATTTGATTATCTGGAGGTGGGGACTCAGAATCCATATTTAGACTTTGTTGTCAACTAGCATAGGGGACTCAGTTTCCCAAGTCTCAACTAAGAGCAATCAGATGATATAACGTTATAAATTTGAGGGTTTTGTTTGGCTGATTGATCAGCATAAGCTGTGTCGTATCTATTTTTGAAAATAGAAAATTGTGAATCAATGAACTTCTGAATATCTAAACTCTCCCTAATCTTCTTCTTCAGTTCACTTAGTCCTTATATTACATTCATCATCATCATTATTTCATTTATGCTACAATATTCTTTGGAATAAAGTGTATAAATATACATCGAGGAGATATATGAATGTTTGACAGTATAATTTGGAGCTTAGAAGTGTACTCGTTTGTTTATTGCATGCTTTATCCTCTAATTTTTGTTGGGAAAGTTGAGTTGACATTCATTTTGATTTGGACCTAGCGTTTGCAATTTGCACAGTTTGACTTAAGAGAATGATCAATTCTGTAAGACTATCAGAGCAAACTCGTAATGAAGATTGGTATTAAATCGAAATGCATTATTACAAGATAGTAGACCAACAAAATTGAAAAGGATGAAGGAGCTAGCCGCCCTCTGAAGACTTCAGAAGTCAAACTTTGAATGTGTCATGGTTTTCAGCATGGATTTTATCAATTTTTTTAATTTAAAAAAAAAAAGAAAAAAAAATTAATTTTGAAGGATTCATTTGAAACATGAAGTCAGATTCACAAAATGACAAATATTACACCGTAAAATATCAACCATAAAATGACATACGATTCATGTAGTTCTATTTAAGAAAAATGATATATACAGTGAATAAAAATAGTGACAATACACACTGACTGATGTGGATTAATCATGGCTCTTAGTTTTTTGCTACTCTTCCATTGAAGTTTTTTTTTTCCCACAATTATTTTTTTATCCTTAACTAATAAATAGACATGTTTAGTAAGTGGATGGTGTATTTGTCTTTTCATTTGTCTCTATATATTTTCACTGTATTTAATTACTGGATGTATCATTGCTGTCTATTTAAAGGACTTCATATGAGTACTTCATTTATTCCACTGATTTTTAACCTAATGCCTCCTTATAACTAGGTAGGCTCTCTATAATTAAGCAGTTTGGATTGATCTTAAATTGACAATGCTACATGTCCATTGGCGCTTCTTTTCTTCTTCTTGTTCTTCTTGTTCTTCTTCTTTTTTTTTTATTAGTTAGTTAGCAGTATCAATGTCGTTCAAGAAATTAATCGAGTCAATGTATCTCTTGTAACTTGTAAGTCAGAAGTCGTAGTTCTATCATGCATACTTATGTCAACGTTTTACCAAAATGCAAATATTGGGTAAGTCGACCGGGTTTACTAAACAAACTAGTGGCACTACGGTCTACGTACAATACAATACTTTTGACTTTGTAAAAGAAGACTACAATATTGGTGGAAACTTCTCCTACATTTTAGTTTGATTTGTCACGTTGACAAGATAAAAATTTCGCTATAAAAATTATTCGGAATGGTTTGAACCAAAAAATGAATATTACTTTCATAATAATAATAATAATAATCTCCCACCATGAGTGTAGACCATCTTTCCTAAAGCTTTCACTCCCCTTTTCTTCTCAATGAGGACACAGGGGGAACTAAAAAGACTGTTTAAGTGCCACTCGAACATACCTTTTGACTGTGAATGATTTTTAATTGTAGTCAATAATAGTGGGTAAGACGGTTATTGTGTCGTCTGTATCCCATAACAAAAAAACTAAGCCCGCAATTTTCTAACATTTTAGGTTGGCAACGTGAATTTGGGGCAATTTATTTAGTACACCAGAAGTATTTACCCCCTCTTATTTTTTTCACTACTAATTCTTATTATATTTTTTTCTCAACCTTTTCTATATTTTGCAAATTTAGTCCATACTATTTTTTTCTCTCTCTTCCATAAAAATATTTTTAATCTTTAAACGAACATATTTCTCAATCCGTAAAAAATTTGTAAACGAATTATTTATGAAATTTATAGTACTCGACGAGATCTATCCAACAAAATTCATATCGAATATTTTTTTCGAGTTTAAAAATGATCAAATTTTGATGGACAGAATTAAGATAGATATCCAGTTTAAAAAGATGGATAAGTGATTATTTTATATTAATATTTTCTTGTAAAATTTATATCTTTCAAACCTTAAAAAATTAGAACACGAATATATATGAAATTCATACTACTCGACGAGATCTATTTGATAAGATTAATATTGAATTTTTTTTTTAAAACTTTAAATGCATTTAAATTTTTACGGGTAATTTTGAGGAAATGTGTTTTTTTTCTGAAAAATAGTAATCCGTTGTGTTCATACTGATTTTCTAACCAATTTGGACAGATTATCCATTTTATCGGTACTGGTTATCTAATTATATTTTTGACATTCACTCCTCTTCAAAAAAAAAGAATAAAATATTTAGATAAGTATTACAAACCACTTGGATAACCAGCGAAAATAATTTGATAAGCAGTACAAACTAGTTGGATAATCTGTAAAAAAAAATGGACCATCATTTTCATAAAAGAGCAAGGAAAAAAAAAGTTGGATAATCATCACTGAGAAATTAGATAATCAGTATGAACACATTGGACAAATTTTTATCAAAAGAAGAAAAAGAAAGAGAAATTCTGTTTGGGTAATCAATGAAAATGATTGGATAACAAATACAAAACGGTTGGATAGTCAGTACAAAAAATTGGACAAGGATTTTCACAAAGAGTAGAGAAAAAAATGGTCGGATAATCTATACCATACAGTTGGATAATCAATATGAAAGTGCTGGACAACCGTTCTTTTTGCAAAAAAAAATAATAATAATAAAAAGAAAATCTAGGCTGGATAAGCAGTACTAATTAATTGGATAATCAATTTATTAACACATTGGGCAATGATTTTTCAAAAATAAAAAGATTGGATAACCAGTACAAATAAATTAGATAATCAGTCTAAACCGGTTAAATTATCAGTATAAACACAACGGATAACAATTTTAAGAAGAAGAAAACTAGGTAGGATAAGCAATACCAATTAGTTGGATAACAAGTACTAATACATCGGACAAGTATTTACATAAAAATAATTTTAAAAAATAACTGGAGAAATAATAGCACGAGGTTGAATAATCAGTACGAACACATTGGACAAGCATTTTCTCAAAAAAAAAATATATATATATTGGACAAGCAATACAAACTTTTTTGGACAAGCAGTAAAAATAATTGGATAACCAATACAAAATAATTGGATAATCACTACGAATACATTGGATAACCATGTTTCAAAAAAAGAAAAAATGATTAGATAAGCGGTATAAACAAAATAGATAACTAGTATTAGCGTATTAGACAATGATTTTTTCCAAACGGAAAAAAATGATTGGATATCTATTATAAACAATTTGGATAGGTATATAAATCAGTTAGATAACTAGTACGCATGAGTTAAATAAGCATACAAACCAAACGGATATCCAGTACAAACAAGTTGGAAATGTATACAAACTTGTTGGATTATAACTACAAAACAAGTTGAATAGGCATACAAACCAAATAGATAAGTAGTACAAATAAAATGGATAACCAATTCAAACTGGTTGATAATCAGTATGAACACAATAAATAAACAGTTTAATATAAGTTGGTTATCCATTTTTCTAACTAGATATCTATACAAAATTCTTTGTTTCTGTTCATCAAAATTTAGCCATTTTTAAGTTGGAAAAAAATATTCGATATGGATTTTGTTGGGTAGATCTCGACGAATGCAATAAATTTCATGTGTAAATACGTTCTCAAATTCTTCACGAATTAAGAGATATGTTTGTTTGAAGATTAGAGATATTTTTTTAGAGGAGAGAGAAAAAAGTGACATGGACTAAACCTGTAAAATATTAAAAAATTGAAGAAAAGTACAACAAAGACTACTAATGCAAAAAATAGGAGGGGAGCATGAAGCTTCCAGGTATACTGGATATAGACTCTGAATCAGGTGTCACTCCAAATTGTAGTTGTAAAGTTGGTTGTATTTGAATTGCATTAAATACAAGATCCTGTCAAAGTTACCTAAGACTTCCATCTCAAAACCAATTAGCAATGAGTAGGATGACTTATAAACATGTGATAAATCCTTCACGACACCCATTTGGGATTCTTTGTCCCAACACCCTCCCTCAAGCCCAATGGGGTATTTGGCCCATTGGGGTTGCATTCACCAGATATACTGTCGGGTCAGTCAACAAACCCGTACACACAGGTACATATTCCGGATATACTGCCGGATCAATCTACGAGCTTACCCGTACGTACGAAAGTGATTGACGTAAGTCCAAGGCACACGGGTCAAAGTCCGCACACGCGGGTTCATAGTTATCACAGGTCCACCGATCGTGGGCTCTGATATCATGTCCAAGTCATCTTGGACTTCCATTTCAAAACCAATTGGTAATGAATGAAATGGCCTTTGAAACTTATAAACAGGTGACGATTCTTTCACGACACCGGTGTGAGATTCTTTATCCCAACAGATCCATGGTTACAACGTTGATTCAGATCCGGCCTTTTTCATCTTTTTTTCCTTTAAGGCATTAGACAAGTATGTCTGGTGTTGATGCAGCAATGAATCACAACATTTATGTGCATCTTCTGTTGGTTCAAGAAACAACAATTAAAATGCATTGCTAATTGCCTGATTGTATAACATATCTACATATATAGACGACGAATTGAATAATCGTTTATATGTAATATTTAGCAAAATATCACAAGGTTTTGATTCTTCATGCGCATCTTCGAATGCAACAGTAGTTGTTTTAAAAAGAGAATAAAAAGAACCCCAAAGTAGACCAAAACTATCCTGACTTCCTTGGAAACTCAGATGCCAAAAACTAACTTTACGCCAAACATTAACCTTCAAGAACCAAACCTAATTTCTACTTAAGACAGCTATTAACACCTAGAATTAATTAATACCATTAAATGTACCCATTTCTGGACTTTCTTCCTCCCTTCAATTCAAACCCATAATATCAACTCATAATTATTACTATTACCTCAACTTTTTGGAAAATCATTCAACCAAATTGCCATACTTAAGTACGAATTATTGCGTGATATATCAACAAAAAAATTTAAAAACTTTTTTGAAAATATAATTTGATGATAAATCACGGTCTAGATTTTATTTTTATTTTTTTACTACAGTATTTTATTTTGGTCAGTTCCCAACACACACGGCTTATAGTTTATACTGTTTTTTGGACAATATTAGTTCAGTTCAGCCTAACTGGTTTTACCGGCCGGTGGTCCACTTAAGGTTGTTGGACCAAGAGGTAGTTGCTAGAGTTTCATACTTGACTCAGTTTACTTTTATTTCCCGCGAGAATATTATTCCGGACACCCCCTTTTTATAATAATATAAAGAAAAAATCATTGATCTGAAAAAGTCCCACGTAGGTATCAAACAAGTCATCTATAAATAGACATTCATCACTTGCCTGATTTCACTAGATTCAGCTCTCTTAAATTAGTGTAAAAACCCCCAATTTGTTGAAGTTTCTTGGGTTCATTCTGAACGGTAAAGACTCCTTTATTTGAAATTTTATATACCATGATGTAGTTAGGATTTATCTAAATTGTGACTTCTGTGATGTTTAGGGTCTATGGTGTAGTTGTTACAGATCTGGGTTTTTCTTTTGTTTCCTGGATACGAAGTTTTTGCATTGTGATCTGTTTTTTTTTTTTTTTTTTTTTGGATCTGGGGAATCAATTGGTTGCTGTTTTTGTGTGTGTACAGGTTGAAGGGAAATGGCCCGCAAGAAGATCAGAGAATATGATTCCAAGAGACTGTTGAAAGAGCACTTCAAGAGGCTCGCTGGTTATGATTTGGGAATTAAATCAGCCCAAGTGAGTATTATGTATTGCAATTTCGGATCTCTTCTATATAATTGGGCGTTTTCTATGTAGTCATTCCTTTTTAAGAAATTTTCATGATTTGCTTCTCATAAGGCGTTTGATTCATAACAAAGAAATTGTTGTCAGTTTGATTTTGGAGACTATCTAAGTTGATTGAGTGAGGTTGCTTAGTGGAAGAAAGGATTGTGAGATACATTCCCAATGCCAGATCCCTTGCAGGGTTGTCTTAGAATTATCCGTCAAGTTGTTTGAGCTAATTTAGGGGTAACTTTGTCGGATCCAGTAGTGTACCTTGTCGAATCACATACCTCATGTTGGAACTCCTAACTGGTGCAATGTGATTATTGGATTGATGCATGAACACTGAATGCATTAGTTTTCATGGCAGCAAGCACTTTGGTTATCTCTTGATCTTGTGTCTCTTAATGTGTGCTAGGTTACTGAATCAACTGATTTCAATGAGCTAGTTGAGAAAGAGCCTTGGCTGTCCTCGACAAAACTTGTTGTCAAACCTGATATGCTATTCGGAAAGAGAGGGAAAAGTGGGCTAGTTGCTTTGAATTTAGATATGGCTGGAGTTGCTGCTTTTGTGAAAGACCGCCTTGGCAAAGAGGTATTGTTGATACCCTTATGTTCTTTAAATTTGTTTTATAATCTAGAATGAAAAAGTTAACTTCTTTTAGCGTATGACTTTGAGTTATCAGCCTTGAACCTGAACGAGCAATTTTAATTTCCCTTTCTTCTTATTAACAGGTTGAGATGGGTGGTTGCAAAGGACCAATTACAACATTCATTGTTGAGCCATTTGTACCTCATAATGAGGAATTCTATCTTAACATTGTGTCTGAGAGGCTTGGTTGTAGCATAAGCTTCTCGGAATGTGGAGGAATTGATATTGAAGAAAACTGGGACAAGGTACACTGAAATATGTTGTTTATGTTGTCAAATGTCTAGTACTCAGGACGATGGGAAACCCATTTATTTGGTAAAATTTTCTCTTTTTTGGTTACATAGCTTAACGATCATGCCTGTTCCTTTGTTCCACAGGTTAAGACCATCTTTGTGCCCACAGGGGTGTCTTTTACCTCAGAAGTTTGTGCTCCCCTTATTGCCACCCTTCCTCTGGAGGTAACCTGCCTAGCTTCCCTATTTTCTTCTCCTGTGTTAGTGCTCTTTGTAGTAGACCATTATTGTAACCTTGTATAATTAATGTTCTTGGATTTTGAAGTCAAAACAATATTAACAGAAGCATTATTTGGTGTTCAAATCTTTTTGATTTCTGTATTGATAGCTTTAATGCGTGCATCATTTTTCTGTATCGCAGATCAAAACTGTGATGGAAGAATTTCTCAAAGTAATATATGCACTCTTTTTAGGTATGGTTATAACTAAGTACGAACCACTTATCATATGATATTCAAATTGATCTGTCAATGACACAGCAAATGTTAATGTACCAGATCTGGACTTCACATTCCTAGAGATGAATCCTTTTACATTGGTTGATGGAAAGCCTTATCCCTTGGATATGAGAGGAGAGCTTGATGACACAGCTGCCTTTAAGAACTTCAAAAAGTAATATCATCTGCTCTTTGACTCATCATTCCATTTCAATGCTTGCTTTTGAGCTTATAAGATAAAACTTCGTTAGTAATTTCCACTTGACTCTTTTAATGATGTCCTACATCATCTTCATTTGCAGGTGGGGAAATATTGAATTCCCGTTGCCGTTTGGAAGAGTTATGAGTGCTACTGAAAGTTTTGTCCATGGACTGGATGAAAAGGTATTGGTTTGTTTTAATCTTATGAAATCAAGTTCAATAAAACTGACTGGTTCAACCTAGGGAATCAGACAGTTTGATTTAGTACAACAAAGAGAAATAAAAAAAAAAAAATCAGCTGAACATTTCAAGAATCCTGTTTCAAACTTTAACAAAGTGTTCAGATATTCTGTATTGCCTTATTCTTGGAAGCATTTAGCATTCCTACAGTCTTTCTCGAATTCGAAGTTTTCGCCTTTCTGATTAGAAAACGATGCTAACCGAGCAAGGGCCCTTTTCTGCTAACCAACAAATAATACTAAAGCTACATAACGATGCTATTCCTCTATATATCAAACCAAGATCAACAATTTCAGTTATATGGACATACTGTTTTCTGTGTGAATAATGTTAAATGAATCATTTGTATCCTACGGAATAAATAAAAATTGAAGTTGTTTTTATCAAAACTTTAATGAATTGCATGTACAACAAGTATCTAATTTGTTTTATCGAATTTGCCTAATGAAATAAATGAATGTACAACAAATATTTCCACTATGAGCAGATATTGTCTGTATCAGCTTTGTTCATTTTATCAAGTATCTCAATGTATAATGCAGACAAGTGCATCTTTGAAATTTACCGTCTTGAACCCCAAGGGAAGAATTTGGACCATGGTGGCTGGAGGAGGTGCCAGTGTCATTTATGCTGATACAGTATGTTTCTCATCCGTATCAAATTTTGCGTTTGAATTAAAAATTTTGTATTCTTGGCAATCTGACTTCATCTTGTATTGCTGACTTCATCTTGTATTGCTTTACTAGGTAGGAGATCTTGGCTATGCCTCTGAGCTTGGGAACTATGCTGAATACAGTGGTGCTCCCAATGAGGATGAGGTTTTGCAGTATGCCAGAGTTGTAATTGACGTAAGTATCTTCTTGTTTCATCCATTGTCCATTAATAACTAGGAACTTATACTAAATACAAAGCACATCGTGATTTTCCTGTTCTTTACAACATTCCATTTTTCCCCTCTTGTTTACAGTGTGCAACCGCAGACCCTGATGGCAGGAAGAGAGCTCTTTTGATAGGCGGTGGAATAGCTAACTTTACCGATGTTGCTGCTACATTTAATGGCATAATTCGAGCTTTGAAGGAGAAGGTAACAAAAGTCATGTTGACTATCCTGTGTTTTTCACTCTACTTGTCCTAGGAGAGAGAGATCTAAGTTACAGAATTCAACTGTAGGAATCAAAGCTTAAAGCTGCCAGGATGCAACTTTATGTTAGAAGAGGTGGTCCAAACTACCAGAAGGGACTTGCCAGGATGAGAGCTCTTGCAGAGGAAATTGGCATCCCAATTGAGGTAAAATTTAGCATTTCTCCTACTGATGGAAAACAATTTTTGCCCATATTTTCAACTGATAGGAAAACCTTAAAAAAGGGTTCATGGAATTGTTTCTGACAACTATTCCTCTGGTGCAGGTGTATGGACCTGAAGCAACCATGACAGGAATATGCAAACAGGCAATTGAGTTCATCACCGCTTCTGCGTAAACTTCCACATTCAATCAATCATGTCATCGATCTAATTCTTCCCTGTTTCATTTTCGGTTTCTACTTTTGCAGTGTAATGTATTGTGAAACTTTAGGAATCATGTATCATTTGTATTTGCAATTTTTACACAAGTAGCCTCAATAATATCCTATCTGAGCAGAGTAACCTTGAATGTTTTGCCCAATTGCCCAAACAGTGAAGGATTCTGGTATTTAGTACTCATTAAATTAAAAATCCTAAACTTAGGTCACAACTATAAAAAGGTAAACCAAATGTAGTTATAATTCATGTTCTAAAGAGACTACAAATGATGGTTAGCTTTCTATATAACGTAAGCCAGCTAAATTCCATCCAACGTAATCGCAGGGACTTTTCTTTCATTTCCCCTTGTGAGGAATTTGCAGATCTTCCTCTATACTTTTCCTAGGATTTGAAACCTTCAACTTCAAGCACTAATCCTTTGATTCCTTTCTTTCATTTTATTATCAACCTCAAAGAGAAATGCTCCTTTCTTTCCGTTTAAATTTGATACACAAAAGAGAGGCAACGCCTACTAACTCAACCAATCTAGCACATTCGGGATGATTAATGAATGTACATTGTGATGGAGCCAAATTGAACACTTTAATGCGCATCATGGTGCCAGCTGAAATAGACACCAAAGCCCCATTGGCCACCAATGAATTCACAGAATCAGCTTCAGCTAAATGTCTCTTCGATGGACTTGCTTCACCCGACCTGTCCCACATATTATCTTCAAGAGCTCTGGTCTTCTAGATGAGGAAGATTAGCTGAAGACCGGAATTATATTATGTCGCCAAAACGAATGATTAAAAAGTCATAATACATTAGAAAGGGACAAAACATGTATTTTTTAAGTTGGAAAAATAAATTGGAACACAAGAATGTAACATATTTCTTACAGTAAAAAAAAGAAGAAGCTAAAAAAAGGAGAAGCTGGTTCTATCCATAGCGTATCGATATGTTTTTCAATTTCGGGATAAGGTTTAAATTAAATACAGGATCATAGAGGAAAGTGATACATATCTGCAAACAATAGGAATTCTTCATCCAAAGACAATACTACTGGTGGAAACCGAGTCGAGACATAAATGAGGAGAATCAGAGAAATTTGTGGCATATAAATCATTACTCCTTCTGGCCCAAAATTATTGTCCAATTTGAGATTTCACTTTTAGTACAATTTGAACTAAAAATAAAAATTTAAACTGGACAATAATTATGGGGACGGAAGGAGTAATATATATGCCTCTATTTTGAGGTTCATATCCACACATCTGCAGCCTTAGATGAACTATACTATAAATATCCATATGCTGGATGTGATTAATGTTTAATGAAAAATCTGCATTTTGTGGTCAAAACGTAAATCTGCAGTTGATGTAAACATGAGCAGATAAGGTCGGATAAGGAGCGACAACATCAAGTTGTCCCAATAAAAACTAATAATAAAAATAGAAATAAAAAATTCTGTCTTCAGAAATTATTTTCTAAAAAAAAAAAAGTTCAAAAGCCCCGTCGGAACATTGCAGCGTCCGGTTAGGGTTTTAAGCCTTCAAGGTTGCTGAATTGCTTCAACAATCGGCTGTTCAAATTTGTACGCAGCGGTCAAGACACCCACCAAAATTAGTTAGTTCACTAACATTGGACATTTTTTTTTATTGAGAATATCATCCGATGTACACAACCCGTTACTTCGTCACCAAAGTTGCCAGTAACTTATAGCTACGAATACGATGCGCATTCTGTGATTATTTCACAAGGTTGAGATACTGCGATAAAAGGAATTAAAATATTTCGTTAAAATTTTATGGAACAACAAATTCCTTTTTTATTTTCTCTAATTCGCACACTCCTATGCCATTTCATATATGTGATTCGATCCCGCGACCTTAACAAACACTGCTCAAAAGTTAAATTAAGAGTATAACAAACACTGCTCAAAAGTTAAATTAAGAGTTAGGATCATTCTGCCAACTAAATATTACAAGTGAAAATTTAGACATGATAATCATTTTAAGACAAATGAAACATTTTTTTTTTTGATATTTGTACTAAATTATATGAAGTTTTTTATACAACGAAAAAAGCTGATGCCTGAATAAAATTAAATTATTATATAGTGAGATTACAATATTCTTATAACATGATGTTCTAAGTAAGGTTGGACCATACGGTGGAGTCTTGGTCGAAGACTATATGGGGCTTGTGTCACGGTCAAAGACTCAAAAAGGAGTAAACAAACCGTTGCGGACCTTGCGAAGAAGAAAAGTATCCACCATTTGAACCATAGCTCTTAACTTCATCTATGAGATTAGGAACGTAATTTTTATTTGCCGGTCGCAGGTCGGAATGTTAAAAGAGTGTCAAATACCATCAGGCATCAACCACTTGCTTTATGAGTAAGTATATACCTTTTGGTTCAACATTAACAAATTAATTAGTGCAATTGTCACGTTTAGCTTTCGCAATTAGTGCTTGTGTGCTAATTACACCATTCGGGTGGAACTTTATTTTCGAGTAAACATAAATATAAGTGGGGAAAAAAGAATCATTAGCTCAGCGGAAGGCTACTTTTTTTTTACTATAACACATTAATGTCCATACCTAACTTTGACAAGATTAATTTTGTTTTCTATACCAATATGACTCTACGTGGTCCAAAATCCTATCTGCCACCTCAAAAAATAAATTCAGGACCCAACAAAAGGAGTAAAGAAACTCGAAACGTTAGAGGTTCCATTTTCTTCTACTTCCGCTCTAATTTTTTATATATAAATACACCAATTTGAAGAGCCCTTTTGAACCATTTCTCATCAATTTCCCAGTCTATAATTCCTTATTAGCATTAAAATTAATTAATCCGACGTTGTCTTACGTTTGATCAATGGCAACAATTAATGCATCATCAGAAACATTAGTAAAAGTAGAAGAGGAACATCCATATCATGGAGACATACTAGAAGAAATACTATCGCACGTCCCGCTGATCGACTTGATTCCGGCGTTGCAAGTGTCAAAGTCATGGAACCAGGCCGTGTATTCCTCCCTGAGAAGCTGCCGGAATCCGCCCAAACCGTGGCTGATTCTCCACACCCAGTCCGCTCGCTACCCCTACGCCGCCGTCTCCACCCACGCGTACGACCCCCGTTCACGGCTGTGGATGAAGATATCTCAGCCGTCCACGGAGAACCCATCTCCCCTCCGATCATCCAATTCCAACTTTCTCTATATGTACCCGCCTTCTATTAATCTCTCCTTCTCGGTTGACCCGTTGAATCTGACGTGGCACCGAGCGGGGTCCCCGACAATCTGCCGGCTGGACCCCATCGTGGCCAAACTCGGCGGCTCAATCATCGTCGCAGGCGGCGCGTATTTCTTCGAAGACGACCCGTTGGCGGTCGAGATTTACGATACCAACAGCCGGGAATGGCGGAAAACCGAATCGATGCCGGAGGATTTGATGGGCTCGTCGTCTTCAACCTGGCTTTCCGTGGCTGCTACGGATGAAAAACTCTACGTCATGAAGAAACATTCCGGTGAATTCCACTGTTTCGACTTACAATCCAACTCCTGGTCTTCGCCGGGCAATCTTCGACCCGACCCACGTTGCTTTTACTCGGTCATTGGACACATGTTGGAAGATGACCGTCTGATTTTGGTGGGATTAATCCGGGACGTTGATGAGAAGGTTGAAAAGGTGAAGATATGGGAAGCGGTTAATTGTGATCGGAGCTTTGGGTACTCCTTCAGAGAAATAGGGGAAATGCCTCCGGGGCTTTTGGAGAAGTTAAAAGGCGAGAGTTCTAGAGTTTGTTCCATAGATATATGTACCGGAGGGAGCTTTGTGTATATCTATAAGCCGGAGGATGTGGCGGGGATAGTGGTGTGTGAGCTTGTGAATGGCGGCGCGTGCTATTGGGGTAGCGTGGGAAACCCGGTGGCTGACCGTGGCGGTGCTTGGGTTGTGTTGACCTGTGCGGAGGTCAAACTGGAGGAGCTACGGCGAGGTTTGAAGCTCAACGGTTGCAAGTTCGAGTACGTCAACGTTTGATTTTCCCGGTCAACTGCATAATGATATGATGTAATTTCCTGTTCTCTCCTTTTCATTTTTTTTTGGGTTGTGTTTGGGCGTGTAACTCTCCGTATGAGTGTTTTTCAACTTTTTAATACGCAAATAAGAATAAAGGTGACACTGTCTCCTTTCTCTTCTACCGTCTCATATAAAATACAAGATACTCGGATCTGACATCGACAAGCCGTAGAATCATAACCATCTTTTCATTTTGTCTATTTTCACTAGATAAATTGTCGAAGTATGTGGGATTTAGGAGTAAATTGCATTACCATTTTATTTTACGTTCTATAATAGGACTCTAGCTGCTCTCTATATATTGATGATAATGATTATTAATTAAAACAATATGTAAAACTCTAAATTCGGTGTACTGTAAAATAATTTAGTAGTCTCCGTACGAGAAAAATAATTTAATTTATTTAAATAAAATGATAACAAAAAGTATATTATTTTTGTTATTGGACATAGAAATATTAACTAGCCTTTCTTAGACGTGCATAACTGCTTCGTTGCATAGTCATGCAATCCAAGTAACCAACATTACTGGTCGAGACTTTTTTTTAAAGAAGAAGAAGAAGAAAAGAAGCGTTACCGGTCGAAATCGAATCGGGACAGAAAATGAGAAGAACCAGAAAATTAGGCCTAACGAATTCAACTGATAGCTCTTATCTGGTGTTCATCCACACATTATAATAGAAAAAAATGTTAAATTTATATAAATATGTTTTCACTGATTTATTTTTTGTTTTAAAAAGGGACCATCCATTCAGATTCACTTAATGTACTTAATGTTGTCTGAAATATCTGCATTTTGTGGCCAAAACGTATTACTAATTGATCTTTCAAGTTTCAAGGGTATGGAGTTGATGTTGCCCGTGACCATTGTGAGCAGATAAGGTCAAACTTAGGAGGCAAAAAATAATCATATCATTATAATCCAAACTTCCTTCTTTTCTCAAAAAATAAAGGTTAGTTAAAATAGTTATTGATTTAAAAAATTATCTAGATTATACAAAGTAAAATGTGTCATCTAGGTTTCGATTGTTACTTAGTATTGTTGTTAAAAAACTAAAGAATAGTTAAAATTGAAAAAAAAAAAACAACAAATTAAATTTTAAAAACATCAAATGTTTTAAGACCATGAGAAAATTTGTAAAAAATACCTTATAGTAAATTCACTTTTATGAGTTATGGACCGATTAAGTGTAAGAGAGAAAACAAGACACTCCTCATCGTATATATGGGCAATACAAAGAACAATATGGTGAACACACTCAATTTATCATATGTGAATGTTGGACTTAATATTTTTTTCTTTCGTTAAAGCCACAATACAACTCTAAAATTTTTACGCTCAAATTTATACTAATAAAAAAATATGAAATATCGGCATAGCAGAAACAAATTAAATCAAGGTTGTCACAATTAGTTAATGAATCATACACGTGAGTAGTACTAGAAGGAAATAAATGACCAACGGTCAAACAACATACAGCGTCCGTTTAAGGTTATGCTTCAACAAGTAATAGAGATGTTCAAATTTGTACAACTGCAGTCAATACACGACGCAATTAGTACAATTCACATTAGACTGTTTTATTTGTAGAGATTTGTCAAATATAAAAATCAGTATACGCCGAAAATAAGCCGGTTTTTTTTTTGTTTTTTGTACTAAAAGTTAACTAAAGCCTCCCCCACCACAATCCTGATGTTTTTAACAACAACTGGATCTTTTTTTTCTCTCTCTCTCTCTCTTTTTTTTTTTTTTTTCTATCTTCTCTCCATCAGTTTCAGGACGAAACGTTGTCTAATGTAAATGTGATGTATAGAAGAATGATGTGAAAAATGAATTACGTACGGTATAAAATTGGGAAACCTTTGACTATATATATGTAACATACGTCGCATTTTCCACGGTATTTTGTCACGGCGACAAATTCTAACTTAGGCCGTATATTTCATTCACGCATTTACGCTAGCTTACATAGTGCGACTCGGCGCACATGAACCCACATTTTCTTCTGTTATTAGTACTTTCTTTGTCCCAAAATTATTGTTCAATTTGAGATTTAACTTTTAGTACAATTTGTAAAAACCCAAACTGGATAATAATTATAGGACGGAAGGAGTATTATCTTTATTGACCAAATAAAAGAAAAGAAAAAAAAAAGCATCGTAATATTCGTGAATTCACGAACTTCATTTGTGTCGGTAAATGAAAAAAAAAAGAAGAAGAAGAAGAAAAAATCAATCTTCAATTCTCTTGTAAAAAACAAATATCCATTCAACTGTAGAACCGTAACTACTGTCTACTGCGAACTTGATCCATGAAATGGCGAACTTTTTCTACTTGCCGGTCGGCTGTTGGAGTATGATATCAACAACGAATTAATTCAATTGTCACGTTAGTAAATACATGCATGTTTTCATGAGTATATTTTAATAATTGAGTGGAAAAATTGGGAAAAAAAAAAAAACTTTTTTGCACTGTTTTCTTCTTGGTGACGAATCTTTTGCCGAATGAAAGCTTTCGGTAGAAGAAACTGACTAGTGGAACATGATATTTTTTGGTATCATAACTTGTTCGCTGATTGTCTTAAACAGACACCGGCATACCACATCAAACTAATTAATTAATCTGAAACCCTTACTTTCTGATGAAACATTTGTGAAATATATTCATTAAACAAGTACGCTTACAACATGATAATTGAAGTAACGATATGCGTAAACATTACATTATACACTTTGTATGTTATCAGATGACCGGAAAATAAACAGTAAAGGAAATGAAAAAAATTATAATAATTATTGGTTACATTTGGAACAATATTTACCATTAAACATTATTGAAAAATGCTTCAACCTTGTACTAAATTACTTTGACCTCACAAACTACAACCAAAACCAAGTAACTGTAATGTGACAAAACCAATATTGTATAAATTATGAAAAATCAAAGCTCACCTGAAAGCTATTTTTTTGGAGGATAATGAGATGTCTTTAGGTATTACGACTATTAGGCAATTTATTTATTTCTTTTGTTTTCTACACCAACACATTCCATTGCTGACACTGACTGTACGTAGTCCAAAATCCAACCAGCTGCCCAACAAGAAAACTCGAAATATCACCGATCGTTACATTTTTCTGATTCGCACCAAATTCTATTTAAATCAGCATTTTAAGAAACCTTTTGTTTACCTAGCCATAGATATTTTCTAACCGAAGTACTGTTCTCATCATTTCTACTGTTTTTTTTTCCCAACTTTTATAATTCTACAATAGCATTAATTCATCGTTGGTCTAACTTTCGAAAATGGCCGGAATCAGAGCCAGAGGATCAGAAACGGCAGTTGACGATGAAGATCCGATTTATGGGGACGTACTGGAAGAAATACTGTCGCACGTCCCGTTGATCGACTTGATTCCGGCGTTGCAAGTGTCCAAGTCATGGAACCAGGCCGTTCACGCCTCCCTCCGGTGCCGGAATCCGCCCAAACCGTGGCTGATTCTCCATACCCAGTCCGCCCGCCACCCCTACGCCGCCGTGTCCACGCATGCTTACGACCCCCGTTCGCACGTTTGGATGAAGATATCTCAGCCGTCCTCGGAGAACCCATCTCCCCTCCGATCATCCAATTCCAATTTTCTCTACATGTTCCCGCCCTCCATCAACCTCACCTTCTCGGTTGACCCGTTGACTCTGTCGTGGCACAAAGCGGGTCCCGCGACGACCTGCCGGCTGGACCCCATCGTGGCCAAAGTCGGCGAGTCAGTCGTCGTCGCCGGTGGCGCGTATGACTTCGAAGACGACCCTCTGGCGGTCGAGATTTACGACACCAAGAGCCGGGAATGGCGCAAGACCGAATCGATGCCGGAGGGTTTGAAAGGCTCGTCGTCTTCCACCTGGCTTTCCGTTGCTGCCACGGATGAAAAACTCTTTCTCATGAAGAAACATTCCGGTATTTTCCACTGCTTTGACTTACAATCCAACTCCTGGTCTTCGCTGGGAAATATTCGACCCGACCCGCGTTGCTTTTACTCGGTCATTGGACGCATATTGGAAGATGACCGTCTGATCGTGGTGGGATTAACCCGGGACGTGGATGAGAAAGCTGAAAAGGTGAAGATATGGGAAGTGGTTACTTGTGATCACAGCTTTGAGTACTCCTTCAGAGAAATAGGGGAGATGCCTCCGGCGATGTTGAAGAAGTTAAAGGGTGAAAGTCCCATTGATATCTGCATAGGAGGGAGCTTTGTGTATATTTATAAACCGGATGATGTGGCGGAGTTGGTGGTGTGTGAGGTTGTCAACGGCGGCGCGTGCAATTGGGGTAGCTTGAGTAACCCGGTGGCTACCGGAGATGCTCGTCTGTCGGAGAAGGTTACATTGACCTGCGTGGATGTCAAACTGGATGAGCTCCGGCGATGTTTGAGTCGGAAGATCGAGTACGTCAACCTTGATTTTCGTTGACTAGGTCAAACTGTATTTTTGACTATATACATGCTTATATGATATGATATCTGTTTTTGGGTGTGTTTTCTGAACGGACCTCTCTCTGTGTTTAGCTCGTCACCTGTTAAATTTGCATTAATTTTGTAACTTACTTCCAGTTTTAAGTTAATGTAAGCAAATGAAGGGGCGTAAATTTGTCAAATATTTGAATAAAATGTACGCGTAACTCTAAGCATTATAAAACTATTATGCAATGACGATCATGTTCTAATTCATCTAGACAAATCTTTGTAAATGGAGGGGTCAATGTGTTTTATGATCGCAGGGTCGGAAATTTATAGTGTTATTAATGAAGGTGATTGAAAATATTATGTTTCTTTGAATCGGGTTGTTTAGTTTGCTGACATGTTTTGAAAAGATAAAAATCAGGTGATTAAGTTGTTGCATATCAGATTATTGGAGATCTCGTGGGGAAATTTACATGTGGATGAAGATAAAATTGCTGAAACAACTTGGTTAACCCAACACCAAATGGTGGTTTTCAAAGTACACCCCAACGACAAAGATACAAATATTTTTAGAAGTAGTATTTCGAATCAAACTTTTTGTGACTAATTAAATTTTATAAAAGATCATCTCTCCCTAGTTGAAAAAAAAAAAAAAAAACCAACAAATTTTGTGTTATCTGATTCGGCATTGTCCATATCTGATTTGGCCTCTCCGCAGCAACAAAATTCCAACTGGATGATTGATATTTTGTTTCAATTAATCGGATACTTGTGTGGATCGCTATTATAACAAACAAAAATGTCTATCCTATATTTTTTTTTTTGTGCATGAAAATGACTCTGAGTGATACTTCTTTGTCCTTTCTTTTAGTAGCTTCTTAACTTGTTAAATTATTTCATTATAAGATTTAAGAAGTTTAATCCTATAATGCAATCCTCAACCGTCATTGTCATCATCAAAATTGATGAGTTAATACATCCGAAATTGATCAATTTTATGTAGTTCAAAGTGTTTTTACACTTTGTACACGTCTTATTAAGTACTATGTTATTTTAGTCTATACATAAATCTAGTATTCGTTCAACAATTGTACTTAATTTTGATTATATGATTCTAATTCTAGATGCCGGTGCGACAATCTGTTATTGTTACCCACTACATAAAGAGTATACATATACACTATTCAGTAGTGCTGATGTCGTTTGATGCTTCGAAGACTATACTCTGTGTATATATATTTTTTGAAATGGTAGATTTATATTGAAGGCGATGTTGATGAATTAGCAATGGTCTTTGTGTTTATTTCATTCATCCCGTTGTGTATAGTTTTTTTTTTTTTTTTCCTCTCCCGTTGTTTGGTCTTTTGTTGTTACAAGATCAATCTCTAGTTGGGTCAATTTAAAGCCCAAAAGTATACTGTGACCCACAACTGACTAGGCCTTTCTTCTAACAGCCCATTAGCTAGTTTTTAAATTTATCCGCAAAAACCAAAGAAAAGAGAGGATTTGTCGATTCGATAAGATTTTCATAAAAGACCGGGAAAATATATATATAAATATATATATATATATATATATATATATATATATACTAGTGATGTCTGGTCGCGCAATGCGTGATCCTGGCCCAATATATCTGTAGATCTTAGAAATATTTGTATCTGAAAAAAAATATTTTGTATTTAGCCCAATATATTTTAGAAATATTTGAAGAATTTTATAAATATTTTATAAGTGTGATGTTTGTATTTGGCAAAAAAATAAATTGTATTTGGCCCGGTACGTTTTAGAAATGTTTGAAGATTTTAGAAATATTTTATAAGTGTTACTTCTTAAATATAAATAAACTTGATCAAATATATGTCTTGAAGTAAATGCTAGACAAAATATAAAAGCATCCTAATAAGTTTAAATATTAGTAAGATAATTTATTGATGTTCTCCATTGGTCGTGCCAAATCAATACTTAGTTTTGGAGATTTGTAATAGCTTTGTAGTTAGCTTCCTCCAAAGGGTATACGCTTAATTGTTGGAACTATTTCTTCCAAAAGTTTATAGGTAGTAAAATATAAAAAATATGATTTTGAAACTGGTTAATTGTTGAAACTGGTTGATCACAAATATGATAATGAAAATAATATAAATTTGCATAGGTTTCAAGATATAGCAAAAAAGAACTCACCTCACCATGGCAAATAAAAAAAATAAAAAAAAGGTAAAAGATAGCCCATTAAAATTTGAGAATTTTTATTTTTTTCTGTAAGTAAATATGATATAAAAAAACACAAATAAACGTAGAAACATCATTCCTTTCCTCTCCACCTCAAATTCATAAAAGGATTCCCCATAAATTAGTTAAAAAAAGCGACCTGAACTATTTATATGATGAGGAACTAAAAAAAGTTCAAAAACCAAATCCAAAAAAGTATATTCTTGAAACCCCGAACACAAAAAAAGAAACATGCTTCATTTATAAATAAAATAATAATAATAATAATAATAATAATAATAATAATTGGTCAACTGGGAGTATGAAACAAAATAAAAAACAATTAAACAAAGAAAAAACACACTTCATATTGGCCATATACGAAAAAAAATCTGAGACTCCATAATTAAAAAAAGAAAACCACTCTAATTGAATAAAACATAAAAAACAAATTTAAAAAACCACAGTTTGTAACAAAAACCCAATCAATCAATTCAATCCAAATATACTTAAAATCATACAAAAAATTATAGGCTAACTAACCAAATAAAAAATCACATCATACTACCTGACAACGGCTACGGTAGCTGTAACGAATGGACGCATAAAAATAAGAGTAATCACATTATTCTTGAACGGGAAAAATAAAAAATAATAAAAGCCAAACCAATGATCTGTGGAAATAAAATCATTTCAATTTTAATACCTGTAATGGTACCACCACAACAGCCGAAGCAAGATCAATGAGAATTTTTTTTTTTTCCTTTGTGTTTATATAGAGAGGTGAAGAGAATATTTTTTGAAGTTCAAATTTTATCCGATTAAGATGTATTTTTTGAATGAAAATTTGAAGTTCAAATTTTAATTGTGGAGAAGGGATTGATTAAGGAGTCGATTGTCGTGGAGATGAGGACAAGGATTTGGGTTTTTTTATGGACCCGTGGTTTTTTTTGTTTGTTTTGACGAAAATAGGAAGTGATAGTGAATTTAGACTGTATTTACCTTTGAAATTTAAGAGATGTGGTAATAAAAATTTATTTTAAAAATATGATGTGGAAATGGCATATGACAAATAATGGTGATTTCTTTAAGTGTGGTTCTTGTTTCTAATATAGTAAGATATATATTTCCTCGAGAAATGGAGAAATATATTGGGAAAATTTTGCAAAATAGTTTTTGCCATATTTCAAAAAAATGGGGGGCCAAGTTGTTACAACATCCATCCACTGAAATGGGCCCATGCCCAACTAATTTCACCTTAAAGTGCAACTCCTAACGCTTTGAAATTGCGTCAATTAGCAAAACCAAAATCCAAAATCCTATAAGACCGTTCCATCTTTTCAGTTCTATACAACGTATGTTCCTTCAAATTGCAAACCGATGCTTGTGTCAAACCTCTTTTAGCTCATCGTATACATTTTAATGCATATCTTTTGGGTTGTCTTACATTCATCAAATAATTGTTACTCCCTTCGTTTTCCCCCAAAAAGAAAAATTGTTACTCCCTCCATTCTAAAATAAGTATCGTTTTAACAAAATAGATAAATTTCAAAATAAATAACGTTTTCTGATTCTAATGCATTTTTTATCCAAAATTTTTAAACATACCCTCAAAAGAAATAATACTATTGGTAAAGATTTATTTTAGTGGAGTCGTTTGAGAATATTCTAATAATTTAGCTACCTATTTAAGTGTTTCTTAAATTGTGTGCAAGTTTTAGAACGATACTCAATTTGAAATGGAAAGAGTAAGAGTATGATTACAATTTCCTCGCGTTTACTACTTAACCAAATTAACTCTATCCAGAAATTAAATGTAAGCATTTGAGAAGTGCTGGAATTAATTCTCATTTTGATCTGTCATTGTCTTTTCCACAAACTCCAATCATTCAAAAGGGTAGAAATTGATGTTTGGGGGGTCTTCATTTATGTAACCTTTATTTATGTTATTTTCAGTACTGTAGATTGTTTGAGTATTGAACAAATGAATCAGTACTATTTGGACTTTTTTTTTTCATTCTTAAAATCAACCCCCACACAACCCCCTCCCCCTTCTTTGTAATTTTCTACATTATCGATGGAGATAAGTGATGCTCAGGTAAGATTTTGAGGTTGTAGAGTGGTGTCTATGTAGCATGCTTTTGAACTCCCAAAACGAAGCAAAACAAAAAAAAAATAAAAATACTGCCATTAAAAGGCGAAATGGGAATTGAACCTCGGGGAGTGGAATTGGAATTCCACATTTCACAAAACTGAAATGGAAGAGGCCTATGAACAAGATTTTAATATTAGTCTCTGGGTCCTAGCTTTCACTAATTTATTTTTTTAAAAAATAACAAAATGCAACCATTAGCCATAGTATATATAGATCAGAGAATATTTCAGGTTTTCCAACGCGACAAAAATACCCCCCCCCCCCAAAAAAAAAAGAGAGATTGGGTTCTACAATTTGAGCACATTAACGCATTCATCCCATTAACATTATATAGAGATGCATTCGCCCTATACCTGCCGCTTTACAATACTATTGTTTAAGCCACATCATCCACCCACCACAAATATTATACACCAAAATGGTTTTGGAGTTTTCTTACTATCTGTTTCAAAAAAAAAAAAAAATCAATCTCAAAATTGAATATGTACTATTTTTTTCTTAACCAAAAAATAAATAAAATATGTGCTATTTTTTAAGATAATTTTTCTTTGTAGGCATGAAATTTTAATTTGCTACGCTATGCATGCAGATTTGCCTGACGTTGTTAATCTCATCCGACAGTATTGCTAAAATTAATCTCTTATTAGACTTTACGTAGATCTTGCATCTTTCTCTTCATGATCTGTTAGGTCTGGAGAAAAGTAACCTAAAATCTTAAAATTTGTTGTTAGGTCAACTAAAGCCATGACATACGAATAATCGACTTTGATAGCTTTTGTTCTTTGTCGTCCGTGATTTGAACCAGAAACGTTAATTAATTAGTACTAGTTGTTCTACTCACTTCCTGGATTTGAAGAAAGAATACTATTTCCTTTTGGGTTAAAAAAAATTCTATATTAATTAAAATAAATAGTACACAGTCTCTTGTATCTCATTTGCCAGTCGCATCATCAACTCAAAAGTCTCAAATACATAAACTCACAGATTACATAAAAATATAATTTTAAAATAATTAAATAATAACTATCTCATTTTAACGTATATTTTAATATTTCTAATATACTTTTTTTTTTTACCTTCTTATTATGAAAAATACTTAGAAATACACAGTGAAAAAATGATCTAAACATAACCTAAATCACCCTTGTCAAGTCTTGAATGCCGGGAGTGATGCAAAATCAGTATTATTCAACATGATACTCCAACATACTTTAATTTAAGATGTCTAAAAATTAGTTAGACAGTCGATCTTTACTATTCACTCTGTCTCAAAATTATTATCTACTTTGAGATTTCATTTTTAGTACAATTTGAACTAAAAATGAAAATCCAAACTGAACAATAATTATGGGACGGAAGGAGTATATGGTACTGAGAAAAATTAATAGAACTTTCAAATCTCTACCTCCTATTAAAAGGAAAAATGTCTCCTACTAATATCACAGAAACTAAAAACAGAACAAAAGGAAAGAAAGAAACTTATCCATACAGAATGTATCAATATTGATCCAATTTGGAGTGAACTTTTTTTTTAAATTTATTTGTTTTTCTTGGACTAAGGAAGAATGCCATACCCATAGTCCATAGATACAGCTAGGGCTGAGGAGAGTGGCCAAGATGGAGATGGTTTGGTTTTCATGGAGGAAGGCGCATGTGGGGATGTGTTAGTGTGACCAGATTCTCCCTTCTAACATTATCTGTCTGCTTTCACAGCATCCAACAAACACAGAATATATATAGCAAAAGCAACAAAAGAAGGGGGTGGATTTTTGAAGCCCCCACTTTAGGTAGTCAAAGCCACTAAAAAAGAATTGGACCATTTTGTCCTTGTTATTTTGGCCCTGCCACTCGGACCGAATCGGACAAGTCATTCGGTCCGATTCACGTAAGAACGGACAAATTATTAATTTTTAATTTAATGTTAGTTTATTCACAGTATCATTACACGTTAAATATTTCGTACTTTAAATATTATTAACAATATTTATACTTTAGTGCTTAAACTCTCGATTTTATATTTACTTGAAAATAAATAAATAATTAATTTTTACTTACAAAAAAATTTAAGATTATTTGTTAAGTTAATTTATTTGAATTGATATTAAAATATAAATTTTACTTTAATCATTATTTTAAAGATAATTTTTAGTTAAAATAATAATTATACATTTATAATGAAAAATAATAATTGTACCACAAAGATTGTGACAAATATGTGCAAATAGATTAACTATTTTTTTGTACTACAAAGATTGGTGATATTTAATGTAACTCAAATAATAAATTGTTAATAATTTAATGACCTAAAAATTAGATTAACTAATTACAATAAAAAATTTAAAAATTAAAAAAATAGCAATGAATCCGATTGATATTTTTTAATTTTTAGACTTTTTTAAATAACAAATATTGTTATTTTTTAATTATCAAAAAATAAAAAAAATAAAAAAATTAAGAAAAAGGGCCTGACCGGTCATATTGGACCGACCGGGACTGGACGAGCAATCCATTTGTCCCAGGTTAACACGGGACGGGCAAGGAATGCGTCCTCTTGTTCGCCTGTTCGTTCATTGCGCGTCCTGGTTTAATCCGGGACGCGCAATGAACACGTTCGGGCGAACAAGAGGATGCGTTCCTTGCCCCGTCCCTGGTTAACCCGGGACGGGTGAACCCCCCGGTCGGTCAATTTTTATTTTATTTTTTAAATTTTCAATTTTTTTAATTTTCTTTCTAGTCAAATTATTTGATTTAAAAAATTATAAAGGTAAAATAGTCCAATTTTAAAATATGTGGCTTCAAGTAATAAAAATGTTGGCTTTGAAAATAAACACCCCAAAAGAACACAAACTTCTCTCCCCACTAGCTATTAGCACTCCAGGCTCATTTACATATACTGCAATTCTGTTTCACGCATTCTTTTGCGTTGGTTTTCCAAATCACCCCTTTTGTTTACCACTTTAGCCTATTAGTATAGTAGTTAGTTCCTAACACTACTCTCTCTAGTCTCTACACAATGACAATAGTATGACTATTAATTGAAGGAGCAGTTGTTATTATACTAAACAATCCAAAGTTTTGGACAACATAACTCAGTAATCAGTGCCAAACCTGCTTGCACCCAAATTGGTTCTCCCACTCGCGTATAAACAATCTAATTTATCTTTTTACATTTTCAATATACCTTTTTATATTGTTAATAAAAAAAATATATTTAAAAAAGGCTGCAAACATGGCTTAAGTATATAAATTGTTCAATGTTCAACGAAAATATATTTAGATCGCTTTTTTAGTGTATGTTTTTAAGTGTTCTTTCCATTATAAATGTAGAAAATTATGTAAGGACGAGACAATTAATTATACCACGAATATCTCCACTTGAGTTCAAGAAAACTCTAATCTGAAGATTTGCGATTGGAAGGAACGTTATTATGTTGGAATTGTGTTCTGGAATCATCATCTAAAAGAAACTAAAAAGTGTGCATGCACATCATGTTGCCAAACGAACCAATTATCAAGAAGTAGGTGTACCTCCAATAAAATATGAATAAAACATGAACAAACCACATCTAACCTCCACCAAATTCCTCCTAATTGAGTGGTTTTCAGTTTTCATAGTGATGCAACATAGATACCGGTTTCATTCGTGATTTGTACATGTAATAATCATCAACAATACAATATTGCAATTTTTCTATCTACTTTTAAGTTAGAAAACATACACGAATTATCCTTCCCGATTAGTGATGCGATATGATCTTTTTCTCTATAACATCCGATTTTTTTTCCATGACTCCTTGATTTTATTGTAATCAGCATTTAATCATGATTTTTTTTTTTTTGTAGCAAACACCGTAATATTATCGTTGCACTCTTACTTGAAACGTTTCTTTCATAGTTTTCCTTTTTGCCTTTTTGAGTCAAAAACGTTTTGCTGTGATGCTGACTGAACTACAGGGTACAATCCATATTGGAATACAGTAACTAACAGTGGGGGGTCATTGGGTGCAGAAACTTTAACAGAAATTATAAAAATCATTTCCATCTATATTCTCTCCAAAACCCAATAAAGAAATCCAAAAAAAAAAAAAAAAACCAACAAAAAAGACGTCGACAAGCCAAGCACGTGACCTGCCAAAATACTTACCTGCCATAAAGAAAAAAATATTTTTTTCTGCTATCTTTGCCTTTTTGCTTTTGCTTTTAAGACATCCCATTGTTCTTTCTGATCACATCCCTTCAATCCAATCACTGCTTTAAAGGCAATCAATTCTTATTTTTCCTTTGGGTTCCCAACAAGAATTACTGTTTACTGGTAGTACTATTTTCATTGAATATTTCACTATAGTTAATTTACAAATAATCGCACAAGTTGTCCATCTTTTAAATTTATCCCCCGATACTATCTACATTATTTTGATAAAAGAAAAAATAGGGTTTTAGAGTTATTTTAAATATCTATTATGTGAACTAAAATATAATTCGATAAAGTGAATTAGGAAGTGATATTATTTTCTGATGATCTAATCATCTAATTACAGGAAAGATGTTTGCAGTATAACTTTATTTATTTATTTTTTTAATAAAGATAGTATTTTTATGTGTGTAGTTCAGACATTTCTTACAGTGCCCACATCTACATCTGTGAACGTTTATAGGCTTTTGGCATTACGTTTTGGCGTTTTTGTGTGTTTGTATCTTTCCGTGTATAAAACATCTCCCACCATTGGAATAAGAAAACAAGTTCAGATTGGGATGTATATAGCAGAAGAAAGAACAATGATTGTGGTGCTTAAGAACTTTGTGACGAGAAGGAAGGAAGGGAAGGAAGCTTAAGTAAGGATAAACCAACATAAAGCCCACTTGGGAATTTTGTGGGGATTAGTTCCTAGCACATGAAAATCACACCCCCAACATTCCCAGATCTCAAGGACTTCCTGAAATTCCTGGTTTATTTCTCGAGGAAATTCCCTTTATTTTTTTTTCTCACACTCCAAATGCTGCTCGTTTAGTTCATCATCCTGAAGGATTAAGTGCATAATTGTGCAAAGGCTGCAACTTTAGTACAGCCCACCTCCAGTTTCTGGAGTTTTTGTTGTTTTTCCGGAAGAGCATTTTTGAGGTGCTTCTTGAGATAAAGCGAAAGGAGAATTTTGTGTTGAATTGAGTTTCTCTTGCTGCTGACTGCTTTTCTGATGGTAGTTTTTTCAAATCGGTCAATGTTGAGTTGGTAAATTTTTGAAGAAAAATGGGTGCTGCAATAGTGGTTGGATGTTATTTTTTGTTTCAGCAATTATTGAATTTGATGAGAAAGTGAACTTGAGGAGGTCAGACTAGTGTTACTCTTCTGAAAATGGGAAACAATTGGTATTTGTCTCTGTTGGGGCAAGCGGTATTGATGGTGGCCACATTAATTCCTAGTTCTTTTGCTAGTCTTTCTCCCACTGGCATAAACTACGAAGGTTTGTTTCAGTTTAAATTGCACCGTTTCTTATTGAGTGTGTGTTTCATATTTTGTGGTATGACTTTACAAATTAGAGCAAAAACAGAGATCCTTCTTGATGAAATGAAACTGTTCCATAAGAAAATGCAACTTCTTAGTCCTTATTTATCTACATATGCTCGTTCATGTTTAGTCGCAGCATGTGGTTATAAATTGCTTATTTGCTGTTCTTCTAATTATATGCAGTTGTAGCTTTGGTGGCCATAAAAAATAGTCTGAAAGACCCTTATAATGTGATGGAAAATTGGGATGTGAATGCTGTTGATCCCTGTAGTTGGAGGATGGTTACTTGCTCTGTAGATGGTTCTGTCTCTTCAGTGTAAGTTTGCTCAGTTTTAACTCCTGCGAAGTTGAATAGGAGGAAATTTGCATTATTGATGTTTAAATTTTTTATATTATCAGAGGACTACCCAGTCAGAATTTATATGGCACATTGTCACCTGCAATAGGAAACCTCTCCAAGCTAGAATCCGTGTAAGTTATCAAGTTTCTAGTTGTATTTGTTTCATCCTCATGGCTGGTCTCTGTTGATTTGGATGAAGACAGGTCGTGCTTCAATGTGTTGGAACTGATTGTTTTGCTATTCGTAACATAGGTTATTGCAGAACAATGCCATTTATGGTCCTATCCCGGCTTCAGTTGGGAGGCTAATCAAGCTTCAGACACTTGATCTATCCAACAATAGGTTTGAAGGAGAAATACCAAGCTCTTTGGGTGACCTCGAAATGTTAAATTACTTGTGAGTTGACCAATATTTGTATATGTTTTCATTCACAAACTCACTTGACTGCTCTAGAGTTTTAAGGTTGTTTCTCTGTTGACTTCTTTTCTGTTATCTTCTTGAAAAACTTAGGCGGTTGAACAACAATAGCCTTTCTGGATCGGTTCCTGATACTTTGTCCAATATTGAAGGCCTTAACCTCGTGTGAGTCAGAACTTTTGCATTTTTGCTTTAATCAATATGTCCTACCACTATGGTGTGGAAGCCTTTCTTTTTTCTCTTCCTTTTTTTTCTGTTAAAAAAAAATTTTGATCGGACCCTTATAGCTAATAATTGAATGCAGGGACCTTTCCTTCAATAACCTTAGTGGCTCGTTGCCTAAAGTATCAGCTCGAACATTTAAGTGAGTCTGTTCATAATCTCTTCCGGCTACTTAGTATTTGTGTATTTGTGAATCAGATTATTTCAGTCGTCTGATAATGTGTTTGTTATGCTCAGGATCGTTGGAAATCCATTAATCTGTGGACAAAGCTCACATAACAATTGTTCAGTCTACCCAGAACCATTGCCCTTCCCCCCAAGTGGTGTTGCAGGTTTGTGGTCACTGAATATCTAGCATTTTGGCACCAGAAAACAAAATGTTTTGGTTTTTTTTTTTTTTTTGGAAGAACAGTCATCCTTGCAAGATTCTATCTTGTGTGATTTAGTTTAATGCCCTCGATTAATTTTTTTTTCCTCAACCTTAGGTTCCGCTGGAGCAAACCGTCACCATCTGGCAGTTGCAGTAGGTGCAAGCTCTGGTGCTGTTTTCTTGATCATAGTCATTGCTTTACTTGTTTGGCGGCGATATCGTCACAACCAGCAGATTTTCTTTGATGTGAATGGTTAGTTTGACCCCGAACTTTCATAGTGCTGTCTTATATTAGAACTATACAACTCATTCTCATACATGTTTCACCTATTGCGGTTTTCTCCTGTTGATTTGCCTTCTCAAATTCTGTCTAGCTGGGAATTATATACATGCTAAAACATGTCTAATAGTTCCCTTTGTCTCTTCTTTCCTGAATGATCCTGCCACATTTGCGTCAGTTTAGAGCACTATGATGTTGAAATGTCCACAGGATTTATGTTCCGAGAGCAACGTTTTTCATTTTTCATTATTGTATAGTCAATGAAGAAGCAATATGAATATGTTTCTCTCAACCATCTTAGTTTCTTGAGCAAAATTAATTTAATATCTCAAAGTATTTTTCAGAGCTTTCTTTTGTTCTCGTGTGTGGCACTGCTCATGTTTACACTGTGCCCTCTGTTACTTTACCTCCATTGCAGATCAATATGATCCAGAAGTTTGTTTAGGTCATTTACGAAAGTATACCTTCAAAGAACTTCGGGCTGCCACTGACCATTTCTCCTCTAAGAATATACTTGGACGTGGAGGATTTGGGATTGTGTACAAAGGAAGGCTAAATGATGGCACTGTGGTTGCTGTCAAAAGATTGAAGGACTATAATGCTCTTGGGGGTGAAGTACAGTTCCAAACTGAAGTAGAGACGATTAGTTTGGCCGTTCACCGGAATCTTCTCCGTCTTTGGGGGTTCTGCTCAACTGAAAATGAACGTCTTCTAGTGTATCCATATATGCCAAACGGGAGTGTCGCAGCTAGATTAAAAGGTTTGCTTAATTTTGTTTTTGCATGAATGTAATTGCCTGAAGTTACTAATATTATTGTAGTTTTGATATCCTAGTGTCTGCTTAGTGATTGACTGCCTGCAATCTATTTCACATTGGTCTGTCATGAGATACTCTTAAAAATATTATTTGTTGGACATTGCTCTTGAGCTATTCTGATTCTCTGTCTTGGTTCTTGCAGATGACATCCATGGGAAGCCGGTTTTAGACTGGTTAAGACGGAAAAAGATTGCTTTAGGCACAGCAAGGGGTTTAGTGTATTTGCATGAACAGTGTGATCCAAAAATTATTCATAGAGACGTCAAAGCCGCCAACATTTTGTTGGATGAAGACTTCGAGGCAGTTGTTGGAGATTTTGGGCTTGCAAAGCTGTTGGATCACCGGGAATCTCATGTGACTACAGCAGTCCGTGGCACTGTTGGTCACATTGCTCCTGAGTATTTGTCCACCGGTCAATCATCAGAAAAGACTGATGTTTTTGGTTTTGGGATCTTGCTTTTGGAGTTAATTACTGGCCAGAAGGCTTTGGATTTTGGGCGGGGAGCTAAGCAGAAAGGCATCATGCTTGACTGGGTAAATGCTTTCTCTTTTAGTTTCTTCCATATTTGCTTGTACATAAAAATATATACGCTCAGAAAAGAGAGTAAAGTCAAGTTGTCGAGTCAGATGCCCCTGATGCCTAAATAATATGTAAATCAAGACCATTTTGAGCCTATCTCTCAGTCTTCAGTCAATAAAATGAGAACAGGTTCTGGGGATGCTGTAAGTTTGGAAGCAATAAGCTTCCACTCCACTTTCTCGTTTGAAGTGGCTGTCTGACCTTTATTTATTTGAAAATTCAAGAATTGTTCATGGGTGTACTTCTTTAGTCATGTTGTTTCTGCCATTAATGGAATGCTTTCATCCTGGGATCTGTGTTCCAGGTCAAGAAGCTCCATCAGGATGGGAAACTGGAGCAAATGGTTGATAAGGATCTAAAGAACATATACGACAAAGTTGAGTTGGAAGAAATGGTTCAAGTTGCACTCATATGTACTCAGTTCAATCCTTCTCACCGTCCCAAAATGTCCGAAGTGTTAAGGCTGTTAGAAGGCGATGGCCTGGCTGAAAAGTGGGAAGCATCCCAATCACATACATCCGAAACTCCCAGATTCAGAACATTTGAACATATACCTCAAAGATATTCGGACTACATTGAAGAATCATCATTAGTGGTTGAAGCAATGGAGCTTTCTGGTCCCAGATGACATCTGTCGTCATCGTTCTTCCTCGGGTTACACGTTCTTTTCCTTGGTTTAGCTTGGGATTCAGATGATAAATATTAAGCATAGGGTGGTGTTGATAGCTGTTGGATGCATATAAATATGTTGGTTATATATTCTTCTGTAAAAAGAAGTGAGAGTCCTGTATAAAATCACTGAGTAGTTTTGCATTATGATTATTAGATACCAGTTGGGTTTGTAGATCATTTGTCCCAAAATTTTGAGTTTGCTGTAATTATTTAACAACCAACGCGATCTGAAATTTTGGGTTTGTAGATCATACCCTGAACAAGATCCGAAATTTGGGCTTATAATGGGATGATTGGGTTTCTGTCACAGAGGTCAGTAGATTCTGAGCTTCTGACCTCTTGAAACCCAAATGCATAACTGAAGAACAAAAGCTACTATAATTGTGCCGATGACAATCAGGTTTCATTGACTGATCCAAGTGTAGCCCAATATCAAAATTGAAAACCAAATTTTGCTAACAAATGCGCTTGCCTGCTTGGGTGTCAGTGGATTCCTCAGTCCATTAGCTGTGAGAAGCTTTAGGATTCTTCGCATTTTGTTACTTGAGGTAATCGGTGTTTAAGTGAATGAACACCTTAACAGCTTCCAACGTTGTCCAGTTTCAAGAATAGCTTTTTGAAGCCTACTTGTCCAGCAATTTGGCTGAAAAATGCGGCCCAGATCTCCGATTGGTGACAACAACATTCTCCCAGGTTTTCTGGACAAGTCCACCTTCTATCCCAACTCTTGAAGGATATTTTGTTATTAAATAATTGTATAATTTTATTAAAAACAAAATGTATAAATTTTTTTAAAGAAACTGATTGATTCCAAAGAGGGAGATGCCTGAAAATAGTATGTGACCTGCGAATCGGTAATAGTATGTGTTGTTACAAATTGTCATGGTAAGTAGTAACTGAGTAAAAATACAGTATTTATTCATCCTCGAAATGATTGTCAAGTTCATGGTTTTATAATGAGAGTGAAAATACAAATAAAATAACCATTTTGAGACAATTTTGCTTTGGTTAGTTTTTTTTTTTTTCTTGATTTTCTTTTAAAGGAGCTCGATCAGTACACGCCTTTGTTTATAGTAGTCCCAAGGTAAATGTAAAAATTTCAACAGTCGAATTATGCACGGGAGAAAAGCAACACTTGAAATACATATATTGAGCAGGTGTAATAATGAATGGATCGAGTAAGAATGGCCAAAAAAGCATACATAAGCAAATAACCTCTTGCTTTCTAAACGAGAAGTCATCAGCCAAATGAATAACTTAGTATTGTGCCCGTTGTATTTTTTTTGTTATGTAATAAAAATTCTTTTATATTTATTCACAGAAAATCCTCCAATAACTATTGATAGTAAAAAAAAAATAATTTACTTTCATAGTCACACATATCATTTCTCTCTTGTTATCAAATAATATTATAATACTCAAATTAATTACAATTATATTATTATCTTAGACAATTCTTCCAAAAATTTGTTTAAACTTGAAGTTTTAATTGTAAGGAAGTGATAGGATTTGAAGTTGTAACCATACGATTAGTTTTTTTTTTGTAAGAAAAGTTTATAAACGATTTACAGTAGAACGTCGATAAATTAATAATTGATAAATTAATAACATCGATAAATTAATAATTTTCTCCGGTCCCAAGTCGGGATTACAAAAAACAAAGACAATCGATAAAATAATAAGATAATAATTTTTTTAAAAAACTCCTATGTAAATACAGGTCCTTCAATATCATAAATTAATAATGACTTAAAAAAAAACACTACGAGCTTGAGAATCAAAGTATTGTAGATGTTATGAATTTTTTGCATTATGTATCCAGCCATTGATGGGAGTTTAAAAATTTCTCAGAAAAAGATCTCTTTTAATAGAGGCATGTTATGTAGATTAGGTAATGATAAAATTTAAACTAATGGTGGAGTCTAAATTCGAATGCCTATTGGACATAAGGGAATAAAAGAATATAAATCTTATATAGCTAAGCTTAAAAGATTAATAAGATTCTTTGGAATTTTTTTAAATTAATATTATTGATTAATCGATAAACTTATAACTATTAATAATTATCGATAAATTAATACATTGATAAATTAATAATTTACTAATTTATCAATAAATTAATACATAGATAAATTAATAATTTTTTGAGGTCCTAATAGTATTAATTTATAAATATTTAACTGTAATTCATATTATCTTATCTTTAGGATAATACATGTAATTTCCATATATCTATCGTAATTAATTTAAAATTTTAAATTTCTCCATTTATCGGAACAGTTTAATGAAAGTAAAACATGGTGATAATATGTGTCACTGACTTTCTACTGCCTATGAATAACAAAGTTGCATACTCATAACAAAAATATCGGTATAAATTACATTTTCTTCAAATTTATCACAAAGAACTATTAAGTTAGCTAAGAAGAATTACCATATCATTTATAAGTAGTACTCTTGCATCCTATAAAAATAGTTCAATTTGAAAAATTAATTAAAATTTATAAATTAAATGACTTGATCTTTGACATCAAAGAACTAATATGAAATCGAATAAAATATCATGTTTATTCATCAATTTTTACAATAACTCCTTGATGGTTTAAAATTTCATAAATCAAATTTGAAACTCTTAACTTTTAAAATGGGATTATGAGAAAATGGTGATTAATAGAAGAAGTAATAAACTTGAGTGTTTGAAAAGAGCCAAGGGGAAAGGTGAAAATTATAAAAGTACAAGAATGAGGTTTAAAAATTAAAAAGGGCTATCGGAAATGGCGTGGCCTAACCTGGGAAACACCAACCACGTTTTATTCAATCTCTCAGATCTTCTCAGGACATTTGCCCTTTCTTAAGCAAGTCTCACTATTAAAATTTATCAAAGAATTAATATTAAAAATATCCCCGAATTTATTTGATTATCTAAAATATTCTTACTAGTTAAGCAAATATTTAAAAATAACCTTTAACTGGTAAGTCAATTATCAAAAGGGTTTTTCGACGATCAAAAATTGATGTTTGGGTATGAATTTAGCCAAAAAAGTATCTAAAAAATATTTGTACTTCGTTTAACGCTCTTTCCGATTTTTTATAAAATCAAATATCCACTTTTTAAATAAAAAATTTCAGCTTTCAACTGCCCATAAAATTGAATTTCCGGTGTAAAAGCGAATGTTTGATTTTATTAGAGTTTGGGAAAAGATCGCGGATGATTTTTTGAGGGTACAAATAGATTTTTTGGTACTTTATTGGCTGATATCATATGCATTGATAATTTCAGTAGTCGGAAAACCCTTTTGATAATCGACATGCCTGTTGTGGGGTATTTTTCATATTTCGTTAAACAATATATGTATTTTAGATAATCAGCTAAACCTAGGGGGTGTTTTCGATATTAAATTTAAATACAGTTGTAAATCAAATGTAGTAAACCAACCGCCAACGCTTTCGAATACGTGTCAAACGGCGCAGGTTTTAACGTAATCTTATGAACCCCCCATCTGTTTCATCTGAAGCAAATTGCATCTGACACTTCTGTTCCCTCACAAATCTTGGTTCCCCCACTAATCCCATTTATTTACTGTAAATCTCAATTCACAATAAATATAGCCCCCCTCCCCCCTCATACATGTTTTTCCTTATACTATTACACTTTTGACGTATTCTAGATTTTTGTTACTTTTTATTTTTTGAGCTAACAGCGAATATGATCATTTTTGGATTGGATGTACTTGTTCCGTTTCAAAATAAGTTTCGTTTTAACAAAATAAATCAATTTCAAAAGTAAATATCATTTTCATATTTCAATATACTTTTTGTCTAAAATTTTCAAAACTACCCTCAAAAAAATTAATATTATTGGTAAATAATTATTTTAGTGGGTTAGTTGAGGATATTCAAGTAATTTTACTACCTTATTTAAGTTTTTTTTAAACTGTATGCAAATTGTAAAACGACATTTATTTTGGAATGGAAGGAGTACAAATGTAGAATATGAACTAATACGTAATAGTTATTTTGATCCTTAAAGGTTTTTATTAGAAAACCGTACTTTTTGTATGCGAAAAAAATATTTTTTTATACTTTTCACTTAGACCTAATTCGGATCATTTTGAAAGCTAATTTAAAACTTTAAACAACAAAATGTTGCAGTTGGTAGTGTAAAGATTATTTCAGGATCTAGACAATAGTTAGGGGTGTAGATTACAATAATCTATAGGTACTATTTCATGTATATATACCTCAACTAAATAAAGTCTGAAAAAGTAAAGAAAGTCAATAAAGATTGATCGCATCTTCGCTGAACTAATTAAATGCTGAATTAATTTCGGAGCCATTTGGGGAAAATATTATGGGAAAGGAACCTAATATTTTGCCATGTGTTTGGTTTTTGGTATTAAATGTAGACCTTTGTATAAGCTGTAAAAAAAAGTCTCGATCAATTATCACCTTCATAGATAACAATCTTCGGGATTTTGTGAATTTACATTTGGGTAAAAAAAATTTTGTAAAAAGATAAGTTGACCATTTAGCCGCAGTACAAAAAAATAGAAAAGAAAAGAAAAGAGAAGAAAGCTAAGGAAAATTGTAGAAAAGAAAGGAAAAGAGAAGAAAAGAAAAGAAAAAAAATACAAAATTAAAAAAAAAAAGAAAAGAAAAGAAAGGTAAAAAGAAAACCCTACAGTACCATTTGTGCTACATAAACTCTGTTTTCATCAACGTTTGCATTCATCGAGGCGAAAAAAATATTTCTAGAATTTCTTCTTCATTGACACCTTCGTAATATCCGTACACTTCCAAGTTCCTGCACCGACATATTTTCAATTCCTACATTTTTTCTGTCCCTTTTTTTTTTCATATTGAGAGAGGAGAGAAGCAAGAAACAGTTGAAGGCTTTCACATTGCTTGATTGGTGAATGGTGATATGGTGGAAAAGAAGAATTAAATTTTTTCTGGGATTTTTTTTTTGTGGGTTTCTGAAAGAGATTTGCAGTATTATCGGCAATGGATTTCAAAAAACTTGCATTTCCGGATCAGTTGTTGCCTCAATGTGCAACTCCATCTTCAAGGAGGAAGGTAGTTTCTGGGTTTGGTTTCGGATTGCTAGCCTCTTTCTTTGTGTTAACCGTTGTGTTCTTAAATGTATCGTTTAAGCCCTCTTCCTGGCATCCTGTTTTCCAAGGATTCAATGTCTATTTCTCTAGAGGAACTAATCATAACAATAGTATAGCTAATAAACTGGAACCCATGAGGGGAACCCATTCTTTGATTCTGAATGGAACCCATGAAGGGAATTTGTCCAAGAATCAAAGTGTAGAGTCTTCTGATTCTAGTAGGAAAGGTGAGATTTTGGAGGCTGCTCATTTGGGGAATTCATCTGAGGTGGCCAAAAAGGACAGCTTTAAAAATGTTGCTGAGGCAGGGATTCTTCCTGATGAATCTCATGGAGTAAAGGGATCGCATGTTGATAAAGATGGGAACTTTACTAAAGATGCTTCCAAAAGTTTATCAAATCAACATGTATCTGCTGAAGGAAATTTGAAAAAAGTTGAAACTCCAGCGCCTAAGTCTTCGAAGAATGCAGATTTTACAGATAAACTTTTGGGTTCTAGAAACGCTTCCAAAAGCTTATCTAATCAAAATGTATCTGCTCAAGGAAATTTGGGAAAAGCTGAAACCCCAGAGCCTAATAAGTCTTCGAAGAATGCAGTTCCTGCAGAGCATTTGGACAGAGCAGGGAATAAAACCGGATCAACAAGCCAAGAAAAGAAGAATGGAAGCTCATCATCCACTGGAAACAAAGCAATTGCAACATCTGGCAATGGCTATGAGATTTTGGCAAAGTCTAATGGCTTTCATGGGGATTGTAACATCTTTAATGGTAGATGGGTGAAGGATGAATCCAAGCCACACTATACTCCAGGTTCTTGTCCTTTCATTGATAGGGATTTCGATTGCTATCTCAATAAGAGACCGGATGATGAGTACGTTAAATGGAAATGGCAGCCGTACAATTGTGACATCCCCAGGTACTTCTTCGTCTGGTTCTAAATTTTCACGACAGTGTAGAAGAGCATTCTTTTACTTTTGCACAAGAAATCGGGCTGATCCTGAGTAGGTTGTTAGATTTATACATTTTTAATTAACCTTATTAGTAATGATAGTGTCAATGTTGTTCTAATTGCTGATTGTTTTTTTTCCTGAATGGATGTATCAGTATGAATGCTACTGACTTTCTGGAGAGACTGAGGGGCCAAAAGTTGGTTTTTGTTGGGGATTCATTGAATAGAAATCAGTGGGAGTCTCTTGTTTGCATGCTTCGCCATAGTATCCCGGACAAGAAAAGGGTTTATGAGGTTTCTGGAAGAATAGATTTCAAAAAGAAAGGCGTCTATTCATTCAGATTCGAGGCAAGCTCTCTAATTTTTTTAGATGAATTGAAATTAAAAGCTTTCTTGATGATGTTCCTTGCCTTATTATTAATCTTTTTTTGCTTTTGCCCTGTTTTCTTCAGGATTATAACTGCTCTGTAGATTTTGTTAGCTCGCCCTTTCTTGTTAGGGAATCATCATTCAATGGTAAAAATGGTTCCTTTGAAACACTAAGATTAGATTTGATGGACAACACAACTGCAATGTATCGTGATGCTGATGTTCTGATCTTTAACACGGGTCATTGGTGGACTCATGAGAAAACATATAAAGGGTGAGTCAATCATATGTCCAACTTCCATGTCCCCTTCTTTGTTCTTCTCTTCCAACTTATTGTAATTCGGCTCCCCCTTAATTTTCATTTCCAACTGCTTTAATCCTTTGAGATAGAATCTGAATTATTAGATTGGATTGTAAATTTTATTTCTTTCAGGGAAAACTACTATCAAGAAGGTAACCATGTGTACAAAAGCCTGAATGTCCTAGAAGCGTACAGGAGGATGCTTGTTACATGGTCAAAATGGATTGATAAGAATGTAAACAGTAGACGTAGTCTGGTTATCTTCAGAGGATACTCAGAAATGCATTTCAGGTAAGAGATTTCATATTTGGACTTTGAATGCCAATTTGATCTACTTCATTGTTCATCAAGATCTTAAAGGAGAAAGGATTTTAACTGCTAGGTATTGTTAACAACAGATATAAATGACTTCTCCTGTCTCCCATTTAATGGTATTAGTGTTAGTGTTATTAACAAAACTGTGAAAAAGTTTTCTGGTATGAAAATTTGGTTTATCCATGACAACTGCAGAGCACTTGATTGATGCTTCCAAAGTTTTAACCATCTGGTGTGGAAAGATTAACCATGTTCCTCTATTTAATTTTTGAACCCAGCTTCAACTTTTCGAAAGCATGTTGATTTAGGTAATCTTTACTGTCAAATTCATGAGGATGTAGCTTGAATATATGGGAAATTCATGAGATGTAGCCTGCATGTATGGGAATTGTTTTGATTCGAGAAGCTGCTTTATATAACAGATGGCTCTACTAAGTTCCTGAACCTAGTGTTAAGCTAATTTATTGCTTATGAAGCAATGATTTGCTGAGAACATATGCTGAAGTTGAAGTTTTTCCTGGCCCAATACCTGTAGAGAGAGAAGAATAGATTGTAGATGTAATTACTGATCACTTATGAGATCGATTTGGTTGCCTGCAGTGGAGGACCATGGAATGCAGGAGGGCATTGTCATAAAGAAACGAAACCTATATTCAACGAGACCTACTTATCAAAATACCCTGCTAAGATGCGAGCTCTTGAGAAGGTGCTTCATCAAATGAAAACCCCAGTTGTGTACTTGAACGTAACTAGGCTTACAGATTATAGGAAAGATGCGCACCCATCGATTTACAGAAGAGTGTACAAGACCGTAGAAGAGCAACATGCTGCCATTGGCACGCAAGATTGTAGTCATTGGTGCTTGCCTGGGGTACCAGATACATGGAATGAGTTGCTATATGCATCCCTATTGAAAACCGGAAGAGGTTCCTGGAGAAGCTGAATTTAGAAGATTACATGTAGGTTTTTTGTTTTCTCATCTTGCTTCTCATCATCTTGTTTCCATAGGTATAAGTTGTGAATCGAGAGGTAGCAAGAAATTTATTAGGCTAATAGCATATATATATGTCTTATTTGTTATTGCTGGTTTGCAGAAACCAGTAGTCCTAGCATAAGAAGGTAGCATACTGATCTTTTGACTCTGTATAGTCATTGTTGAATGAATGAACTTACCGGCGCCCCCTTTTTTTCTCTTCTTTTTCTGCACTTTTTTCCTTTTGTTCTTTGGAATTATCATTTACAGTTATACATTGAACTTTGTTGTTCTGATATTAGTCCCTTTAATAAAACCAGAAACCCCAACGTGGGAAAAATGTTTAACGGGTTAGAGAAGAATAAAATGGCAAGAAAATGTACACATACAAACTTGCAAACCTTATTTTATTAAGTTTTTCAGAACTGCATTAACATCAGTACGGAAAGCAGAAATGAATAGAAGAAGATAGCCAGATAGAGGGACTCTAATTGAGTCCCCTTTGCCGTTACGTGACTTGCCGGTTTGCTCTGCATTTTAGCCCATCAAAATCTTTGCTAAAGCTTCTGTTTCTGCACCAAAAGGTACCAAAACACGTTCAAGCAGAGATAATGATGATGACCAAAAATGCAAGCAAACTTTCTGAATTTGGAAGAGGCATATTGCATGAACTCCTCCTAACTCCAGCTGATGACCAGCCATTGCTTTTATCAAGATCCATCCATAACGCTAATTATACTTCCCCATATTTCTCAAACTCTCAGTTCAGTTGGAACTGACAGTTTTGAGTTTCTATCCTGAAATTCAGTGGCTCTTGAAAAGCAAAGAGGGAGGATTAACGTTGTGTGATGGGGATTTATATAGGAAAAACATGTCACAAGAGATGACAATTTAAGTGACACAAACAAAACAGCCAACTCAAAATGCAATATGTATTGCATCATCTTCCACCACTGGCTGACTTTTGCTTTTGGGCTTTCAGGCCTCACCATCAAAGTTGCTTTTATCTCCTTTTTTCCAGTATTTATACTTCCTCCGTCCAAAAATGATTGTCCAGTTTGTTATACTGAAAATATAAATCAACATAATTGCTTTTGAGACGAAGGAAGTACAGAACTTGATATGTCCATTCTAGCCTTTACCTACTTCTTTTACCACAAGCACTACATTAACACAGGAAACACACCAAGTCGATATACAACTCAAAATAAGTAAGCAAATGTTGTGAATCCATGCACATGCAAGCGACTAAGATGCACGAAAAGGCAATCAAAACCTTGAAGTTAACAGAGGTCATCAGATGGTGGTGCTGGCTATAGACCAAACCCTTGATTAACTATTAAGCTACCTTTAATGGCAGCTTAATTTTAAAACACCATCTTTCTTTCATTGATTATTATCTTAGTCCCCATTTTGGAGTCGAATTAGTGAATCCACTAATTAATGTCTCATTTCATAGTCATCCACCAAATATGTATTTGAGTCAACTGATTTTGCAAATCCAAGTGTCAAGCTTTCCAACCATGGAAAGCTCTTTTCATGAAGATTGTTGGCTAGTGCCCAGTGGGCACACTAACAAATGTATTCTCCTAAACAACTACTTTCACGGTATACTTATGCGGAAATGAGGCCAAACTATTTGTCTATCAAATCACCTCTCCTCAATAAATTTATTCAATTTCCATGCATTTTTAGCTCATGTATGATAAAATGTAATATCCAGATGTTAAGAAACATTGTTGTCATCGTCTAAACTTTAATTAGCTTTTTTCATGACAATGAAGAACAGAGCTTATCCACACAAAATCAAAGGATTACCGCCGCCTCTCACATGTAATTTACACTGTAAGCACGAACAGCTCAATCCATTTGGTATTTCTTTTAGAGTGGTTATACATCATATAAGGAAAAATTTCTACGGTTAGTAGTATTGTTAAGAATCCCACCCCAACCCCCAAAAAAATCATTTCCTCATTGTTTGTGCTTTATATATATATATATATATATATATATATATATATAAAACAGTTTTTTTCCTTTTCTTTTCCTTTTTTAGGAACAGAGATGAGAGACACGGTGATTTCAAATGCACACGGACTGATAATGGACGTAAAGACTAAAGAAGAAGTACTCCTCTGTTCCATAATTATTGTCCAGATTAGGTTTTTATTTTTAGTTCAAATTGTACTAAAAATGAAATCTCAAACTGGACAATAATTTTGGGAGAGAGGGAGTACTATATAATCTTTTTGGATGCATTATTAGCCTTTAACACAACCAAACATAGAACTAGCTGATTTCCAACACCAAGATCTTCACGTTCTCTGACCGAATCTCAGTTGGTCCTTCTGATTTGATTTTTGTTAGACATATGGAACATCATCAACAAGATCGAGTTCTAAAACAAGTTGAAATTATGGCTTAAACTTTGGGCCTTATATGCATATGTTAGGGGAAGAATGCAGTTAGGGGGATTGTTTTATAGAGACCTCTCGGGCCTTGATAAATGATTGATATGCCGAAATATGGGCCTATAGTCATTTAGGCGGCTTAATAAGCCCAAATTTCATGTGACACAAATATCAAGTGGAAGCCTTGCACACACAATTGCAACTTTGGGGGGAAACATGGAAAACCATTTGAATGTAACAAAATCACAACGCCCTTACAACTTGATGACCATTTGAATATTGGAAGAAAAACCTTGGATTCACTCATGTATATATTATGTGGAAAAAGAGTGATGAGTTAAAAAAAAAACTCTTTGTAGTATTTCAAATCAAGCTGAAGGATATCCGATTTTTTTTTTGTTTATTTTTAATTTTTGGAAACGGAAGGATATCCGAATAAAACAACGTCATAATAAGACCTATATCACTGATTAATGTGCTTGTTTATAGTTTAGAAATACAAAGTGATAATAATTCATTAATATGTTAGATTTTTCCGTTAGAAACATACTGCTCTCATCGTTCCATTTGAAAAAAACAAAAGCTGATTTATATGATACAAGGTATTAAAAAACATGAGTATTACATATGTCTCGGAGATATGGGTAGAGTTGCTACATAAACCATGCATGAAGTAATCCTAATCAACTACATATTATATTCTTTCCCCAAACTCTATTCAGATATTTCATTATTTTGTGCATCAAGCCTAACTGGCCAACAGCATGATCAGAGTGTATAAGTAAGTCACTTCTTAGTGTGGAAAATGATTATTCTCTGTCATTAATCAATCTCTCAATTCAAGAACGAACAAGAAAAAAAAAAAAAAAGAAGAGTGAAATTACGTTATTGACGTTAATACACCATATGTTATACTTCCGATGATACAAATATATTTAAGCACTCGTTAACTAGATTTCAGTCTATACATGTCATTGTACAAATATATATGATGCAGAGGGAAGTAAATTTAGTAGGATTAACTGGGTCATAGACACACTCAAACGTTAAAACTCCACGACTCCAAGTATTCTTTTATTTTTCCATGTTTCCGAAGAGGGAAGAAAGTTTTGTTTGATCTGATAACGAAATTATTTTTGAAATTTTTGACGAAGAAAAATGTATGAAAGTTGTTGCCCTAATATACCGAGTGTGACATGGGAGATCACAAGGTTGCCCTAGATTGCGAGTTGATCAAAATTATTCCCTCTTTCGATGTGCGTAATGTATTTGGATGGTCAAAAGAGAAAAGATAGTGGGATTGTTGTTCGATTTACACCCCATAATCATCATAAGTTTATGGAAAAAGATACACCATCAACAACACCCTCCCAAGTAGATTTCCTATTCTATTTGTGTCACCATTTCTAGTATTTTAAATCATTACTTTCATTTTTTATGGTCAAAAGAAACCTTTGCATCTTCTCCCTAAAGATATCAATATTTATCCCCCCCTCATTGCGTGGGCATCTACGCCCCAATTTCTATTTTTATTTCTTCCATCTTATCTTTTTTGCCCATTATTAATTCACTTGTAACTAACTATATTCCTGTCTATTTGAAGGATAAATCTTACTCCCCTCGATAGAGAGAGAGAAAAAAAAAATAAAAGAAAAGAAAGAAGCCATTCAAAAAAGATACTTGTCATACAACTTAATTCAATAAACATTATTTTTTAGATAGAATGAGTATGGTAAATATAGACCGTTTGCTAAAAATATTTTTTTCGTTCTGAAATTATTGTTAAGCTCGAAGAATGTTTATGTACTAATAAGCAAACCCGATACTAAACGATCAGAAATGCTTGTTATGGAGGTGTATGGAATTTCACAAATTTTTTTTTTTTATTTTGAAACGGGAATTTCACGAAAAATTATAAAGCACTGTTTCTCTTTTTCAAAAGGGCTAGTATTAAAGAAGACGATGAAGAAAAGTCAATGCAGCACTTAGTAATAAGTAGCAATGAAATAAATTAATATAGCAGAAACTTTACGAATAATGATGGTGTGGAATATCGAATAGAGAAACTCCTACACTTAACTAACGCACAAAGTCTTATAAAACGTGTGAAAATCAGGGATTGTGAAGTATTGATCCAACTAGGCCATTAATTTCAAAATCACACCACAAGAGAGCAAATATATATTTATTTTTTTGAAATAAAATAGTACTCTCATTCATTTACAGGAAATCGTCAATCGCGATTTCCAGCTGCGATTGATTGATACAAAGAAACAGTTAAACACAACTTACAATGTATCACTTTGTTGTGTTTACCGTGGATAAACCTATACAGATCTACTCATATAATTGACGGTCATATCACGTATCAGAGTTTGAATCTGATCTCGAATATATTTCTAAAATTCTGTTGAAAACTCCAAACCAAATCTGATCTCGAATATATTTCTAAAATTCTGTTGAAAACTCCAAACCACATATCTAAATATTAGATCTGCGGTGACTGATTCTTCATGGGGCATATGAAACGTTGCGAACATCTTCAACGCCGCAATGAACACTGCCAAACGGACCTACCTCTCAGTAGATTAACCTAACACTGCCAAACGGACCTACCTCTCAGTAGATTAACCTACTGAAAAAACACTACGGACAAGAAAACTCTACCCTCTCAAAAGATTATCTAAATAACCTATTGAAGGAACTAATTTGTGAGAATAACCTCACTTATTAAACGATAAATAACAAAATGAAAAACGACTAAATAAGTTTAATTCCCCATCCTTCTATGATGAGAAGATAGGGGAAGAAATTTCTTTTTTGGAGTTGGGGCCCTACTGAAAAAACACTACGGACAAGAAAATCCTACCCTCTCAAAAGATTATCTAAATAACCTATTAAAGGAACTAATTTGTTAGAATAACCTCACTTATTAAACGATAAATAACAAAACAAAAAGCGACTAAATAAGTTTAATTCCCCATCCTTCCATGATGAGAAGATGGGGGAAGAAATTTCTTTTTTGGAGTTGGGGTTTGAGAGAGAGAGAGGGGAGAGGGGCGGCTGCTAGGGTTTTGATCCACAAAAGAGCAAATATGATTTTATATCATCTCCTTTGTGATTATGTCCAATCAGTAATCCAATTACGTGGCGTAATTAACATGGTTAAAGTAAAAATTACTATTATCTAGTGTTTTATACAAAGAAGATAACATTATAGCAGAAATTAAGCGCACATTAGTGTGTTTTCGTGGAGCAAACCTTCATCCTGATAAGATATGTTCTTGCTCTTTTTTATTTAGGTCAAAATTCCACTTTTAGTTCGAAACGTGGTATAGTAATTAGACGGCCAATCATGATATTATTACTAGTGTGTTTTTGATTGAGGAAAAAAGAAAAGTCAAACAATAAACTAATTCATTCTTATATGTCCAGGTGCTTACAATGGTCAATGTCGATTCTTTCTTCTTCCTAGAATCCTATCAGAAGAAGAATCAGGCTAACTTTGCTATAATGGGCATGATCATTATGAAGGTATTATAAACTGCCACGTTAAGCCTTGACTTCATAAGT